GGGGATCATGATCCAATTAAATATTATGAGATATACAAACCAAAGAGGCCACACAATTTCTGTGATGAAGAGGACCCATTTTACTTGGCGCCGCGCTCAATTTCGTTGGACGACACACGAGGGGTAGACGAAAACAAGCGTTTAACAAACCACAGTGCCCGAATGTATCTAGTTTAGAAACTAAGATCAAATGAAATTGCTGACACTGACATTATGCAAATTTCAGGTCACAAAAATGTAAATTCCATAAACAGTTATAGTTCAATTTCAGAAAACAAATAGAGAAAAAAATCAAATTTGTTAAGTGATACCAGCAGCGAGAAAACTTGTCACACTTCCACAGGGCCAGACTTACCATGCACACCCGCATCAACAGTCCTCTATTCTCTGTCTCAGCCTGTCAACCAACATACAGAATTGATATGATGGCACCTTCCAGCAGCTCGCAGACCAACATGTCCAGCCGTATCAATTCCATATTTTATTGCGCTACCATCCACATTAACTCCCTCAATATTTACATGAACAGCCCGCCTCAACAGTAATGGCCAAATTCCGTCTGATCACAACGTGTAGTAACATTTGTCAAACTTTTGTAAATTTAAACTGTTTATATCTTCAAATTGTTACTTTACATACCATGTTTATTAAATGTCACTCTGTTATTAATTTAGTTCATTTCCTCTTTCTATTTCCTAAAAATGTCAATAGCTTATCACCTGGAATTTATGAATTACTATGCTATAAAGGGAAATACCCAACAATGGTACCCCAAGAGGGAATTACTGAACACTTTTTTTCTTTTTAACAATAAATTTGTTACGTATTTTATTTTTTAATATTCTTTATCGATTTCAGTATAAAGACAATATACGTATAGTGTCTTGAAATATGAAATTTATTTGTATTCGGCACGAAACAGGGGGAAATGCTCCTGTTTCTCAGCCCCATACAAATAGATTTCATATTTCAAGACACTATACATATATTGTCTAAGTATACGTCAATAACATGTTTGATACAGGATTATCTGTCCTCAATTATTTCTAAATTTAACATTGATAACTGAAGTTATTGTTTTAATGATAAGAATAAATAACAAAACAAATTAAAAATTAAAAACCAATTGTTCAGAGAACAAATGAAGGTCTTCCCAAATCAATTTTCTAAATAGTTGTGATCAAGCTACTTCCGGTTTACTCCATGTTACTTTTGGCGCCCAATCATAGATGTCTTCATACTGATTCAATAAATATATGGTATCTATATACTTTTGCCTCACAATAGGGAGAGAATTTCCAACTTTCGGTTAAGAAAATGTCACTTCAGGTCTCATATGATAGCTGTAATGACACTGATTCCAAAAATATATGGTTTATATATACCTTTGCCTGTTAAAAGAGAGAAAATCGGCTACTTCCGGTATATAAAAATATTCCTTTTGGTCTCATATAATAGCTTTATTAACGCTGATTCCAAAAATATATAGTTTGTTTTATTTTTATGCCTGTAAAAAGGGAGATAATTTGCTTCTTCCGGTTATAGGATGTCACTTCTGGTCTCAAATGTCAGGTTTATGTTTGCCCTTTGAAAAAAAATATTGGTACTTTTCCATGAAATAAGAGCAAAAATGACTACTGCCGGTTCCCTCAAGGTCACTTCCGGTTGACATTTTTCGAGGTAATACGTCACTCAACATTTTGCAAGGACCTTATAGCTTTACCATGTACCAATCTGAAGTTATAATCAATTTACCTTAAAATGAAACCTTTCGTAGCAATAACTCCTATAAAAGAGGGTCGAAAGATGCCAGAGGGACAGTCAAACTCATAGATCGAAAACAAACTGACAACGCCATGGCCAAAAATAAAAAGACAAACAGACAAATAATAGTACAGATGACACAACATAGAAAACCATAGACTAAGCAACACGAACCCCACCAAAAACTGGGGGTGATCTCAGGTGCTCCGGAAGGGTAAGCAGATCCTGCTCCACATGTGGCACCCGTCGTGTTGCTTATGTTATTACAAATCCGGTAAATAGTCTAATTTGGTAAGTCACATTCGTGAAAAGGGAGAGTTTTGTAGTTACGACATAAGGAACATATCCGATATCATCTGTGAAACGGTTATTCCATAACGGTCAACCAACTCGTGATGGCATCTGTAAAATTTACGAAGGGATGATTTCAACTTCACCATTTGGAACTCTTGGTTTAATAGGATGTCATTGGATTGTCTCAGACCAAATATGTCATATCTCCATCATAATGAAACAAATATTTTGCTAGTTCTTTTATATATAACTTTAAAAGTGCAATAACTTTTCGATATTATATCAAAAATATGTAAGCGACATCTTGCGAAACAACTTTATACTGCAAGAAAAGAGTTTGGCGGAAGAAGAAAAAAATAGTTATCAGAACAAATTCAACTGGTCTTTCAAGAGAAAAGTGGAAAGACCTAATAGTAATAATAATAATCAGAACAAATACAATAGGCCTTTCCACAGAAAAGCGGAAAGACCTAATTAAAAGACTTTTTATCTTTAACATGTCAACCATAAAAAGGTATTACAAATATAGACACAAATAAATAAAAAATTCAATTAAGGAAAAGTGAAATTTCAAAGAATTCACTTATAGAAATTAGAAAACATCTGTCTGCCTAAACGGCATTTTTCATTGTTTAAGTACTTACATTCATCGACGGCAGAAAGCGGTGTTAAAATTATCATATACAAGGCATTGTAATGATCTTAGGAAAAATCCTTATAGTAATACGTAATTTAAAAGTATCAAGACATGTTGGAGTTACAATGACTTTGAATTCATTCTTTATCTTACCTTTCTTTAACTCTCTGTTAATGAACTTAAAAACCTTTAAGAAACTTAAGTCTCAACTCCCTTAAACATACTTGACCTCAAATATATTGTTTCTGCTATTGCTCCGCACGTTTTCAAGTAGTTATAACCCTTTGCTTCTATCACTTTGGTTATGAACGTTCCTGATGAAGGTAAATCAAGAACAACACTTCGAACGCACCAAATTGAAAAAGATTAATTTGGTTAAAAACAATTCTAATAACTAACAATAATGTTCTCTCACTGAATAATTCAAAGTTTTTGATGACTATGTTAAACGCATATGTCCCATCAAACTTTAAAAAAGAGGATATAGTTGAGTCAAGCCCCATATCTTGACTGACATTTCGAAATTGACAATGAGGGTCAGTTGAGAACAAACCTTTACGATAAAAGTGATGAATTCAGTTTCCCAATTGAGAACTTTCCATTTCTATGTAGCAACATTTTGGTTCCTCGGCTTTGTCAGTTTGTTTTCAACTTATGACTTTGAATGCCCCTTTGATCCTTTTCGTCTCTTTTTAGTAATGAAATTTTAACAATTGTGGGTAAATCTGTCATGCTTACGAATTAACATTTTTTTAACTGATATTTTTATTGCGTTAAGTCGTCTTTAAATTACTGTGAGGGGATTTTTTGGCATTTTTTACTTCTGCAACTACTTTTCTTTAAAGTAAATTATACCAAGAGAACAGTTTCTAACCATGAATCAAAGAAGCTAAGATAACATCATGACCCCCAAAAATAATCCAACAAACAAGCAACAGTCAACAAAACACAACACCGAATTGTAAAATTGAACATTACCTAAAGCCGGAAATGATTTTATGTGGTCTAGAAGGACATTCAACCTTTCATATGTTTCATAACACAACTTCTTATATTTTCGTAACATAAACCATTACCTGCATTTCTGTTTTAAAAGCTTAAGGTGAAATCACTCAACACAGATTTCATTCGATAATATACCTATTCATTCGATTAGTCATTGAAATTAAACTTCTGAACACATATAACATGTCTAAAAGTTTTAAAAAATGAAGCAGCATTTTTATCTGGTTCGATTTTATTTCACTAAAGACAAAAAAGTGTTTCCGAACGCTGGTTACTTATTTCAATCTAGCTACCGATTTGGTTGCAATTTCATATTTGCATTTCAGCATGACCTTAAAAAGGTAAATAAGTTCGACTTTGAAAAAAAAAAACATATTGTTGCCTCAATTAGCTCGTATATTTCTTTTCGAACTTTAAATACCCATTCTTTTAATATGGACAATTATTATCCTCCCTGATACTGACAATCAGAGATGTGCTATTTTAACATAGAAAAGCAAAATTATCGCCATTTCTAGATGGTAGTTTTTTGGGCAACTGCAAACACTTCAATAGAAGGCTGTTTCAAGAACATTATGTATCGATGTCATCTCAAATTTATAAAAAAATATTTCTTGGCCTTAAAACCATATATTTATTTGATTTTTTGAACATACAAATATCGGTGCCTCAAGAATTATTTGGTTTTACAGTATTTTTCTCATTTTTGTGGAATTTGTTCAGAATTGCATTTTTCGGAAAATATTGCGCAATTAACCTCTTAAGTTTTGTTGATTTGGAATCACTGTATCCAGTTCTATAATGTCCGTATGATCTTTTGGAAAAAAGTTTCGTAAAAGAACTAGAAATGGCATTGTATTAAATAATCGCAAAAATGTGGAATGTTTATTCTCGACATTTGACCTTGATTTTACTATAATTGCGCCTAACGTTTTTTTTACAACCGGGCAAAACAGAAAAAAAAATATAAAATACAGCCGTGTGTTAGGTGGGTGCATTTAAGTCCTAAACTTAGCGTCTTTTTGAAAAATGTAACTTGCCTAATTTTAACCTGCATAAATCTTTTAATTTGCATTAGTTTTTTGAAATAACATATCTTTGTGTCAGCACTTATGATTAAATTTTATGACCATGGATATATTTCTCCTTTCATAGACCTGCATACCGTAGCATGCTTACATATATGACCCGTTAGAAATTCAACTACATACAAAGTTAGCTATGATTTACATAAAGATGACAAAAAAAAACTTGCAAAAACTCCGACAGCAAGAGTTAAATTGTGGTAAAAAATAAAAGCCTGGTACTATGATGAGTTTATTTGATATGTTATGTACGCCATGATTCAAGTATCTGGTTCTAATTTACACTAAATATTTGATGCTGATTCGTTATTTGTCAATAGCCTTCTCTAATAGATATCAACCCCTCCCTATTTAGGAGGCATTGTTTGTATGTGAAAGGGGTTTTTGTTCCATTTTATCTTACGCTGTATAAGGGATGTCTAACATTAATTGTCTTGCATTGAACATCACGTTTTGTTGTGTCTATGCACATCTGGAAGTTCTCTAAAGAAAAAATAAAAGTAGCTCCGTGGCATTGAATAAATACATAAAAATGATATAAGGGTAATGAATGAGGAGAACTTTGAACAATAATTAAACAAATTGCATAATCGAGTGTATGTCATTTTAATATTTTCTTGAACTTTGATGTTTTAATCAATAAACACTAACACCAGCCAGGTGTCCAGTAACCATTATAATTATTTGGGCTCGATGCAGGGTCTGCTTTCTCTGTTAGAGGTGGAACTATATATTTCCTGTATTCATCAAGCCTTTCTTTCATCTTTTTCAACATGCTGTGCTCTTTGATGTGCAAATTATTATGTTCGTGAGGATCATCTACAAAGTTTTATATTAAAAAATAAGATACTGCATATAACAGTTTGACTGACTTTCTGAAAACGAAAATGTCTAAATGATTAAATTGTATATCATATAACAAAATTAAAATACTAAGATAATGTTTAAAGGACATGACTAAAGAAAACAAAACAGAAAATAACAAACTAGTAATACGAGGTCTACTTAAAGAGATAATTAAAAATAAAAAAAACTATATTGACAAGCAACTGCTTACTCAGATGGGAATTGAGTGGGGGGATCACATATAAAGCTACATTCATGGATAATGCATAGACTCTTTTCAAGTCCCACTCCTTGTGTTGCCTTGTTGTTGTTGTTATTGACCGTTTTCAAAATCCCGGATCCGCTTCTGTTACTTTATCACTGAACTTAAGTTGATCAAGAATATGGCAGTTGTTTTTCATTTGTTCCGTTGATTGATGGCGTTTGAATTTGTAGGTTTTTATAGACTTCCCTTTTTGAAAATGCCTTGCAGTTCCGTATTTTTGTTATATTATTATCAACGTACGTGTGTACCTACGAAATAGCGATGCAGTTGATGACTTTGCCAGAAAATGGATAAAGATAGAGCCAGATTAAACAAAACTTGAAACTTTATCTGAATGGTTCATGGATCCAGAGTGTCATTCAAAATCTACGACGTATGATGAAAACACTAGTTTCTAACCAACTTATAAAACCATGAGGTTGTTGATTTTTGATTCTCTCTTCGCGACACATATATGATGTTGATCTAGCATACAAAGACTAACAATATTGTTTTCATATGCAAAACATCATTATTTGAAATGTCTAACTTAAGAACTTGGAATTCACACAAAACTGGGAAATTCACATATACTAATACACCATTCACCAACAATTTTAGATTTTAGAAAATTACAAATTTATCCTTCTCTCATTTGGGTTGAACATTACAAATAAAGTAGAAAATCTCCCGCCTTTATGCTGGATACCTAAACTACACAAAAAATCCGTATATAGAACGATATATGGCCAGTCGATATATGGCTAGGTCGTCAAGATTATTGACTAACATCTTGAAACGTTCTTAGCCTCATTCTTTCTTAACTAAAATATGGCCTTCAGAAATAGTTTGATTAGGTGTATTCCACCAGCAGTGTCAAACAGATGAGGTCTTATAATTTCTGAGATCTATTACGAGACCTCATCTTCGCTAGGCAAGGGTAACAATCCAGTCCCCTCCTCTCCACACCATAATTTATGATTATAAGGCTGCGCCATCTACCGGTAGAGGGGGGATTGGATCGGAACATTTGGCTAGCAAAGATGACAAAACCATAGATCCCATTATTTTATAATATTAAAACCTCCCAATGCTCAATTGAAAGATCGAAAACTAATACATCGTCTCATTAAACAGAGGATTTCCTCCAAAAAGTGAGAATCTTCGATACCAATTTCTTGCTGATTTTATGAAGAACCGTACTGATTCCAAAAGCAAAATACACCAAAGATTAAATCATCAAATCCTGGATTTTGTTTTATCGACAACATATTTGTTCAGTTTGTTGAGTTGATATTTCGACTTCTGTTTGTAGTCATATGACGCAAAATTCGTACAAAAAAACTTCACAAAGACGAACAGAATGAAATCTTGAAAAGTTCTTTATAACTATTTTTAAGATATATTGATAATGTCCTGTCACTCAATAGCCAACATTTCAGCGAGTTGTTTTAAAACATTATATCCAAGTGAATTTGAGATTGAGGATACTACCGAAACTAAAAGGACTGCTTCATATCTTGATCTTTTCCTTGATATTGACATAAATGGACGACCTCAAACTAGAATTTATGATAACTATCAAATAGTAAACTTTCCATTTCTTTATAGTATCATACCTTCTTCTCCATCATATGGCGTTTACATATCTCAAGTGAGGCGAAATATACCAATGGTTCAAACTTATAAGTCGTAAATATAGTGACAACGCCATGGCAAAAACAGTTACAACCAAAATAATAACAACAGTATACAAAACACAACATAGAAAATTGAAGACCGAGCAACACGATCCCAACCAAAAACTGAGGATGGTCTAAGGTGCTCCGGAAGGGTAAGCAGGTCTTTCTTCACATGCAGATAAATTTCGTGCATAATAATGCTATACGGAATACATTAACAGGGAATTGTTCCTTAACAAAAAAGAGCAATGAGGAAGAACGACTGAAATCAATGGTTTGTTACTTTGATTTGTCTTCTCAAACGATTTCTGTGATTTTAACATCGGTAAACTACTATTGCTGGTATTCTTCACAAGAACAAATACTGTAATACATTGTTTTACAGAATGTATCTTCCAATTTGACCTAATATTATTTAGGAACTAACTTGTATTCCATGATAAATTCAGTACTGCTTTTTCTAATAGTTTACGATTAGTTTCTTATTCTAATAATGCAGCATAAATCTGTTACAGGCAATAAATAATTTATTTCTCATGAAAAAGGTAACGATACTAAGAATTGGAAAGTTGCAATTATCTTGCTACCGCTTGCACGCAGTCATGGTCAACGTCAATATACATCACCTACTCTCCATGATGTATCTATTAATGACCTGCTGCCATTTATACAAAAGTAGTAAGGTATTCATCACATTCGCACAAAGCTTTATTCATTACCCTTTCAAAACTTCATTCTCTGTACAACTCATGTTTGGAAACCACTGTTACAAACCCTTATTCATACCATTTCGGATATTGCTAGTCACAGACTTTTCAAATATGTTCGCATTGCAAAAGATGAAAAAGAGAAAAGATCCTTTCTTAAACTTTCCTTTGCCAACAAAGATCTCGATGCCGTCAACTTGAGCAATAGCCTTCATCATGAATTAGATCAATCGAAAATACCTCCCTATTTTAAAGATCAGTCTGTACCAATCATTTTTTATACCTATACCAAACCAATTGCAACTAAAATTTTTAATTACAAACATGTGTTGCAGGATCTCAATATTGACAACTTCAAGTCTAAACCTCCTGATTGCACCTGCACTAGTTCCCCATTCATATATAATCCGGCTGGCCACGTTATTACGGGTGACCTCAACATTGTCAATAACACTTCCCTGCGAAATGTATTATCCATAGGTCCGAAATATCGTGAGCCTAAATCCATCAACTGGAAACACAACTTCAAAATACTGATGGAATCAGTCGAGGATTATGCCAGGCAGTTGGTTAAACGCGAGAAAGATGGCGTAGATACTCTTTCCGAATGGATTAGGGCTGTGAAGTCGTTGATACAAATCAGAATTAAGAAACTGAATGGGTCTATCAATATCCATGCTACATCAATCTTTAAAGACCCAAAAATGTTGCAAAACACTTGTCATACCTCAATGACAAATATGTTGTTGTCCCCGCAGTTAAAGCCACAAACAACATCGTTTTTGTGTGTAATTTCACATGGCATAAACTGCTTGATGAATATGAATTAGGTATTGACAATTGTCTTGGAAACTCAACATATACCCCAACGACACTTAGGAAATCCTGGATAATCATAGGTCTGTTCTATATTCCTTTGGAATTTCAACCAAAGATGAGGAACTGGATCTTTCATCACTGTATTGGATACCATCTTCGCTAGCCAAGGGTTACGATCCACTTCCCTCCACTCCACCCTTGGCAGATTAAGCCAACATTTGTGATAACAATGTTGCGCCATCTATCGGTAGATTGAAGTAACGCCCATTCCTAATATATTATTCTTGACCAATGGTAGTACTTGAACTTTTCAATTTGGAGGTAAAAACACGGTAGCGTCTAGATTCAACACACTTGGTAAAGCAGGAAACGAAAATATACGTTGACATTAATGCATTCGTGCAAGAAACATACACAGGAACTTCTATTAGTTTATTAAAAACATTCAAATTGTCACTAAATATAGTCGTATGTTTAGGGATGTAAAGACTTGTTGCACAATAAGCACGTGGCAATTGTTTACATACACTTTCTACATTTACATGTGATCATCTTATAGGCGCTTTTTGATTGAATGCAGTGAGTTTCGACTGCAAGCAATGAAAATCATTACCTTGTGTCTCCGAAATTCTATCTCAATCTGCCAAGGGTGGAGAGGAGGGAAGTGGATCATAACCCTTTCCTAGCGAAGATGTATTGGATACCTAAACAACATAAGTGTCCTTACAAACAATGGTACATTGCTAGGTCAACGAAACCTCTTTCTAAATTATTAACATCAATTTTATCAGCAATCAAAGCCGGGCATCAAAGTTATTGTAAAACTGCATATTCTAGAGGTGGCGTGAATCTGATGTGGATACTAAAATTTCCAAAGATCTTTTAGAGTACATTCAATCTAAGACTCTGTCATTTTGCAATAGACTTTTTTACACTTTACTCAAGTATTTCCAATTTCAAACTAAAAGACAAATTGAAAGAGTTGGTATTGCTTTGTTTCATAGAAAAGAAAGTCCAACGTAGATAGGAGGGATAAATCATATTTTGTAAAAAAAATCACTCTGATTCAAACAAAAAATTCTCTGAAACTGACATTATCAAGATGCTTAATCTCTTGATTGACAACATATTTGCTACGTTTTCAACAAACAATTGGCATTCCCATGGGAACCAACCGTGCCCCTCTTCTTGCCGACTTGTTCCTTAATTCGTATGAGGCTGACTTCATACAGGAACTTCTTAGGAAGACAGAAGAGAAGTTAGTAGTATCCTTTAACTTTACTTTCCGCTATATAGAAGATGTTCTCGCACTAATTAATAATTCAAAATTTGGTGTTTATGTTCATCTTTTCTATCACATCAAACTTGAGATAAAGGATACAACAGATACAAGTCTGCCTCATATCTTGACTTACATCTAGAAATTGATAATGAGGGTCGGTTGAAAACAAAACTTTACGACAAAAGATATGATTACAGCTTCCCAATTGTGAACTTTCCATTTCTGTACAGCGCCTGCATAAGGAGAATATATCTTCCAATTAATACGATATTCCCGGGCTTGTATTTCCTATGATGATTTCCTTGATAGAGGGTTGCCGTTCACAGGCAAGCTACAATGTATTAAACCAAGAGTGTCAAATGGCGAAGTTGAAATCATCCCTTCGTAAATTTTACGGACGCCATCACGAGTTGGTTGACCGTTATGGAATATCCGTTTCACAGATGTTAGCGGAAATGTTCTTAATGTCGTAACTACAATCCCGTCCCCTTTTCACGAATGTGACATACCGAATTATACTTGTTACCGGGTTTGTACTAACATGAGCAACATGACGGGTGCCACAAGTGGAGCAGGATCTGCTTACCTTTCCGGAGCACCTGAGATCACCCCCAGTTTTTCGTAGGTTTCGTGTTGCTTAGTCTTTAGTTTTCTATGTTGTGTTTTGTGTACTATTGTTTATCTGTTTGTCTATTTCTTTTTTAGCCATGGCGTTGTCAGTTTATTTTCGACTTATGTGTTTGAATGTCCCTCTGGTATCTGTTGCTTCATTTTTACACATGTCATACTGAAGTGCTGATTGATTATATAATTGACAGTGAGACTTGAACATTGGTAAACTACTATAGCATTAAATTACCTCTCAAGTTATACAACTGGTAGTAGTCTACTTTTGGTTCATCTATTTCTAGGTCTTCCTCGTTCTCAGGAAGTGGGTACCAGCCATTATATGCACCAGCAAATCCTTCTATTAATTTGTAATCACCCATCCTATATAGCAAAAAGTACATGAATTCTTTATATATAGTATAACGTAAGTAACAGGAAAGTGAAATATTACATTATATTATTGACCATTTAGTGCATGGTATATCTTAAGTGTATAATTGAATCTAAAATAAAATAAACGGAGACAATTAAATAGTGTCAATTATTTACCAGTAGATATTACATCATCCAAACCGTCTAACTATTTTGATATAAACAAACCTAATAGCAGCATGCCCTACAATAGGTACTACAGAATCGTCGAGGTTATAGATGAACTCTGACCTTAAGGAGGATGGAACTCCTTCACTTATGCTTGGCCACAAATCCACACCATCTATTCCACTAACTTTAAGATAAAAAGATAAATCCAAATATTAATATTCCATTTACTATAATAACAAAGACATTATCATCAATAAAAATTGTGTTGGACGAGGGTAGATACAGTTAGAGGGTTCACTTTTCAGCAAAAGTGTCTCAAATATTCATTATTGCTGATTTAAACATTAATTAATGTAACCTTTTCAATCTATTAAAAGTCTAACATTTCAAACAAAGTAGTAACTGTTACAATGTTGAAAGCAGTAGGACCAAACCAAAGTGAAAGATAAAAAGTAGTGGAAGTACTTTCTTACGCCAAAACTGTTTAAGTTAGTCCATAGAACATAAAATTTAGGTTTTCCTACGTCAAAGTTGAAAAGGGTAAAATTCTGTTTTAGATTGTGAAAAAAGACAAACACAATTTTCAAACGGGTTTTTATAAAGTCTATTCCATGACTTTATTTGCTTGTGAAGACAATATTTTTTCAAGAAGCAAACACAATATTAATCTCTTTGTCTACCTAACAGACAAGAAATTTTTTAACTTAGTTAATATTTTTATTATTTAACGAGTACAACGATTATTTTATTTTAACAATAAAACAAAACTGTATTGCATAACTGTTGTTTTACATTTTATCCAGATTACAGCGTTAGTCTGGAAACCCTTAAGTCACTAAACTTCCAGGAAATACAAGTTTAGCAATCAAATGCAAAATATTAATTTTACAATTTGTTACATTACTACATTCATAAACATTGTTAATATATTACAGTACAGCAATTTTTAATATGTATAATTTTTCAATCGCGTATGCAGCAAGCCTCAATCGCATATACAGCAAGCTTCAATCATATTTGTAGCAAGCATACAATCACAGATTTTTTGAATACTTCATACTTTTTCAGATTATCTTATGATAAGGGATTTCCCGTTTTGAATTTTCCTTGGAGGTCGGTATTTTTGTTATTTTACTTTTTAAAAATAACACCACAGTGTCATTTATTCCATCTATTTAACCGCTTTAGTGTTAAGTCACATATTAGTCAAACAGAACATGTTAATGTTAGGGGCTATATTTTTGACGATCATTCACAGAAAATGACCAACTATTATTTAATCTATACATAACACCTCAGGATTAAAACTGACTGAAAAATATGTATACCTTCACCTCCTCCAGCAGCAGAGAGAATTGTTGGCATCCAGTCCACAGCATGAATCATTCTAAAGCAACAATATAAAAGCAAACAATCAATTCAATATTTGAGGTTAACTACTCGATTCTATAATTTTCATTTGTTAAATATTTTCAGATAATAAAACATTTTTGTATAGATTATCATGTCAATTTCGAAGAATAAAATATGAGATTAGTAGTTTATTTAATGCATTACTTGGAAAAGAATTTCAAGTAACTTCTTATTTTTTTTATCAACAAACAAAGCAAGTATACCACTGATTTTGCTACAATCAACACTGGAATTATGTTTCTTATAATAATGGAAATAAGTTCTCAATACAATAATAAACACAAAAAAGGTACTGCTACTATTATATTTATTACCCGTCAAAAACAGTATTAGGTTTCTGAAGTCCCGAACCGTATACGAAAGCTGAAGCCCGAGTTCCTCCTTCATATACTGTTGCCTTACCCCCTCTCAGTGGGTAATTATTCCCAGAATAGGTTGTCCAACCACCATTCTATAAAACAAAGTTCGTGTCTTTCTTGAAAAATATATTTAAACTTCTTTGTATAAGATTTATTAGTAAACACTAAGAAACATTTAAAATAGTCAATAAACTCTACATAGATACCAGGATTAAAATTTTGTACTCCAGACGAGCGTTTCATCAGTGATGCTCAAATCTTAAAATTTTAAAAGACTAAATAAAGTACGGAGTTGCATTGAGGGCCAAAAGATATCCCAGAGGTTTTGCCAAATACAGCTAAGGCAATCTATTCCTTGGGTAGAATATCCTTAGTATTTCGAAAAACTCAAAGTTTTGTAAAGTTAAATTATAATTATGACCATATCAATGAAAATTCATGTCAACACAGAAGTAATAAAATTGAGAATGGAAATGGGGAATGTGTCAAAGAGACAACAACCCGACCATAGAGCAGACAACAGCCGAAGGCCACCAATGGGTCTTCAATGCAGCGAGAAACTCCCGCACCCGGAGGCGTCCTTCAGCTGGCCCATTAACAAATATGTACTAGTATACTAGTTCAGTGATAATGGACGCCATACTCAACTCCAAATTATACACAAGAAACTAAAATTAAAAATGATACAAGACTAACAAAGGCCAGAGGCTCCTTACTTGGGACAGGCGCAAAAATGCGGCGGGGTTAAACATGTTTTTTGAGATCTCAACCCTCCCCCTATACCTCTAGCCAATGTAGAAAAAAACAAACGTACAACAGTACGCACAGTAAAACTCAGTTTAAGAGAAGTCTGAGTTCGATGTCAGAATAGGAAACAAAAAAAAAATAAACAAAATGACAATAATACATAAATAACAACAGACTATTAGCAGTTACTGACATGTCAGCTCCAGACCTCAATTAAACTGATTGAAAGATTATGTCTTCATCATATGAATATCAGGCACAATCCCTCCTGTTAGGGGTTTAGTATTATACCATCATAAAATATATGAGAAGAATTTAACCCGTGTCATGCCAACAACTGGTTTTAGAATAAATATGTATAATTCCGATGCAAAGACCCTATAAGTGAATCAATATTAAAGCCAAAATATGCAATCTTTAATGACCTGACAACAGTATCGTAACTATATAATTCATTACATTTTCTGATGAACAAGGAAAGATTTTTGTAAAGTTCAGTACAACAAATAAGCAGTCAACCATCAAACTTGATAATGCTCGGATAGGTTCTAAAGTATCTTAATATGTATTTAATTTTAATGATACTATGTTTTCATTTTTACACATACACAAAATATGGAATTCATCTCCAATATAAAAGTAAGGAGATGTTGAATGATTATTAATGAGATAACTATCCACCAGAGTCAAAGTCACATGGATGTAAGCAATAATAGGTCATGTATGGCCTTCAACAATGACCAACGTGTAGTTCCTCATGACACCTGATGAGAATATTCAAATGAATTTGCATTGTATGTCCTTTACATATAAATAAACACGTATGTTTGTATTCAATATAAAAAAAGAAGTGTAAATATAGTCCTGGGAAAAGGATAATATTAAAATTTTCATATTCTTACATCTGCAGTAAATATAATAAGGGTATCTTCAAACATTCCATTACGCTTCAGTGAATCTGTAACGTTTCCAATGGCATCATCCATTGCTGTTACCATTCCTGTAAAATCAAAACATCATTGTTCTTGTACGTCAGTTAATCTTCAATGGCCATGAAATAACAAACTCAATTCTGAGGAAAGTTTCAATATAAAAAGATGTATGTAATATAAGCCTTGCTGTCCAGTTTAGCAAAAACTTTATTTCATCCATGCAATACAAAAAGTGTTGTGTAAAAGTCAGTAAGACAGCAGAAATAAAATGATTCGCTGGGGCGCAGCTTGATACGACCGCAGAGGTCGAACCCTGAACAGTTGGGGCAAGTATGGACACAACATTCAATCTTGATACAGCACTGAATTTGGATTGTAATTAAATATTTGACACAGCATAGGTTTCTGACACAGAATAAAAGTGGTCTAAGAACTTAAAAAAATTTAATTTACCTATTCAAACCATATCATTATTATTTGCTTTTATATATAAATCAGAAATAACCAATTTAAAATGGAAAATTTTAAAGAAAAAAAAAAAAAAAAAAAAATCCCCCCCCAAATTTTTTGAACCCCCTTATGATTCATCACCCCCAAACTCAATCCCAGCCTTCCCTTTGTGGTATGGTACCTTGCAGTACAATTTCAGAGAGATCCATACACTTGAACACATGTTATTGTCTGGAAACTAGAAAAATGCTTGTTTTTTGGCCCCAAATTCCTAAACGTTTAGGGCAATTACCCCCAACCTCAAACCCAGCTTTCCCTTTGTGATATGGAACCTTGCAGTACAATTTCATAAAGATCCATACACTTACACACAAGTTATTGTCCTGAAACTAGAAAAATGCTTGTTTTTTTGCCCTTTTATGGCCCCTAATTCCTAAAATTTTGAGGGAATTACCCCCAAAATATATCTCAGCCTTCCCTTTGTGGTATGGTACCTTGCAGTACAATTTTAGAGAGATCCATACACTTGAACACAAGTTATTGTCTGGAAACTAGAAAAAATGCTTATTTTTGGCCCCTTTTTGGTCCCTTATCCCTAAAATTTTTGGGCAATTACCCCCAAATTCAATTCCAGCTTTTCCTTTGTGATATGGAACCTTGTAGTGCAATTTCATAAAGATCCATACACTTACACACAAGTTATTGTCATGAAACTAGAAAAATGCTTGTTTTTTTCCCCTTTTTGGTCCCTAATTCCTAAAATTTGGAGGCAATTATCCCCAAAATCAATCCCAGCATTCCCTTTGTGATATGGAACCTTGTGATACAATGTCAAAGAGATCCATACACTTACACACAAGTTATTGTCTGGAAGTTACAAAATTGCTTATTTTTGGCCCCTTTTTGGACCCTAATTCCTTAACTGTTGGTACCATAACCCCCAAAATCAATCCCCACCTTTGTTTTGTGGTATTGAACCTTATGGTAAAATTTCATTGAGATCCATTCACTTAAATTAAAGTTAGAGTGCGAAAACTAATGTGTCTTCGGACGACGACGCCGGAGACGACGACGACGCCAACGTCATACCAATATACGACCACAAAAATTTGTTTGCGGTCGTATAAAAAGTAAATACAAACAAACAGCAGAGGTCAATTCATAATAATCAGTGATGGTAAAGCTTTCGTATATATCTAAATTGTCACAAGTCTATACAAGTTGTGAATAAATTCAAATTGAATTTTCAAATATGAATTGAACAAAACTGTAAACTAATGCTGGCATAATATTGCATATTTCCCCTTGACTTCTTTTAAGAAATTTTGCATGCTGTCACTGAGACAAAAACCGCAAAAAAACTGAACAAATTGAATATCAGAGTTACTGCACTGCCTTCATGATGAACAAAATAATCCAAGGTAAAGAGTTAAGAATAATGGATGAAAGGCAATTGACTCAGATGATTGATTTGCTGAGTTAGGAAAAAAGTCATTAATCATCATTTAAGCATTTGTCCTGTGATGTCTTTTACCAGTCAGTTTCCGGTTATGTATTACAATATGAGTGTCAAAATTGTCTAATTCTTAGTAATATATTGCAGTTAAGAAATAATAAATATGACAAGTTTTTTTTCTGAGCCGACTATTTTGAATAAAAAAATAAACCAAGTTTATTAATAGAGAATATTACCCGAATATTTTCGTCTTCCTTCGTTCTTTATGTCTTGGTACATATTTTCGTAAATTTCAGGAACCTAAAATATAAATACTATTTATACAAAATTGCACTTAGTTGTGAAACATTATTTTCATTATACTAGTAATTTGTCAATATTTTGTCATACATTGTAGAGATTTTTACTTTTTTCAAATTGTTTTTAAATCATTTACTTTTGTAGTTTGAATTTACTGATATAAATGGAAATACACTTTCTAAGGCTCTTACAAATATCATCTATATACATATAAGGTCAACTTTGCATTTTACTATTCACAAAAATAAAGAAGATCATGTCGAAAATCTGTCAGTACTGAAGAACCGACTACTAATCTGATAGCAACAGGGATAAATAGTCCACAAGAAGCGGTATCAATCCAAAGCCAGTAAGATAGCAAAATGTAGTCGTCCTAGCGCATTCATGGATTTACCTTCATCAGGAACACTCAAAGCCTCATTGGCTTTGAGCGTTCCTGATGAAGGTAAATTCATGAATGCGCTAGGACGCCTACATACTTTGGTTCAATCAGTCAGCAAGGTTCCCTCCTTAAACGGGATATTAGTAAACCTAAAATTAAATTAGATACTAAATAAAACTGCGAAAATGCAAAAAACAACCCCCACCTAAAAAAAACCAACATAGCCGGTATCACCAAATTTGCATTTATACATGATTTTAACTGTTAGTATAAAAAATGTAACTGTTCTCTCTAAAAAATGTTACATCTTCTTATTTTAATAGTATAGTTTTTTTAGAAATTATATAAATAGCAGCAATAACCATACTGGCAATCCGACGTTGTTTTTTTTTTTAGAAAGAACCTATCAAAGATACAAGTGTATCTTTTAAACACGCGTTTTGGCTACACAAGACTCAAAAGTGGCAATCGAATAAAATTAAAGTTTGGAAACAAATAAAATTCGAAGTTGAAGAGCACAGATAACCAAAATTTAAAAACATGTGGCATATATAGCTAAGGCCATCTAGGCCATGAGGCGAGAAACCTTGGAATTTCAAATAATTCAGCATTTTATGAATAGCAAGTTGACCGCATCATTGATGGTTCATGTCAGTTTAGAAGTGCTATTAACTGTAATGATGATACCTTCATGGACGAAACGTCCACCAACAGTGGTATCGACCAAATGTTTGTTAAATTCCAACAACAGCATTATAGGTTTATAATTTAGTTAGCCTAATTTGCATTTCGTCTGCACATAACTCATCAGCAGCGTTCGTATGAAAACAGTTGGGAGGCCAAATAAAACAAGAAGTTAAAGAGGTACGAGAAAGCAAAAAAAAAAATCCAAAATGTTAGGCCAAATCTGATTAATTCGATTATGCATTGGGGTAAAAAATAATAGAGTTTCGAACAATTTAACATTTTATAGACAGTAAACTGTATGAAAATTATTATCAATACTACATGCCAGTAAAGCGGTGAAGACTATTGAACTGGCAATACCCTAGGGGCGAAACATGCACCAGTAGTTGGATCGACCCCGTGGTGTTTAAACTCAGAAAAGATATCAAGGCTATGATTTAGTATGCCAAACGCATGATTCATGATTAATGACATCCGACTCAAAACAGCTAGAAGGCAAAATCTAATACAAATTTCAAGATCATTGAAAATAAAAAATGCCTTAAAGCCGGATTTGTAATAATATAAGCAACACGACGGGTGCCACATGTGGAGCAGGATCTGCTTACCCTTCTGGAGCACCAGAGATCACCCCCAGTTTTTGATGGGGTTCGTGTTGCTTAGTCTTTAGTTTTCTATGTTGTGTCATCTGTACTATTATTTGTCAGTTTGTCTTTTTATTCTTGGCCATGGCGTTGTCAGTTTGTTTTCGATCTGTGGGTTTGACTGTCCCTTTGGTATCTTTCGTCCCTCTTTTGTGCCAATGATTGCTTATGCCATCTATGCATTAGGGTAGAAAACCCTTAGAGTGTCGAATAATTAATCATTTTATAAGCAGTAACATAAAATGACTGTATCAATTATAAACATATATGTATATATTTTCTTTTGACAATTTGAAGCAAAGTTTAAAATCTTATATATATTGATATAATTGTTGCAAGTTTCAAATGCATTTTTCAGAGGAGATTAATTGTTTTGTTTTTTGCATGTCCAGTGGCAAAAATTTCATGCAAATTCAGGATGATAGAATATTAGACAATATATGTTAACTCGTATATTCAAATGACAAATAACAATTATATAATTGCTGCTTCAAAATAACATTTAGTCAGCCATATTACCGTAGTATCCAAAATCTTGGCTTACCAATTAAAAAAACCTCCATTGCAAAAATAATTTTTTATTATTGTTGTCGACTCTAGAGTTGTCCCAACTATTGTAACTGACATGAGACCACAAAATTTTACCTTTCAAGAACACATAAGGTTACACCCAAAGCAAATACAAATATTACTGTCCTTGCAGTATCAATGTCAATTGTAATGTTGTGTGCTTTCGCAGTTTACCTTGAGAGTACAGCAATATCAGTAAAAACTTACCTGTATTGGTTCATGAACTGACTGGAAAGGAAGGTACAAGAACATTGGTTGACTTTTATTGTGTTGAGTGATGATTTTGTTAGCTCGTCGGGCATAGGCATACTGTAAAATAAAAAAAAAACCACACATGTGAGATTTTTCTTTATATATATATATATAATTATAAAGATTTGATTTTGTTTTTTAAAGTGGATGTACAGACACAAACAAATTTATAACAATCTATTCACTTTTTGGTCCGCCTAAAAAAATAGAGGTGTGTTACGTTTTCTGCTTCCGTCTGTCATTATCGTATCAGGTTAAAGTTTTTGTTTAAGGTAGGTTCATGTTTGAAATAAGTTATTTCGTGCTCATATCAATATGAAACTTAATACTAATATTCATTTAAAATATAAATTTTTAAGCATATACAAAATTAGGGTTTTGAATCAAAATTTCTCTGTTCACTTGAACTTGTAAATGTGATGAAGCGATTGTGGTTTGGTGTCATATGAACAGGTTTTCTTGCTAGAATAGATTGTGCTTTTGTCGCATTAACACTTAATTGTTTAACCAATAGACCAGATTATTACAGCCATACACACATATACAAAAGCACACGAACGCACTTCATAATTTTTCAAAAAAACCTTGCCATCTTACCGTAGAGTATTCGTTTGGTCGTATTGGTTCTTTGTTATCACGGAAATCTGACCCATTAACTGAAATAATATAATATCAGAAACACATGAAGCAGTATTAATCTGACATCTAATGTATTTTCATTTGCATGTTTATTTTCAAATATCAAATTGTTATTTACTAAAATTAGACAAATAGAGATCAATCTCCTACTTAACAAAGTGTTCTATTAGCATTTAACTTTGTAGGTTTGACCTAAACATGTAGTTAATTTTATAACGATAGAAATTACTATTTAATATACATGTATATTGCTTTTCATATCTTATGTCTCAGACTTACGAACTGTATAGTTATAGTAATCTTCTTGTCCGTTATAATATCCATAAAATGTATCGAACCCACGGTATGTAGGAGTACATTCCCATTTGCACATTCCTAAATGCCATCTGAAAGACATAGATACATGTATTATCCACGATTTTCGAATTTTCTTTTACCATTTTTGAGGACAAATAGCTTATAAACAGATTATTCAATAATCTTTAACTTAAGGTGTATACTGATTGTCATCCCACAATTCTAAAATATTTCGCATTCGTTCAGCAATGAAGATGCCGATAGTGAATGAACGTGACGGTCATATATATTGACTTGTGAAATCTCAAATGTTAAAATGTCTTGAGTATACATTATAACTCAATAGTTTTACAGTTTCTTAAGGGAAAATCAGTTACCATTTTGAAAAAAACTTTGAAATTTAATCTCAAAAGTTCAATATAGAATATAATAGAAATGACCAATCAAGAGTGTAGACTAGATAGGACGTACGCCTGTGTAAAGGAAGTTAGGCAACAGCTTTGTTTTATTGACTTCATGAAAACAAAATAAAAATAAGTTTAAAAATAAAACAAATAACAATTAGTATACTTTCCAATCATATGTGTTGCATATCCAAGTTCTTTCAGTTTCTGTGGCAGAAATGTTCGATTAAGGGGTGCACATGAAGGCGCCTGTGGTAAAATGACAAAATTCTGGAAGAAACAGCAACATCGACGGTGATATTTTGTCAAAGGAAAAGTTAACTTGTTTAAAGATATTACGTCTAACGATTTGATTTTAAGGTAGTTGACGGATAATGCTTAAATGTTGTATTTCTTACAAAAAATAATTTGGGCTAAATATGCAGACGTACATCTAACTGTGAATGTATGGGAAACTGTTTGATACCTTGAAATCTATTTTGTTTATGAACTGATCATTTCTATTCTTAATTAGATTTAAACTAATAAATAACGCAAAATTTTTGCTAATTTCTATAGGAATAAGAGTAAACATCTTAGTCACGTAGATTATTTTCTTCGTCCAATTTGTCACATATTCGACAAAGTTGTTTTGTTTTGAACTTTATGTTGGTATTAATGACCAATATTCATTTTAGCATCAGAACTCTGGTTACGTCGCACTTTAACAAAAGTATAGTAGTTACCTTCCAATTCATTTTTTTTATTTGCATACTTAAAGAAAAAAGGAAAAAGGATTATAAATAAAATTTTCGACTGGAATATCATAAAAACACAAGTCTCATTCGTTTAAACCGTGTGATAGTTTCCGGATTTGTGGTTCATAAATACTCGTCACGGTGTTAAGTAGTATAGAGTATTTATTAGAGTATGCCTACTACTAGAGAAATTATCTTACCTGTAATCCTGATTTGAATGGATAAAATCCTGATAAAAAGGCGTTTCTTGACCTAAAAGAAGAAAGTATTATTCATTCACAAATTTGGAAGCACGAATCTGTAAACATAAAAAGCATACATTTATTTCCATATATACCATACCTAACAGTGAACTGTTTGAATAGTTTGATCTCCAAATAAAAAAAAATCACCTATCTAATTCATTAAAATTCAGTTTTTCAATGTTTTTATAATGTAATATGACATATATGTATATTTGAAACAGTTGAAAAAGTATTTCATTCATACATTTCACAAAGTAATATACAGGCAACGCAGGTTAAAATAATCATATTGAAAGTCTTTTAAAATCTAAGGATAGGCAACTGTACGCTGTCGTTTTGATCCAACTTAAAATTCTGAAGCTTTGGAACTTTTGTAAATAGCTCCAGACCCGAGCACGAGAATTATGAAACAAGGTCTTTATACATTATCTGAAGTTATGAATACCTACGGAGAACAGACTGGTTGCACATAAGAATTGTTCAATATCATCCCATGCTTTGCTAGATAGTTTATGTTAGGAGAAATAACAGCCGGATTACGGAATCCTACATCGTTCCATCCTGAAACATTAAATACTTAATATTGACTGATGATATATAAAATGTTCAATATGATTATCAACATCCAAATAATAGTGATCTAAACTAATTATATATTAACTGACGGGTCCGGTGTTCTCGACACTCGTCCTTATGTGGTTTAAAAGGTAAACTAAATTGTACAGTAACAATCCAAAACGTGTATTGAAAATAGACAGACAACACCATGAACAAAGAGAAAATAATGCACAGACAAATAGCTATCCACAAAACACTATATAAACACTGGTTCAAGTCAGGTAAGTATCAACTTTTAGAAAACTAAAAGCATAGATCTAGAATATTGTAAGGTCAATGATATAAATGAATGTGTAAACGAAATGAACTTGTAACCTTGTATTAAAGTATTAACTATCATTATCCTAAAGGTAAAAAATGACTGTCTATTTTTTCAGCCAGTCGATTCTGGCTTTAATAGACTGGACGCAACTGCCATTTATTACAGCATATAAGATCAATTTATATAATCTGTTTGTTATAGTATAAAAATAACAGTCTTTCTAAATATTAACCTCGACTGTAAAGGACTTTACACATGGACTAATAGCAATTAGCCAATGCCAGTTCTCAAAAGGAGACTTCATGCTTGTAATCTATAATTCATAGTCATTGACAGTCTAGGTTATAAGTTATAAACAATAGATTTTTATCTAAACTTTGAGAACAACAAGATAAGAAATGGATGTCTTTTTCTAATTTTGAGAACAAGAAGATTAGAAATGATTGTCTCTATTAATTTCGATAACAACAAGATAATAGATATAAGAATATGTGGTATGAGTGCCAGTAAGACAACTCTCCATCCAAGTCACAATTTGTAAAAGGAAACCATTAACGATTAAGAACAGAGATATAATAAACATGTGAAAGCTCTCTCACAGGCATACAACCAATAATAGTAAAATATAAGGGCATACACCACAAGCACGGGGACACATTCTACTGCATCCACAGAATGCATGGGTGTCTCTATAAATTTTGAGAAAAACTACATAACTATAAACTTTGATAACTATATAAGATATGGATGTCTACATATTCTTTGAGAACAACAAGATAATATTGGATGTCTTATAAATGTTGAGAACAATAAGATAAGAACGGATGTATTTTTAACTTTTGAAAACAACAATATAACGGATGGAGGTCTCGATGAACTTTGAGAAAAACTACATAAGGAATGAATGTACCTATAAACTTTGAGAACAACTAGAGAAGGAATTAATGTCTCTATACAATTTGAGAGCTATATAAGAAATGGACTTCTCCATATTCTTTCAGTATAGCTTAATAAGAAAAGATGTCTTTAAAAACTTTGAGAACAACTAGATAAGATATTATTGTCTAAAGGGTGGAGTCATTACAGCATATTACCAACAGTTTATGGTCATCTTAAAAATTAAAGCGTCTTTCCAGTTATACACATTTTAATGCAAGAAAGCAAACATGGAAACAACTAGTAGAACATGATGAAAACAGAATGACATCCGGATAGACTGTGCAAGTATCAAGAATTTGTAAGGTTGACGTACAATTTTGCATTTTTAAATCGGCACTTTAATTTTTATCTATTTTTTCTTTTGCTCGTTTGGAAGCCAGCAAACACTATACACTCTTATCCGACCCTGTTATAAATAAAGCTCGTTCAAAAATATCCCCGAACTACATATAACGTGTTTTTTTTCCTTCAAGGACTAACTTCAATGTTTTGTTTTATCTTACTTCCTTGAAGTTAGTAATCCTGTTAAAAATAAACTTACCCAAATCATCAGCCACAATAAACACAATATGTGGTGATTTTGATTCCACGCATTTAGACAGTGATAAAAGAAGCAATCCATACACAAACACATCCATCCTTAGTCTATTGGGTAATATCTATCATGTAAAATAGTAAATATCAGTTATACAAATATTCAGTATTATTAGTATTTTTTCCATTTATATATGGAAAAAGAAGATTTGTCGTAGTCTTTGTTAGGCAAAAAAAGGATGAAGTTGTTTAATGCTTGAGATAAGAAATCCATTTTTTACATTTGTTCTGCTGTCCTATCTAGATAGAGCATTTGCATTTTATAAACTTTTAAACTTACTGAAATGTTTAGATGAAAATCCCTGTCCGGAGTCTTCATATGAATTTGGTAAAATCTTGACAATTATAAATACTAAAAGAACTGCTTATTATCGGGTATATGCACTTTGCAGAGCTGATTAATTTGTTGTTAATTAGCACTCGTTTTGAACATGAATGAACATTTGCCAACGGACGTCAATCAACCGGTGTACAGTAGTGAATAATATAAAAAGAAAAGAAAACGTAAGATGGATATTTCTGCTAAAGTTTCAAATATAAAAAAAAAACCGAATAAATAAAAACCGCAAAGTAAAAGATGAATAGTAAGCAAACGACAAAAATCTTAATAAAAGTATACATGTGAGAGCAAAACAAACTTGAACAGATGAATTCGGGTCTCCTCCAGTCCGTAGTGGGATACACTGTATGCAAATTATACATGAGGTTTCTAGAGGCAAGTAAAAGATGTAAAGTAAGCAAATGACTAGAAGCTTTATAAAAATATGCATGTGAGAGAAAAACAAACTTAATGAATTTAGTGGGATACACTGTTTGAAAGTTATACATGTTGTTGTCGAGAAGTCGGCTTGGTTTTCTTAAAAAGATACAAAAGATACATACCCTAAAGAATTACTTTCAGTTTCCTCATTCTCAGTTTCTCCAAAATAGTTTCCTCAGTATACAAATGTCAATATCTAATTTACAATTATCTTAAGACAACCTTACGTTGGATAATATAAGATAAATAGTAAATATTAGTCACGTGATTTGTATGTACTCTGAATTATCACCCTATAGAACTTATTTGAACATGCATACTGTGCTCTACGTATAGAGGTTTTGGTGAGTCACCCCAAATCACTTTGAAATCAATGTCTTCAGGATTTACTTGACTTCACATATATTTAAAAGGAAACCTTTAGCATATTAATTGTGCTTTCCCCGTGAAAATACTGCTGAAAAACAGACATGTTATCCAATGTGTATTATTGGCAACCACTAGCAGTAAACGCTCCATAATGCAGTAAAACCTATTTTGAAACCACGTTTTAAATAAATATTGATATCAGAAATTGTTATGACGATTTGCTCTCAACCGTTTAATGCTAAACTGGAAAACATACCTAAATAGGTCCATTTTGGGATATTGTCATTGGAATCTAGATATAAGCATCAGCTTATTGTCATTGGTATCTAGATATATGCAACAGCAAACGATATTTTTTTATAGGAACTTCAAGCCTTCTAAATTGATGATAATATTGGTATTTCTGTTATTGTCGTGGGTCATGTCTAATGTTTTCTTAACTATGAGTAAAATGGTCATAGTGACATATATAATATCATCCTATTATATTATTGCAATAAACTGATAAAGGACTGAAAAGAAGAAATTATAAATAAAATTACCTCTAGGTCACTTCAACTCATAAAAATAATATAATAAAGATATGCTCACCAAGGCCAAACGTTACTATGAAAACGATGTATAGATGCTGGTCACAACATATAGCAGTGGTTATATAGAATAGTAAAGGTATATCACGTGTTCCTGTATCAGTCCATTCTTTTGTGTGTTTAAATAAGAACATTTTTATTTTTCTTTACATCGAGCAAATCATATGATATTCTAATCTAATATTAAGGTTAATACGTAGATCGATTGCTAGATTATACTATTACAAATCGTAGCTGGTCATTTACAAAACAAAATCTGTTTGCATTTGTTATAGTATCGACTAAATATTTCCCCCTTTTCATGGTATCGTATGTAGAGTCTAAAACGTGTATTGCTGGTTTTTAATTCTCAATTTCCATTTAAAGCAGAAAACTTTTAGTTAGGCAAAATATGCAGATCTTAAATCAATTATGCATATTGTCAAACATTTTGTTGGTATTGTGACTTCTGCAGAAAAAAAGTATGACGAGACATAATCTTGTCCCCAGCATTGCAAAAATGGTAAACATGTTCAATCTTAAAATAGCTTTAACTTATTAATAAATGAAGTACCGACTTGTCTACGAAAAGGTATGTACTGTGATATTTAGAGCGAGGGACTGGCCCCGAGCACTCAATTGACCAATTCAATTTTATTTTATGTGTGTGGGGAGTGGGGAGAGGGGTGTAGAAAAATGGTTAAAATTCCAATTTTTTTAAATATATTTGTTTCAGCAGGAAAGTGAGAAAAAATCGTTTGAATCCATTAAATATGAAAGGCGGGGATTCAACATGTAGTTTTTGTCGAGCCTGCGACTTCTGTCGCAGAAAGCTCGACATAGGGATAGTGATCTGGCGGTGGCGGCGGCGTTAGCTAACTTCTTAAATGCTGGATGCTTCATACTTTGTATATAGATATTTAGAAAGTATGTTACGAAGTTTCCGTCTGTCATATGTCCATTGTCCTTGACCTCATTTTCATGGCTCAGTGACTACTTGAAAAAAAAGTTAAGATTTTTTGTAATGTCAATTTCTTTCTTATTATGAGTAATAGGATAACTATATTTAGTATGTGTGTACCTTGCAAAGTCCTCATGCCCGTCAGACAGTTTTCATTTGACCTCGACCTTATTTCATGGATCAGTGAACAAGGTTAATTTTTCGTTGTCAAGTCCATATATCAGATACTATAAGCAATAGGTCTACTATATTTGGTGTAGGGAATGATTGAAAGGTGTTCATGTCCAACTGGCAGGTGTCATCTGACCTTGACCTCATTTTCATGGTTCACTGGTCAAAGTTATGTTTTTGAGTTTTGGTCTTTTTTTCCTTACTACAAGCAATAGGTCAACTATATTTGTTGTATGGAAGGATAGTAAGGTGTATATGTCTGTCTGGCAGATATCATCTGACCTTGACCTCATTTTCATGGTTCATTGATCAATGTTAAGTTTTCATGGTTAAGTTTGTTTCTTAGATACTATAAGCAATAGGTAAACTATATTTAATGCATAGATTGATTGTAAGGTGTACATATCTGTCTTGCATGGTTCATCTGACTTTGACCTCATTTTCATGGTTCATTGGTCAATGTTTAGTTTTCATGGTTAAGTCTGTTTCTTAGAAACTATAAGCAATAGGTCAACTATATTAAATGCATAGATTGATTGTAAGGTGTACATATCTGTCTTGCATGGTTCATCTGACTTTGACCTCATTTTCATGGTTCATTGGTCAATGTTTAGTTTTCATGGTTAAGTCTGTTTCTTAGAAACTATAAGCAATAGATCAACTATATTTGGTGTATTGAATGATTGTAAGGTGTACATGTATTTCTCGTTTGGTTAATCTGACCTTGACCTCATTTTCTTGGATCATGTTAAGTTTATGTGATACTTGTAGTAAAGCTTTATATTTAGGACTATCAACATAAAATCAATGGTTAGTAGAGAAGGCGAGACATTTCAGTATGCACTCTTGTTTATAATGTTCCTGTAAAAATGTTTGTCTGTTTTTTTTTAAATATACACAAAATAGTTTGTTCCACAAAAAAGTTATCGGTTCCTTAAGAAATTCGTTCTATTGACTTGGAGAACTTTGAGAGTTCTTAATATATCACAATTACGCAGGCTTAAACAGCGTAAAAAAAGGTGAGAAAAGATTTTGATAATGATTGATTGATTGATTGATCGTTGGTTGCTTAACGTCCAGTTGAAAATATGTCATGCATGTTCAGGACAAGAACAAATTCACAATAAATACAATAGGTACATGTAGGTCCTCTAAAAGAGGTAGTCCGGGACTGAAATCGGGGTACTTTGGGCTGCCATTGGAAATTGAGAGAATATTAGATATGGACCGACATTTAGCTTTGACCCCATCCTGACCGGACGTGGCTGAGTACTTGTACATACCGCAAAGCCAAACGGACGCCCCACGTTGGCAAGGGTTTTACTGCCTATCGGAAGACGACCCAAGTGACCATATTTCTATCCCCAGTTACCCTTGTGATGATTATGGGCATGAATAATCAGGACTGGTAATAACTGTAAAAATATCAGTGTCCAAGACAGGATGAACATGATTATTGCAAGAAACGGTTGTGTACAAAAAGTGAAAATATTTTTCGCGCTTATAAATAAGCCGTACTATCAACAGTTGTAAAATGAAAAAAATCACCCTTCCACAGAAAATCAAATAGCCACTGCGGCTATTTAAATCTCATTCATGTTTTTACAGTCATATGATATTTCTTCGTAAATTCCGGAAACAACAAAAGCAAATTTTCAATAAAAAAAAGCTGGTTTTTTTTCACACCCAAATGTGATGAAAATTCAGAATTTGACCGGGTTTTTTTTTCAACGATGTTTTAAAATGAATACGCAGAACCCAAAAAGGCTCCCATAGTTACCGGCTTCATTTTAACCTTAAGTATGGTCGCCTACCTATTTAGTTAGTTTCTTCATTTTAACCTGAATAAAACATTTGTATCACAAACGTAGTGTAATCTTTAAATAACTGTTGGGAAACACCTAAATGTTTTGATTCATTTATTAACGAGAACGATCTACATTTTGACATATCAGGAGCATCCCACATTTTGACACACGAACAGTCCACATTTTGACACACCAGTACAAATAGTCAATATGTGCAACATTCTAACATATTATTTATTGCCTTTGTAGAGATCTATGAAGCATGTTACCAACGATAAACATTGGTTTATTTGTGGTTAGTGTTTTTGTGGCATTGTGTGACGGACAGCATCCAAATATTGTCTTTATTGTGGCTGACGACCTAGGTATGTTATTTTCATATTTATTTTTTTCCCAATACGATAAATATCAACACAAGATTCATCAGAAGGAAATGAAAATTATGGCTGTATATTTACACCACAACATTTACTTTGAGTACAGACAGGTCGGTGGGTCTCTCCAGTCACTCTGTCTTCCTCCATCAACAACAAATGACCTCCACGAAATAGCCTATAGTGGGGAAAGTGGCGTTAAACACCAATCAATCAATTATTAATCAATCTGAGAACAGACATACCTGTTCAAGTGGACACGTATGTAACTAGGCATGGCAGGGACTAGATAAACAAATTTAAGGTTCATGTGGACCCTTCGTCTAAAATGGCTGCATTTTCACCTCAAAATTTACTCAGAGTACAGACAAACCTGTGCATATGGAAAAGTTTTAAGGCATAGCATGCCCTAGATAAATTAAAATCTAATATATTTTATGTTTTAGAAAATTAAAAACTTAACCGGATTTTGCAGTGCACTTTTTTTCATTCCACCAGAAGGTGCCAAAATAAACAAAGTTGGGAAAGAGGTTTGAGAACTTCCCCACAGGTAATAATTGAAGTGAACTGTTTTGATTGACATGGACAATAGATGGACAATAGATACCTGACAATAATTGGTGATTTAAACTGTGTACCTGAGTGGACCATATCAAGTGAAACTCAACTGTTTGTTAATTTTATCATCTTCTGCAGGGACGAAAAAAAGTGCACTGCTAAATCCAGTTAAGTTTTTAATTTTCTAAAACATACAATGCATTAGAAGTTTATTTATCTAGGGCATGCTATGCCTTAAAACTTTTCCAGATGCGCAGGTTTGTTTGTCCTCAGAGTAAATTTTGAGGTGAAAATGCAGCCATTTTAGCCAAAGGGTCCACATGAACCTTAAAATGCATTTTATGTTTCAGAAAATCAAAAACTTACCTTCCTTTTGAGATTCCGTTTTTGTTCCACAGCAGGTGCCAAAATTAACTTGCAAACACCTGAATTTCATTTGATACGGTCCACATATTTACACAGTTTAAATCACCTATTGTAATGTATAGGTATCTATTGTCCATCTGTTGTCCATCTGTTGTCCATAGTAGTCAAAACAACTCAACTCACAATTTTTTTTCGGATTGACTACTAGTATTTATTTTGATCTGTTGCTAAGTGCGATGGGGACGCTAAAACGCGATGGTCACGCTAAAGTGCGATGGCCTACGCTAAAGTGCGATGGTTTGATACGCTAAAGTGCGATGGTCTGTGCTAAACATTGAACACGCTAAAGTGCGTTTTTTCCGCAAATGTATCGACGTTAGCAACGTTCGACAGCATTATAACGAGATTGTTTGTCCAGATTAAGGGCTTTTATTACACAAGAAAAGAACGAAGAGAGAAACAAATGATCACCGTGAATCTGGGACATTTTTGGTCGTTGCTGGAAGAGGTTAACTTAATTTGTAAAATTGTAAAAAGAAATTTAATCAAAACTACTTGGGGTTCCAAAAAAGTCTTCTCTTTTTACTTTCTAATTGAATAATTCTATAAAAAAAAATTCAATATGGTTTTTTATTTCTGTTAAATAATGAATATACGTCAACTAGACAGCAACCTAACGAACAGATGTGTTGTAGCATCATATGATTGCCAATAAGACAAACCCTTATGTCATTAATGTATGCAACTTTAGGTTATAATAGTATGACCTTTAACGCGGAGCATAGTATTCTATTAAGACCAAAGGGCCTCAAAACAATCAATGTAAAACAATTCAAACGAGAAAAATTACAACCTGATTTAAATACAAAACAATAAACGAACAGCAAATATGAAATATACCAACAAACGACTACCAGTAAGGGAGCTACCATTTGATTTTTATGGATGCATTTATTTTTTTTAGTTGTAATCTTTGTACTGCCTTTTTATTTTTCACTCTATTCGGTCCTGCCTTTTTTTTAATTAGTTTATCCTGACTTTTTTTGGACATAAATTGTCATCCTGCCTCTTTTTTGGAAAGTGTCTCATCCTGCCTTTCTTCACTCAAAACTCCTGTCCTGCCTTTTTTTCAAATTTCATCCTAGTCTGAACCACATTCCCGTTACATCATCGGACTTAAGCGTCTGACACCATCGCACTTTAGCGTAGACCATCGCACTTTAGCGTGACCATCGCACTTTAGAGTACCATCGCACTTTGGTCGTTGCTGGAAGAGGTTAACTTAATTTGTAAAATTGTAAAAAGAAATTTAATCAAAACTACTTGTGGTTCCAAAATAGTCTTCTCTTTTTACTTTCTAATTGAATTATTCTATAAAAAAAAATTACAATATGGTTTGTTATTTCTGTTAAATAATGAATATACTTCAACTAGACAGCAACCTGACGAACAGATGTGTAGTATCATTATAAAATATGATTGCCAATACGACAACTCTCTATTCACGACCTAATGTCATTGATGTATGCAACTTCAGGTATGACCTTTAACGCGGAGCACTGTCTTACACAACATATTATTTTTATTAAAAAACGACTTCAACAAAATTCCGGATATACTAACTATACTGCAGTTTAACCATTACACTTTTTGGACAACTGTCGTACTTTAAATAAAAATAAGAAGATGTAGTATAAACTATCAATCCAACCCCAAATGTCGTTCATGTATGCAACTAATAATCATACGGCCGTCAACGTAAAGCATTGGCCCATGCTGCATAACAAGCTATATAGGGTTATAAAATGACCAGTGTAAAACAATTCAAAAGAGAAAGACTACGGCTTGATATATAAATAAAACAATAAACGAAAATGTAATAGGAACTCAGCAACAAACGAAAACCATTGCCTGAACCACATTCCTGTTACACCATCGGACTTTAGCGTGTCATACCATCGCACTTTAGCGTGATATCTGATCGCACTTTAAAAAAAAACAACCATCGCACTTTAGCGTCTGACACCATCGCACTTTAGCGTAGACCATCGTACTTTAGCGTGACCATCGCACTTTAGAGTACCATCGCACTTTAGAGTCCTACATATATAATCCAGGTCAGGGAAGAACAAACATTGTTGGGCTGTTATTTAGACGAATTATATATATATAAATAAAAAATAAGGCTGAAAATACGCTAAATATTTGAGAATCCGGAAGGCATTTCTTTTCTTTATAATATTATGTACTTTCACTTTCGTTTTAAGTAACTACATTGTACTATATTATGACGTTCAGATTAAATAATGATATCGCTATAATAGACGTTACCCCTGACGACGTCGCTAGCAACCATATCCATGAATATCTGTGAAAAAGTGAAACCGGGGGGAAAACTATGAATATTAGCACAACAATGTGAAATCTGCAAATTTGCAGAAGCAAATTAATTATTTTTGTTTTTCCCTCGCCGGGATTCGAACTCATGCTATTGGAATATCGAGACAACACCGCCTGCACTGTGTCCAGCGCTCTAGACCACTCGACCAGATAGACTGAACAGTGTTAAAAATATTGAAAACATGATTGAGTTTTAGCTGTGTGATTCTATAACTAATTTGTAAAAAAAACCAATTTCTCAAATTCAATATATGTCACACTCTTTCTAGGATGTTATTGCAGAATAAATCTCAATCTTTTTTTGTGCCATTTTAATTTTCATTTTTTTGATATACCTTCATACCAGCATGCACATGCATAATCAAAATGACATTGAATCAGAGAAGAGCACAATATTTTCCTAGATTGAAAATTTAGACACTCTTTGTTTCTAAATCATGTAAATAAAAAACTTAAGCCTTTGATTGACTTTTTTTTTTAATATAGACTAAGAGTTGACAATAAAACCACCAGTCAGAAACTGATCAATTATTATTCCCAAATATTTTACAAAATTTTTGGATTCAATATTAATACCATAACAAGAGATAGCAAAATCAGCCGGTATTAGAGACCGAAGTGTTCGACCAGGACCAAAAATTATACTCTCCGTCTTTCCCAAATGTAAGGACAATTTATTGTCAGTTAACTAATCATTGCATGACTCCAGTATTCTGGATAATTTATGCGAGATGACCCCAGAGTCTATATGGGAAAATACAATTGCAGTATCATCTGCATATATCAAAACTTTACAATCTCGATTCTGAGTCACTGCTAGTTTGAACATCATTTACATAGATCAAAAACTATAGTGGACCCAGTAAGCTATATTTAGGGACACCACATGTAATATTACACACTTCTGAAGTTACCACATTTACACTTACAACCTGTTTTCTGTTTGTCAAATAGGACTCAAACTAAGGTACAGATCTAACCCCAATAACTTCTAATTTGTCACATAATATCTTGTGATCTACTGTGCCAAACGCCTTCTGTAAGTCTAATAGGACCATGCCTGTAAAAAGACCTTTAGACGTTTGAGTTTTGATGTGATCTTTCCTTGACATAGTTTGTACATGATTGATTCCTGTATGTTGTGTTCCAGAATATTCATTTTCATCCTGTCTTGTGCAAGGATATTTATTTTCAACTCTTACCAGACCAGGATATGCATTTTCAAAATCCTCCTACCGCCGTACCCCACCAACCCAAGAAAATCAAATTGTCGTCCTCTAACGACATAAAAGACAATATCTATAACTGCACTTGGTGTCCGTGACAACATTAAAACGATGCATAGATAAACAAAAGAAAGGCTTGATTTAAGTGGTAGTTACATGTTTGTAGCTAGCATGAACATGTAATTATATAAAATGAATCCTACTGGTAATTTTATCGGGTTGTTAAAGCGTTAAACGTGCGCACATGCAAAATGTGACTCGGCCAACGCTTTATCACCCCCATAATAATACAAAATGAAGCTTTCAGTTCTGAAATTTAAAAAAAACATATGCGTCACCTAACTATGAGGAAACTTGATGAAAATACTAAGATTATAGAAAGAGTTACATTTCGAATATGATAATGCTGTGGTATTGCAAAATCAAAATTTCGGTTTGTATTTAAAAAAATAATAAGTGTTACCTCTAGCATTCCAATCAAATATATTTACACATCTAGCTAGTATTGAAGAATTTAATGCTTTTTTTAGTAATTGTATTGGGGTGTAAAATTTTTTACCGAAGCACATTTTGTATAAAGCGCAAAGGCGCATCATACTAAAATGTGCGCATATCAACGCTTTTACAACCATATAAAGTCATAACAAAGAAACGTTCAATTCTTATAATTACATTTTCTTATACAACCATGAAATTACGAGTTATATAAAACTTTTCGTTTGTTTTCCTAAGCATTATTGTGACGTTATCATGGGAAGCACATGCAGTCACGAATATTGCATTTAAAACAAACAAAACAAAACAAAACATAATATGGGAATGCCTCGCAATTGTTAGCCAAAATAATTATGGATTCTAATGAAACACGTTCTGAAATGAAACCTCGAAAATACAAGTTCAAGTATATTTTAACTTCTGTATCTTTTCACAATTTACGCTGATATCTTAGGTTAATATATAATTTATGCAAACAGGTTGGAATGATCTGGGCTTCCGAAATAAACATGTTATATCACCAAACATTGACAAACTGGCAGGAATGGGTATGATTCTGGACCAATCATATGTTCAACCAGTCTGTACCCCGTGAGTACTAGTACTTAATACATGCCTTCTTATTACTGGTAACCCACAAATCCACTTATCTAAAAAGTCGAACGTTTAAATATAGCGAATTAACAAAAAAATAGGAGAAAAAACAAACAGATCGTTTCTTAACAATCAATTCATCCGAGAAAAAATGCAGAGAAACTAAAACAAAGACAGCTTCTCTGTCCCTGGTACAAGACACAGGTTTAAGTGGCTTTATTTCATCATACCCCTTACATGTCGGGTTTCAAAGAGCTTTAACCCTAGAGCACAGTTGTTATATTCGAAAAGATTGTGAAAGTTAAAAGAAACATATTTGTTATCATAAAATCTTTTGCTATTTCTAAAAAGGGAAAACAATAAAAATACCAATTTCTTTGAATCAAAGAAGATATTTCTAAAATCCGAATTGATGTTTTGTGCCACAATGTTACTAGAAATTGCACCTGTAGAAAGTTACATTTTAATTCTCTTTGGAGGGTTGATGGAATTGGATCTCCTTAAAACAAATGAATCGGACAGTCTTCCTACGACCACTGTGAGACAATAATAGAGAATAAGTTTTGGACTTTCACTTCAAATTCATTCGTTTCCATAACAAAAATAAAACATTTGTCCTTAATATCAAATCAGATATAACTTGGTAAAAGTTAGTGAAGATGTAATATATTTTTTCACGTCTCAATCTAGTGTTGTCATTATTTGAGCCGTCTCTCTATAATAATTTATGTGCAATAACTTTTAATTTTTATTGATGTTTATGAAACTTTTATGAAATGTTAAACTTTCTCTTGTCGAAAATTTATGGTTGCCCCATGCTCACACCGTTGTAACCCTTAATTTGATTTTGTGACTATATACCAAATATTAGATATTTTGTTCTACCTTCAGATCAAGAACTGCGTTCATGACAGGGGTGTATCCATTTAAAGTTGGGCAGCAGGTAACATATGTCAAACTGTTTATATGTTTTCCATAAATGAAATATGGATAAATCGGTTTTTGAAAACAAATATATATCCTTTATGGTAATTCAATATTTGAAAGAGACCATTATTACAAAGATATACAAAAAATGTTCGTGTAAGTGAATTGTAAAGGAGGAAAGAAACAATGATAAACAATGGAATTCCTATTGCTTCTGAAATTCTATATTAAAAAAAGATGTGGTATGATTGGCAATGAGACAGCTATCCATAAGGACTAAAAGACACAGAAATTAACAACTATAGCCCCCCCCCCCTAACCTGGGACAGTGGTGTAACAGTACAACATAAGAACAAACTATAAAAATCAGTTGAAAAGGGCTTAACTCATCAGATGGATACAGAGCAGAAATACATCTAACAAAAACACAGAGTGGACGTGGCAGGGTACTTATACATCCCACAACAAAAAAGACAGATCTGAGAGTACTCGCAGTTACTGACAGCTAGTTAAAAGCCCATAACAACTAATAACAAAAATCATACATCTAAGACTAAAATACCAATCAGTACACAGCCAACATCCAATGGATTTAGTGTAAAGACGTCATTAACAGTCAGAGAAAAACTTTACCTTGGTGCAATGCGAAGATACAGGTATCGACAGATTGTAGAGCCATGAATGTGCATGTATATACAAATAATATTTAGTTTGTTTTTAATTTGTAGTGGGGGGGGGGGGGTGACCTCTTAGAATAAGTTTATTTAAAGGATTTATAAGTTTACCCGAATCTTATCTAAACTTACGGTTCGGTAAACAACATCTCCGTAAAATATAGGATGTGCTTTACCGTTTGAAATAAGTTTTCTACAGGTACAACCAAACTTCAAAACCAGATCTTTATATCTATGGAAGAATTAAGTAAAGGTATTAAGTTATTTGTTGTAACGAAATCCCTGACTTTATTATTTACCAGTATTACATAGATTACGTTCATTAAAACCAAATAGCGGGCATAGTGAACGAGTTGTGATATATAAACACCAACAGATGTTGCCAAAAAACATCACCGCCAAAAAAAGGAAAATTAACAATAGGGAACGAAAAATCGTCCCTTTTGTCGTAAATTTTAGTGTAGAGTTTCCCGTGTAAAACTGAAATATCTAAATCAAGGAAAGAACAGTTATTACCGTCTATATATGATTGATTTAAAGTAGGTTCCTTTGGGTAAATTTCAGCAGTATATTTCGAAAATTCTTGATTATTTAACGAAAAAATATCACCAAGATAACGTTAAGTGTTGACGAATTTATCAATTAAATGCAATTTAGACGGGTCTTTTACTAAGTTTGGCCAAAAACTGTTATGCATAACAGCACAATAACAAGTCTGCTATAAAAGGGGCGCAATTGGTGCCCATAGGAAAACCTACAACCTGCCGATAAACTTTATTACCGAAACGTACATGAACATTATCAAGGAAAAAATTAACAGCTTCAATCATCTCATCACACCATCAGTAAGTATATCTAGCAAATTTACCTTTCTCATTAGAGAAGAAGGCTTTAAATGAGTTGCAGCAAATATATTTGCATTTGGATTTACCAAACGACCATGCATTTAATTAAATAGGAAAACTTTTGTTTGACAAGATTGTTGGAAGTGTAGTGTAAAGAACTGAAAAATCAAATATATCAACAGAATAAAAAGGACCATCAAAAGCACGAAATTTATCTGAATTTTTTACACTAAATAGTTAGTTCCACTATTTTCATATGTTTTATTACAAAAGTTAATTTTAAGTTCTTTGATAGTAGTTAAGGAACTAGTTAAAAGCACTGAAAGATTAGTTGTAGAACACTAACTAGAGGCGAGATGAAACGATATTTTATAGTAGGGACCTTCAAATGTTCAGAAGAGGCTTAAATCCGTGATGTGGTTATGATATGATATGATATGATTTATGACTCTCTGTTGGGCGCACGGACTTGAACGTAGAAGAATTTAGAATTTCATTCTTAAGAACGTCTGTGTAGTATTTACGGCATACCACCACCACCACATTGTTGCCTGCTTTGTCGGTCGGTACAAACACAAACCGCTTTGCGAGTACTTGAAGTTTGTTTCTTATTCTAAAAATAGTCGTATTATGTACTCTTTTATCTAATTCTATATTATTTTCAAAATGTGATATTCGAATATCCACAACATTCATAAATTTATTGAAATAAGAATCAAGAGATTTTGTTATCTAGCTTGTTTTGTGTCCATTTCCCCTTATTTTAGCCAAGCTGTGTCTTTTGTCGGCTTATGATTATTGTCGTATGGTACTCCCGATCGGTTATTTGCTTTTGCGCCACAAACCATATTTCGTTTAAGCCAAAAATAAAACATTTCATTTGCGCCAATATTACAGGTAAATACAGGTAAATAAAAAAACATATTCATCCGAAATTAGTCATCATAGAACCATAATGAAAGCACTATACACTGATACGTTGTACTGAAAACCATGGTTGTGTTCGTTAAAAGTTTTTTTATATTTTTGTTGTTGTCCATATCTGTTGTTTTTCTGGTTTTTCTGGGGTTTTTTTGTACCCCTAAACGACTTGTCTCCATTTTTCAGAACAATAGATAACCTATATGTGTGGTCATCATAAATTACAGACTAATTTTCTATGTTTGTCCCCGAATTGACAGTGTCCATCTTGACACATCAAACATGTGAACACTATATGATTTTAAACCAAAGTGAATCTCAGTTTTGTATTAGAAATGAGTATGAACTCAATTAATAACCCAGGAGAATACTATAAAAAAAATCTTATTCGCGATATAGCAATGAATATTTAAACTTTTCCGTTATATGTTACCTTTAAAATGGCGCAAATGTAGTTTTTATTTTTTTTGCGTAAATGAAATGAAATATTGTGGCGCAAATGAAAGATTGGATTTAGTAAGAATTGGCGCAAATGCAATGCGCCTGTCCCGACAGTATCTTTTGATTCATAATTTTATAATAAACTTGATTGATTTAATACAAATGTTTGTGAAAAAATGTAATCAAAAATATAAATCAATTGCTTTAAAAAGCAATTGTAAACGGTCTTTCCCCCACCTGAAACATGATTGACTGATATATTTGTATGTTTGTTTTGTTTGTTTGTTTATTTGTTTGTTTGTTTGTTTGTTTGTTTGTTTGTTTATTTTTTTTCTTTCTTTCTTTAAAGGGTCCATATTAGTGTGTTGGTTAAGTTTCTATATTTAGTTTGGAAAGTTTTTATTCTATTTCAGGGTCCGCGCGCGTCTTTGTCTCGCGCCAGGTTGTGGCGTCACGTGACGAGGCTTTATATTAGCGAAAACTTAGTATTTTTATTTCTTTTTAGGTGGGGACGTTGGACAGACAACATGTATAGCGACGGAATACACACAATGTATTTCTTTTGTCATTGTAGGTAATTGACGTTTCGATCACAGTTCACGAGCAGTGCATGCTTTGGATTTAATTGATCCTGTGTAACTTTAAAACACGTTTATCGATTATTTTCATACAATGTACATTTTTCAGCAGCAGTTTGTAACACAGATTTGTATTTCAATCTAGGAGCGGACATTTTATTGTAGGATTTCACTGAGATTTACGGAACTAGCAAGCGATTTTTACGGCATTGCAATTTCTTTTCTCTGGGAAAATTCTTGAGAGATATCTGCACCACGTTGTTTTATGAAGATTCAATACATGTATACTATACCCTGCTGACTGCAAAATTTGGGGTCAATTGGACATGTAGTTTCTGAGAACATCTGATAACAAGCATGTGGATTTTTTTTTTTTCAGAAGAGATGTAAATACAATATTAAACACATGAGACGGAAACATGCATACAATGAACGATTGATTGGTTGGTTGGTTGGTTTATTGATTGATTGATTGATTGATTGATTGATTGAATTGGTTGGTTGATTGATTTGTTGATTGGTTGATTAAACACGTGGGATAGGGTCTCTTGAAACAAGCGAAAAAAAGAAACAAAGGAAATCTTGGACCCCGTATTAAACACATGAGACGGAAACATGCATACAATGAATGATTGCTTGGTTGGTTGGTTGGTTTATAGATTGATTGGTTGGTTGGTTGGTTGGTTGGTTGGTTGGTTGGTTGGTTGGTTGATTGATTGATTCATTTAACATGTGGGATATGGTCTCTTGAAACAAGCGAAAAGATCTTGGACCCCATATTAAACACATGAGACGGAAACATGCAGGCATGCAATGATTGGTTGGTTGGTTGGTTGGTTGGTTGGTTAGTTGATTAACACAGAGAACGGATCCACTTAGATCCTGCAAAAACGGAATTGAAAGCCTAGATACTATATATCTAAACACATGGGATTTATCTTTTGAGAGATCACTTAACAAAGTAGTAAGGTTAAAGGTCAATGTCAACCTACAAAAGCATTAAAACACAATCAAACTCTTTAAATAGTGCCAAAAACACATAATTTGCCTCTTTGTACATGACCTTGACCTTTGACCTTGACCCCAATTTCAAGGTCATGAAACAAGGGCCTCAAATCAAAACACTCTAGGTCTCTACTATATATTGTTAATGAGTTATATTACCATACAGCTAATATTAGATATAAAAGGGGCGAAAACTCCCATTAAATGTCTATGTACCCTTTCAACTAAAATTTAAGTGTTACGACATGTCGCAACTAACAATTCTATAAAAATATGTTGTCGATATCTTATAAGATTTCTGAAAATTAGTGATAACAAGCCAAAATCAAAATTTTTAACATGACCTTGACCTTTGACCTTGACCTCATTTTCATTTTTATGGACCAAGGACCTCAAATCAAAAGACCCTAGGCCTCTATCACTTATGGTTTTCCAGTTACAAATACATTTCACATATATCAAATACAAAAGGGGAAATAACTCTCATATGGAGTCTTCGTAAAGCTTCGGTCTAAATAAAACCTAACATCCTGAGGATATAACGAGCAATTTGGAAAAATAAATTTGTCGCTTTCTTTTACGGTTGCGGAGGAGATCTCATAACAAGAAAAACAGTGTTTGGGGAGATAACTCTTACAAAGAAAAGTGTTCGGTTAAACAGGGTCAGTTTCAAAAGCGTATAGACTGTATGATATCATATACCAAAAAACTAAGCGACATCTTTTGAAACAAAAATACACCGCAAGAAAAAAATTAGGCGGAAGAAAAAAAAAATAATCAGAAGAAAACCAATAGGTCTTTCCACAGAAAGGTGGAAAGACCTAATAATCCAAACAATCTGTGTCCTTTTGTCCAAGTGTAGTTTGTTATCTTCAACTGCTAATTAATATTTAAATAGGACCTTGTATTAGCGGCTCTTATTAAAAAAGATCTTAAGACTGAAATTGGTCGTTAGTTATGCTGAAATGTTCATGACTTGTAATCAAGTATATATATATATATACTTTTATTCAGAACAGGAATAAAAGCGATGTTCCTTTGCCTTTAGTTTTGTCAATGTGTGTAGGGAGTTTGTGTCATGCATTGGTTCACCCTTTCCCTTCGTTTCCGTTGAATTTGCTCATTGTATGTACTTTTAGTATTCTGTAAAGAAAATACTTGTATGCTTTAATCATTTCCAACTATTGTAGCATTTGGCGATGTTGCCAGGGCAACCGTCTTGTGCTGCCATGGACAAAGTGACACTGCCACAAAAACTAAAAGAAAATGGATATAGTACACACATGCTTGGAAAGTAGGCAACATTACCAAGTTATAGTAATTATAATTAAACAAAATGTAGTTTTCTGTCATGTGAGTTGTAAATAGTCAGAAGGATGTTTAAATTAGCATTTAAAATACTTATTGATAAAGGTTATGAATCACTTCGTCTGGTGTTTTTGAGGATACGCATCAATTCTTATTAATCAATATACAGTATGAAGCAGTTGAATATTTGTCTTTGTGTATCTGTGTTGAAATTCTGTACATGTATGTTTCGTGCATTGCATAAGTTGGTGTCTTCCCGGAAAATTCATGACTCATTTTTGTGAATTCACCTTTGAAGTACAAATATTGTCTTTTCGAAAATAATGAGCATTTGATACTGTATACTATAAAAAAAAATGTACGTGCGTATTTGTCATCTATCATACCGTTATTTGATTGTTAAGTGCTTTCTTTGTACTGATACACATTTTGATAAGTCCGCATATTGGGATAAAAACAGGAAGAGTTAAGATCTAAAAATTATTTTAATCCAGCCACATGTTCGCGCCCTTTTGCCAAGTCAGGAATTTCGTCAGTGGTTTCTGTGGAAATTAATGTTGACCATAGTTTTTGCTTATCTCCATTACAACTTGATTAGACCAGGGACAATTTAGACCTTGACAACTGTATAGCGGGATTTTCTCGCTGTGTTGAAGACCCATTGGTGGCCTTTGGGCTGTTTTCTGCTCTTTGGTCGGGTAGTTGTCTCTTTGACACATTCCCCATTTCCATTCTCAATTTTATCTGCATATTGTAAAAGATTTATGTTTCCCTGTGATGTCTTTGGGTTTTATGGTTGTCGTCTCGTTGACAACTGTATAGACATCTGCATATTGTTAAAGGTTTATGTTTCCCTGTGATGTCTTAAGGTTTTATGGTTGTCGTCTCGTTGACAACTGTATAGACATCTGCATATTGTTAAAGATATATGTTTCCCTGTGATATCTTTGGGTTTTATGGTTGTTGTTGACGTAAACCCCATATCTGCAATAGTTCATATTCAGGTTCTTTTTCTACTGACTACAACTGGGACATTTTTTGTAGGTGGCATCTTGGTTTCTGTAAATGGGAATGTACACCAACATACCGAGGATTTGACAGTTTTTATGGCTACTACAATGGCCAGGTTGATTACTATAATTATACTATTGGTAAGTAGTGACTTAGGTAATTCAAGTGTTGTAATTATAGAATATCTAATCGAAAAATTCAAATATAGAAAAATATTCAACGAGTGACCGAACAACACATTAATTCATGAATGCGCGTAGCGCATGAGTTAATTATCAGTGTTGTTCGGTCACGAGTTGAATATTTTTCGATATTTGAATTCTTTGATTAGTTATTCTTTTTATTACATTGACAGAGGGCTTTTAAATGGAAATAAAGTAGAAAATGTAAGGAACTATATCTTTTTTTATACGCATTCATAATTTGCTTTGATGCGACGTCATCGACAACGTCTTGACAACACTTGACGTCAGAGGGGTGAAATAACCCGTGTTTATTTCACATGTGAAATTATTGGTTTTTATTTCACTGGGAAATCACGGTAATTCATTGCAACCAATGTAATAATGTTAGTTATTAGCAAACCGATAATCGAAATCGAAAATTTAGATGCCAATGGTCATACCATGAAGAAAATTAATAAGTTATGATTTCTCTAATAATAAGCATTTCTTCTTTCTACAAATCTTCAGTGATTCGTTGATTTCTATTTGATTTCATTCTTGATTTCACGGAAATCGCCGCTGGATTAAAACAATAATATTCTTTTATATATGTTTCTTAAATTTTATCTAATATAGGGAATGGGGTCGATTTTCGTGACAATAAACAGCCAATAAGGCCTACAGAATATTCAACAGTAAGTTTTATTTGTTACATTGCATTTTTACACTTTACCATGAATCGGTAATTTTGCTGTACTTTATCCGTTTTGACATATCCGTTCGAATATACTTAAGATTTCGCCATTATGCCCATCTAATAGCAAATCAAATCTCAGATAATTAAGTAGATTTATGAGGCTTTTAACAAAGAAGTATGTGATCGGTGCTGACATCTTCAACTGTTTATGATTATTCATTTGTTTATATCTATCCGCTGTGTGATATATATATATATATATATATATATATATATATTATATCCAAATATAACTAAAAAGGCTTCGATTTTCACTGTTAACACACAATTTATCGGCACTCATCGTTTTTCTTTTTATATCGATTAGTTGGAAAAATGAAAGAATGAGAAATTCTTCATGAACATAAAGAGCACTTGATCCCCTCATAATGTTACATTTGTATAATAGTATAGTAAAAAATAAATACAATTCTACTAATCTGTTTGTGCTATTATGGACCTTAGATTTTTTAGGCATGGCTTTTGTTCATTGTTGAAGGCTGTACTGTGGTCTATAGTAGCTAACTTCTACGTCTACGAAAGTCGCGGAAAGCGAGAAATAGGGATTGCTTGTCCGGCGACGGCGACGGCGTCAACAATTGTTAAGTTTTCTGCTTAAGTTAGTTTGATAGGAACTACTTGTGATAGATCATTGATATTTATATAAAGTTGCATTACTATCAGTACATATCAGTTTGACGACTATTTTAAGGCCCTGCCCTCTAGGTCATGGTCCGGTGACTTTCAGTTAATTAGCAATTTTCAATGTTAAGTTTTCTGCTTAAGTTAGTTTGATAGGATCTACTTGTGATAGATAAATGATATTTTGTATCAAGTTGCATTATAATCAGTTCATATCAGTTTGATGACTATTTCGAGGCCCTGCCCCCTAGGTCATGGTCCAGCAACTTTCAATTAATAAGCATTTTTAATGTTAAGTTTTCTGCTTAAGTCATTTTGATAGAAACTACTTGTGATAGACTGATGATATTTTGTATGAAGTCGCATTACTATCAGTGCATATCAGTTTGACGACTATTTTGGACGTGGTTCAGTTACTTTGAATAAATTTTCTGCTTAAGTTAGATTGATAGGAATTTTACCACGATATTTGTATAAAGTCACATTACTGTCTGTGCATCTCAGTTTGTCGACCATTTTCCTGCCCTGCCCACTACATCATAGCCCAGCGACTGAATTGATAAGCAATGTTGCAATCCATCAGATTGTCTTTTTTAAAATTGTATGCAGAAAGACGAGACAGTTTATTTATATTTTTATTTATTATTTTGCAAGATTCCTTTACAGCGTACTTGTCACAACATATCAATACAATTTTGCATTGTTGTTGCTAGCAATAACTTATTAAACACTTAAAAAGAATATTTGTATTTAATAAATTCTTCTTTTCTAATCTAAAAGCACAATTCAGTATACCTCACCTTACGAAAAACGAGAGTTATATATTGTTTTACTCTGTCCGTCTGTCCGTTCATCCGTTCGCACGTCATCTTGGTTTCCAGATGCTAAATCAAATGCTTTATATCCGATTTAAATCTTTTTTGGACATATGGTAACATTTAATAAGAACAAAACTGCTTATGTTGATGTCACACCGTCTAAGGTCAAGGTCATTGTTATTAAAAGATAGACCGACATATATGAAGGTAAGTGGTTTCTGGATAGTAAATTAAATATTTGTTTTTATCAGATTGCAACCTTACTGAGTTATATGATATCGTCTTAAATAATGAGAGGATGATTTCCCTTGAGGTTGAGGTCACTGTGTCCGAGGTCAAGGTCAAAGTTACCAAAAATAAATCGAAATTTGTGCAGGAAAGATTCCTTTTGATATTAATAGTACTAGTATGTCGAGGTCATAGTTATTTAAATAAATCTTTGTTGAACAATATTACTTTTTGAAATCATAACCCCTATAAATAAATAGAAATCCGTTTGATATCATTATAAGCTCTTCTCCTTTATATGGAGCAAGGGGTATGTAAGCTTGCTCGCTAAAGGTTCTTTAATGATTATGCAGTTCATTGCGTGACTTTTACCAACAAGGATCCAAAATTCTCCTTGTACAAATCTGGATATCCCGAATAATCATAATTTACACTGAAATTTATTATTATATTTCTGATATCTACTAGTGCAAAATATCTGGACGATAAACATCTGAATAGATTTTAGATATAAACGTATCTGTAAATAACCAATATTTGTCACATAAACTATGTTAAGGATTTGGAATAGGCTACAATTCTCAACGTATACTTTCAATATTATCCGACATGTTTTCATTTTCCTTGTATTTTTATTTTAGTTTGAATACGCCAAGCGTGCGGATGAAATACTGAGAACGCACAACACGAGTCAACCCTTATTTCTGTATTATGCTTTCCAGTCTGTGCACGAACCAATAGAGGTATGCTTATTACGCCAGTGTCATAAACACGGACAAAATATGTGAAGAATAGCTGTCTTAAAAGTAGGGAAAAGTTTGATAAACGTGAAAACTGAATTAATGATTAACGCAAGTTTTGTTTTATATTTTTGATAATCTTGATTAATGTAACTAATTGATTTATTGTTGATGCTTAACATCTAGCAAAATATGCTTTGTATACTCATGATGAGAACGAAGTAATAAAACAATAATACAATTAAATTGAAGGCTTTTTTATGTAACGATAATTTGCAAACAATCAAAGCTACCACGTAGTTTTCCTCGCAAAGCGAATAATGAGGCAAAAGATAATGTCTTCAATCATATTATACTTGCGTATTTTTCCAAAAGCTGTTGTATTGTAAATCTTCTTTCAAATGCACTGATCGCGATGTTTTTCTAAACACGAGGATTCAAGTGTAACTCGGAGTCCTAGCTGAAAACGGACTAGGGTGCGGTAAATATACATCTCACGTAACAAATTAAATAAGTTCTCGCTAATAGTCTATCGGCCGGACAGGAAATGTCCAGATTAACGTTCATCTATATCCTATTAATCGTATCACCTATATTACTTTTTAGTGAAGTTAGCAAACTTTGATACAGAAATTCAATTTATTCATAGCACTTTTCATTAAAATGCAAACATTAATGATGGTCAACATCTTATAATGCTAATGCCATTTTTTATGCAGAAAAACTCGGGTACTTAATCATAGACCTTATCGTGTAGTCGACTTTTTTCACTCTGCAAATACAGGTGTACTGTACAGATAACACGAAGCGATATACGTGTACTATGAGTATATAGTTTACTTGAATCCTACTGCTGATGCTAGCAACCAGTTATTATCAAATTACGCTATAAAATTCAATTTGGGGTCATCATCGCGGTCCGCTTGAGTTTATCTCATATTTTTATTCAGTATCTATTATTTATTTTTCTTTAATGTAAGAACACATTATTTCCACTTTTATAATCCGAACGAATTTGGAGAGTATTGCACGACCCCTAGCTTGAAAACATGCTCCATGACATGCACTTTGTATCATATTTTTAAAATAGTATACAGCTTGACTTCGTATTAGCTACTTTTTAAAACTATGAACATTGCTTATCCTGAAAAACGTTTGTATGATTGGCTAAGGATTAATACTGGCCTATGGTATGGATGTGAAAATACGTTCAAGTATTGCTTATTTTAGACATTACAACCCTCTAGAATGATTATCAAGAAAACCATACTTACATGTTGAATCCATAATTTCAAATTATTTCAGGCAGAAATAATATATTGTTTCAACGCATTTGAAAAAAAAATGACTGATCGATGAAATGCGAAACAAGAATATATTGGGCCTGTCAGTGATATTTGACTGACTAGAAACGAGTGAAATGTAACAACAATTAGACATTTTTCAATATAGCAAAATAACGATATCCTAAAATAATGAAGGGTCATCATATACTTATATGAGAAAAAACAATTGTATTTTGATTGTAGGTTCCTAAGTCGTACGAAGATAAATACAGTTGGATTAAAAATGAAGGCAGAAGGAAATATTTAGGTAAGGAAAAATACTTTAGAAGCATGTCTTTTTCTTAATATGCACTTTATCATATTACTTTAGAACCTGGGAATAGTACATCTGCTAATTTGGCAATGACAGGTATGATTATTTCAGCAAATGACAATCGGACAATCAAACAGAGGACGAATACTAAAAAAAATTCAAAAAATGAATTTGAACGAAAGATGTATTCATTATGATCCAACAAACAATACATATAACTTAGGAAATATAGTACTTAATTCTAATTACGACACCATTGTTGGCTTCTTTGTTAGGTGGGACACACACAACACGCTTACGAGAGTACTTTTATTGTTTGATAATAGTATTTTCCGAAGTAAAATTTAAATAAAAGAGAGGCGCAAGATACCAACGGGCCATCCAAACTCATCCGTCGAAACAAACTGACATCATCTATATTGCGGAATGTTGCTTAAATAAAGTTGCCTACACTATGTCTAATACTATATATATAATACTATACTTAACCCAATCCATATATTATTCGTTAAATAAAGTTACCTACACTATGTCTAATACTATATATATAATACTATACTTAACCCAATCCATATATTTTCCAAAGAAAAATCTAAAGATTGTTGAACAACAACTTTCTCTTTTATGCTAAAATTTACAGTAAGAAGAAATGATGACTTAACAACACTACAGAGTTAATTCCAGAAGTGTATAATCAATCAGTCACTTAAAAGTATATACTCGAGTAAACAAAGTAGTTTTAAGTATATTGAAATAAACTGGAAGTTAGTTTATGTATATTAAACATTACACTTATATTTCCAGGAATGGTAACCGCATTAGATGATGCCATAGGCAATTTGACTGAATCTCTAAAGCAAGCCGGTCTTTTTGACAACACACTTATTATCTTTTCTGCCGATGTGAGTAAAGCTTTCTTCATTAGGTTTTTCTTGAATTTATTCTCACATACATTTCCTACATACGGGTTAATTAAAGTTAAACAACCCGACCCGAATATGGCATACCTTTTTCACAAAAGTGTTTGTAAGACCATGATAATTTGTTCCGTTTGACAACACATTCCCATAAAAATTGTATTATTTGGTAAACAAATGATGTTTCGGTAATGTTTATATATAAAAAAAATCTCATTAAATACAAAGAAGTCAGAAAAAGAACCAGCGTTTTCAGTCTGTTTTTCAAAAAATCGAACCAAGAACGATTTTTTAATGGCCGGCTCGTCTATATGTTTAACAAAAAAAGAATTTCTATGATTCTCACTGGAGTCCTTCCTACAGTAAACGATAGCCTAAATTTATTTTAATAAAGTGTTCTTAACCGACGTTGTCACTCTTAAATACAAATGTCTTTAATTTGTGACCACACTGATTCTAACAACAACTACATCAGATTGCTGAACTTTTTCACCCACATCATCTTTGTCGAATTTGATGGATTGGCAGTTGAACATTTTGTCGGTGTAAAGATTGTTCTCAATCTTTCTTACAATACCTTTAGTCTGTAGATATTTATTCTATTCAATAGCTTTTCGAAATACATTAGCCAGGTTTTCTAAATAAAATAACAACTAAACTATTATTTCAAGAAATAGAAATTATTATTATTACTATAAATTACTACAACGAATGAAAGTACAATATGTTTAACGGTTTTCTGTGATTTTCGTGCGTGAAGTATTTACCTATTAAGTTTCTGTAAAGATGAGTTCAAATTCGTTTTGCTATTCGGAAAATCCCCTTTTTATAATCCTTAGCACGCCTTATCCTTGCGCGTAAGAAAATAGGTCGCTACTGGTCAAGGTTAATCATATAAATCACTGTCAATACATACGTAAATATTGGATTATAAAGAAAGCAATCACGATTTCATACGTCTCGACACCGATTTATCAATATAAGGCATATAAACACAAGTAACTAAAGAAATGTAGGATTAATAACAAGTTAGAAAACAAAGATGTTATTCGAATGCCACATGTTGGCGGAATTTCGTAACGCTAAATCGGCAACTGCCAATTTTGCCGGGAACGACGTTACGTTAACACCAAGGTAAAACCGCGTTATTGAATGTTCACAACAGTCGGTAATCCAATGAGTTTGCAGCCTTGTCAGTTCTAGTACCATAGTGTGGTAGTGACTTAATACGATATATATGGGGTCAATAAATTCCATATGGGAAGTGTGGTAGTGACCTAATACGATATATATGGGGTCAGTAAATTCCATATGGGAAGTGTGGTAGTGACCTAATACGATATATATGGGGTCAGTAAGTTCCGTATGGGGTGAGAGCGAAGTTCCGATATATTTAGGATGCCCTTTCACTGTGTCACCATAATATTAGTTACATAGTGTGGTAGTGACTTAATACGATATATATGGGGTCAATAAAATCCATATGGGAAGTGTGGTAGGGACGTTATATATGGGGTCAGTAAATTCCATATGGGAAGTGTGGTAGTGACCTAATACGTTATATATGGGGTCAGTAAATTCCATATGGGAAGTGTGGTAGTGACCTAATACGATGTATATGGGGTCAGTAAATCCGTATGGGATGAGAGCGAAGTTCCGATATATTTAGGATGCCCTGTCACTGTGTCACCATAATATTAGTTACATGGTGTGTTAGTGACCTAATACGATATATATGAGGTCAGTAAATTCCATATGGGGTGAGAGCAAAGCCATGACTGCATATTTAAACAAATTGGATGTTTTAGAGTTGATATAAAAAATCTGCTTAATCTAAAACTTTTGTAGAATGGTGGCTGGCCTCAGTTTTTTGGCAACAATTATCCCTTGAGAGGATCGAAGATTTCAGTATATGAAGGAGGCACTAGAGCTTCAGCTTTTGTGTCTGGAAAAGGAATAAAAAATCCTGGCACTACATATAAAGGGTTAGAAATTTAAATTTGAATAGTACGTTACAGACACAGTTTTCAAAATAATGAAAAATAAATGCACTTATTACTTTATTACTTTTAAATAAAAAACACTCATTTTGTCATTTTGAGTAGGGCTTATTTTAGCGGAAAAAATTTCAATCTACTAAAATTTATAGTATCTAAGACCCCGTTCACACAAGCATTTTTTTATCGATCTAATTTGAATCGATCTAAATAAAACCAGTTAGCGTTCACATTATCTTTAAACATAACGATCTCTATCGGTCTAATCTTTAAAAAATGGATGAAGTTATTGTTTCTTTTGAATCACAAGTTCAAATTTTGATACTGGTGTTCTTGTACTTTTCATTAATTTTGAAACAAAAAACTGTAGCAAGGAAGAAATGCTCCTGTTCTGAAAAAAAACAACAACAAAAACAACAGAAGAAAAGAAGACACACAAATTTATGGTACGGCGAAGACAACTTTTTTTCCGTTTGTTTTTACTTGCATGTACACAAAGTCTGTTTTTTTTAAAAAAAGAGAAATATTGGTTAAACAACGAACCACCGATATATACTGGGGTGTTATGTTATTACACTTGCAGTTTTGTCGCTATACGTGCGCATAGATTATTTTCGATTCAATCGTACTAGTTTAAACCGATCTTTGCGTTCACATTTAAAGTTAGATCGGTTCACTTTAGATCGATTCAAACTAAACTACCTCTTTTGGTGTTTTAATTTAGACCGATTGAACATCGATTCAAAGCGTTCACATTAGCCCTTAAACCGATCTAAAGTGAACCGATCTAGTTTAAATCGATATAAATGTCCTAGACCCCGTTCACACTAGGACATTTAGATCGATTTAAACTAGATCGGTTCACTTTAGATCGATTTAAGGGCCAATGTGAACGCGTTGAATCGATCTTCAATCGGTCTAAATTAGTACGATTGAATCGAAAATAATGTATGCGCATGTATAGTGGCACAACTATATCAATGTTTCGTTGTTTAACCTATATTTCTCTGTTAAAAGACCTTTGTGTACATGCACGTAAAAACAAACTGAAAACTTGTTGTCTTCGCCGTAGCATAAATTTGCGAAAACTGTGTCTTCTTTTTTTAGTTGATTTTTTTCTTTTCAGGAACCGCAGTATTTCGTCGTGTTGTAACTTCGTTGCTATATGTAGTTTTTTGTTTCAAAATCAAAGAAAACTGCAAGAACACCAGTATCAAAATTTGAACTTGTGATTCAAGAGAAACACTTCATCCATTTTTTTTTCAAGTGTGTGTATCAGTGTATCAACACATCAATTTGATAAATTAGTTCTATTTATACACAATGTTAACAGTTTTACGGGTAATAAGGTCAGACCAATTGAATTTTTAATTGTAGTGTGAACGCACTGGTTCAGATCAGACCGATAGAGATCGTTGTGATTAAAGATAATGTGAACGCTGACTGGTTTTATTTAGATCGATTCAAATTAGATCGATTAAAGAAAAATGCTAGTGTGGACTGTGTCCTAGTGTGAACGGGGTCTTAGATTCAAAGATTTTGATAACGTTGAATGAATGAATGAATGAATGAATCAATCAATCAATCAATCAATCAATATATGAATCAATCAATCAATCAATCAATGATATGAATATTAATGAATCAATGAATCAATCAACCAATCAATCACTGTATGAATCAATCAATCAATAATCAATCAATAATCAATCAATGAATTAATCAATCAACAATCTATCAATCAATCTTGATTTTTCATACAAAGAATCTTTCATAAATGCTTAAAGAAACTTCAATTCGATAGAGTTGACAAATTGCTATATTCTAAAAAAAACAACGACCGAAAGCTTACGTTTTGTCTTTTATATACAAATTATTCCATTTTGATGGGAATGTCCTGCGATGAACAATTTGACAAATCCGTCCAATAACGACGATCTGTTAACTTCTAGTGCCACATATGTCATGCATATTCAGGATGAGAAATCAACAATGAATCTGATATAACAGGTAGATTTTTTAAAGTTGGTCATCTGGAGCGAAATATAGGAAATTTGGACTACCACTGGTTTTAATGAACTGAGGAATGGTGAATAGAAACATACATTTTGCCTTGCAACAGGCCACCTAAGGTCCTCTTAAGTTGTTGCAACGTGTTGAGAACGTGAAAGTTTTCCTACCTGATGCATTGGACGTGTCTGTGTATTAATACACCCCTCACAGCTAAACGGATGCATCTCTTTAGTATAGTTTTTATTCCTGGATAAAAAGAGTCAAGTTTCCCATAGTTATAAACCCAAATCGCACTTAAGTTCCACATTTTTAAAAATTGCACATAGTCTTACGATCTTTTAAAAGTATTTTCAACAACATACTACATCACTGAATAAAAGTTTGATTAAAATACTTGTAAAAATCGAATTTCTTACAAGTATTTAATTTGCATATATTGTATCAATACCTCTCTAAATAAGCCCCTCTGAGTGTTTATAATACAGTAGGAATTGGTTATATTATATGTTTACATTTAATTTATCTAGGGTAGTTTCTGATTTTTGTAGATTTATAAAAATAAAAAGATGTGGTATAATTGCCAATGAGGCAACTCTCCACCAGAGACCAAATGCCATAGAAGTTAACAACTATAGGTCACCGTATGGCCTTCAACATTGAGCAAAACCTATATCGCATAGTTACATGTTTAACGTAGAAAAATTTGTATGGAACACATTGTTTGGTATCTAATCAAACACAAAGTATATCAAATGATTTATTGCTATATGTACATTATCTACATCAAACGAGACTTACAATTTAAAAGGTGACTAAAACAACGATGTTGATAGGTGAAATTTATCGTTCATTGTAAATGTAAAAAAAAATATTGTTTTATCAAAACTAGGACACCCTTCCACCTGTAAACAGAAACTGCTCAAATTCAAAATAATCTTATGATAAGTAGGGTTTGTAATGATAAGAAGGTTCATGAAGAAATCAGATTTCTTTACAAGTGTCTCCACAATTGTCAAATATCTAACCGACAATAACTATATTTTCTAGATTAATGCATGCAGTTGATTGGATGCCAACAATTTTGTCTGCAGCTGGTGCACAACAGGGTAAGAACATGCAAAAACTGAACAAATTGTTTCGACATACATTATAATTATGATAAAGGTAAATGACTATTCAAAAAAACAAATTGTATGAAGTAATTTTATAAAAATTAAACACAACATGAACATTCAGGACGGATAGGATAATTTAAAAGCAAGGTGTTTATACATATTCATTTTTACAAAAATTTACATAAGATTCGTTCCGATTTCAATTTATAAAAGTATGTGAGACCGAAACATATGTACATTAATGTGAAATTTCCGTGAATTGGAAATAAAATGCTCGGTTGTATGAATTTCTTGTAAATTTCACATATAAAACCAATTTCAGTAGAAATTTACGCGAGTGAAAATGAAGAGAGTATAAAGCAAACACTAAACTAAATGTTGATTTGTTGTTTTTTTCTTCAGTCAGTTCTATTGATGGAGTTGACATGTGGGATAGTCTTCAAAATAACAACCCCTCGAAACGAACAGAATTTATATACAATCTAGACGACAAAATTCCAGAATTAACAGGACATGCAGCCATAAGGTATTGTTAATTACACTGCCATGGTAGTATTTACAAACAACATAATTTGCATATATCAGAAAAAAGTTATAAATATCTAAAAATATTAGTTTGTTAAGCTGTTCATTAAAAAAAGATATCTATTTTGTGTCGGTTTTTTAATTTAAAAAAAAAACATTCAATAGATCAAAATGTACGTTTTATCATCCCTAGTTTTCAGTAAATAAATGCTCTGGAAGAAGCAATCATAACATATGATAGCTATAAAAATATTGAAATGGAATTATGAAATCAAAATATAAGTTTAAAAATTTTATTTGTTTTATTGGGCATATTTGTCCCAAGGCTGGCAATGAGCCAGTGTCATGTGAACCCTTGGCTAATTTTTAAGAGTGAATAGAATCTCTGGGAGAAAAAATGGGCATTCGCCCCAAAGCTAGCTATTTTAAGTATGTTTTTCTGTATATTTTGGTTCTGGAGGAAGGTTTGGAGTAACACTTTTGGTTTCTCGATACTATCTTATAATGCTCCCAGGTATAGTCCTACCTTTATCATGTATCTAAATGTGGAAAAACAGATGAAAAATAACCGATATTATTACGTTTTCTTTATTCCTCCAAGCAAACAATTGTGAATCCTTGAAATACAAGACAGACTATACATGACTTTCATTTTTTGTTTTCTCTCAATGTGCGTTTTTGGGAGTACTTCCAACTTTTCACCTGTCTATATGTGTTTCCTTTTAAGAATGGGTGACTATAAACTAATTGAGGGTAACGCCGGACTTTATCATGGATGGTATCCTCCACCGGAAGATGAATCCATTCCAGATACAGATCAAGTCAACGAAATTCCCTTTGTTCCACAACTGTATAATCTCAAAGGTAAGTGTTTTGACATAGTTTATTAAAACAATATGTGAATGCATGAGCTTGATATATCGATAGATAACTTTACTTTTAAACCTTACAAGTGTCAATTAAAGTTTTCTAAAATTTGTATTTTCGATGATAACTAAGTATATTCGCCTTAAGAATAATCAGATGCCAAGAATAATCAGATGTAAAGTATAATCAGATAAAACTTATTTATTTATAGATGATCCTAATGAACACAATAATTTGTATTGGAAAGAAGGAGAAATATATAAAAAGCTAAAATCCCGAATGGAGGAATACAAAAAGGATATGGTACCTGCCGTTTATCCAGGAAACGATCAGAAGAGTGCACCTAGTAATTATGGTGGTTATTGGACACCTGGTTGGTGTTAGTTATTCCGTGCACTCGATATTACGATGACATTGACGTGACATTTATTTTTTAGATGACTTTAACATTTTGATAATTTTATTGATTCTTGTTTTGAATGTTTTGTTTTACTTTTATAAATCGGTTTCATGTTATTTATTGTTTTTGGCTTTCCAAAGTTTTTGCCCTCAATCATACCTGAAAAAACTTCACTTTGTTTTCATTATAATTGAAACTTTCTCTTCGATTAATGCTGTAAAAAATAAATGAATTTAAAAGCCAATATATGCATACACAAAATGTACTTACAACGCTAGAAGACATAAACGAATTGCCTAAATAAAGCGTGTAAAATGATAATCAACTTTGACTAACAAATTCATGAGAACTCATAAAAATTGAAAACGCATCATTCTAAAATCATAACAATAGCTACTACTAGATGTATGGTAGACTACTAGATGTATGGTAACCTACTAGATGTATGGTAGACTACTAGATGTATGGTAGACTACTAGATGTATGGTAGACTCGGAGACTATCAATCCACAAACAGCGTTACGGACCAAGTGGTAGTAATTAGTTACCTTAAGATCCAAATCAAATTATTTGACATTCTCTAAAGAAAACTGACAAGCTTTCAAAGAGCAAAAATAAGGAAATTAATAAAATTTCAGAAGCTAAAACATTTGACTATCCCCTTGGGGACTCTTGTGTGAATATTCTCAAGATCGCACTAGAAAAAAAATGATAATTTTTTTATTGCAATCACACTAAAATCAATAAAATCAATAGTTATGTTTACTTAATAATGTCACTCTCAACAATGATATACAATCATCCAATGAAATCAGATAAGAAGAGGCGGCGAAAGATGAAAAAAAATACACAGGACATTCACTACCACAGACATAGGTTGTTACTTTGACCAGGCACATAGGTGGTAATGGGAAACGTGTTAGTAATGCCTATATATTTCTGATCAAATTCAGTCAACTTGTTTATCAGTTTTCGGCATTCATATCCATGTTGTTAAAGCTTTAAAGTATTGAAAGAAACTCGCGACATCACTGCAAACATTCTCATTTTGAAAATTCAACCAATAAGCGGGAGAGTTCAGCTTTCAAAAACATGTTTAACCCCACCACATTCGACAGTTGTTTGTCTCAGATCAAAATTCTGTTAAACACTCACTTTACAGTTTGTTGTCTTTGGCTGCTGACTGCTACCACGAAGTCTATTTTTATTCTTAGTGTTTTGGAGTAAACCAGGTCGTTTTTTTATGTTTTTTTTTTCTCTTTTGAACTGTTTCACATGTAGTTATCCCGCTGCCTTTTATACGCTTACTGTTTTTTTTTTATTTGTCCCATTAGTAACTTCTCACTGTATTTACTATACGGTTTACGTTTTCCTCATTCAAGGCCATACGGTGACTTGAAGTTTTAAACATCATTGTCATTTGGTCGTTGGTGGAGATTTGGTAACTATACCACATTTCCTTACTTTTATAAACATATTGAGAGATTTAAATTCAAACCCAACATGACTTTGTAATACTCGATAAAAAAAATAAGAAAATGCAATAACACAGAAGCCATACTAATATATTTATTCTTCTACAGTCCGCCCTGATGTCAGAAATATATGAGGCGCCGTTTTACTATTTATTCCTTATTTGCTAATATAAAAAAAAATGAATTCCTGATATCAAAAATTGATTTCTTTATATCAGAAAATATTTTTTGATATCAAAATTTATTTCTTGATATCAGGAATTAAAATTTTTAATATCTAAAACTCGATTTCTTGATATCAGAAAATTATCTATATTTCTTGATATCAGAAATTAGATTTTTTTATATAAAAAAATAATGTTTTGATATCGAGAAATCCATTTTATGGTATCAAAAATTCGAATTCCTGATATCAAAATATCATTTTTTGATATCAGAAAATAGGGGAAAAAATGAATGATGGCTCCCTGTGCATGTCAATAAAAGCATCTGAGCTCACCCATGAGCCCTAAGATTAGGTCTGATGTTCCGGTCGTGTTTAAGGAAAGAATATCATCATTCATAAGAATTTTTGTGTTTCGCATATTAGTTATTTTAAGGTCAATAATTCTTGTAATTTCCCTTTTCTTTTATAAAAGAGGGACGAAAGATACCAGAGGGACAGTCAAACTCATAGATCGAAAACAAACTGACAACGTCATGGCCAAAAATTAAAAGACAAACAGACAAATAATAGTACAGATGACACAACATAGACAACTAAAGACTAAGCAACACGAACCCCACCAAAAACTGGGGTTGATCTCAGGTGCTCCGGAAGGGTAAGCAGATCCTGCTCCACATGTGGCACCCGTCGTGTTGCTTATGTTATTACAAATCCGGAAAATAGTCTAATTCGGTAAGTCACATTCGTGAAAAGGGAAGGGTATTGTAGTTACGACATAAGGAACATATCCGATATCATCTGTGAAACGGTTATTCCATAACGGTCAACCAACTCGTGATGGCGTCCGTAAAATTTACGAAGGGATGACTTCAACTTCACCATTTGGAACTCTTGGTTTAATAGCTTCCTTGTGAGCAGCAATCCTCTATCAAGGAAATCATGATAGGAAACACAAGCCCGGGAATATCCTATCAATTGGGAGATATATACTCCGTATGCAGGCGCTGCTGGAATGTTGCTACATAGAAATGGAAAGTTCACAATTGGGAAGTTATAAGCAATTATTAGTTTCCTCCGAAACAGATTGTGCAGCCAGGATTTTATGAAATTAAGCCACAGCGTGGTAATCTTGTTTTTAGTTTCTTTTCCGTTGTTTATGTTTAAATGAAGTGAATGTAAGCAATTATAGGCAACCGTACGGCCTTCAACAATGAGAAAACCCCATACCGTATCGTCGGCTGTAAAAAAATGAAAAATATGAACAATTCAGTTGAGAAAACTAACAGCTTAGTTTATAACAAAACAATTTACGAAAAACATTTAACAAATATGACTGACAAGAACCAACGACAACCACTGAATAACAGGCTCCTGACTTGGGACAGGCACATAAAGAATGTGGCGGGGTTAAACATGGTTGAGCGCTCAACCCTCCCCTAACCTTGGACGCTGGTGTTACAGAACAACATAAGAACAAACTATAAAAACGAGTTGAAAAGGGCTCAACTCATCAGATCGATACAAAGAAGAAAAACATCTAACAAAAACACAGTCCGGACGTGGCAGGGTATTCCTACATCCGTAACAACAACAAAAAGACACAAAGTACAGATCTGAAAGTACTTGCAGATACTGACAGCTAGTTCACAGCCAATAACAACTAATAATGTTTCAGGTTATGGTAAAGGCTGGCGCCTGTTAAAACGTTTAAACCCCCTGCATTTGTATGCACCTGTCCTAAGTCAGAAGCCTGTTGTTCAGTGGATGTCGTTTGTTCGTGTGATTCATAAGTGTTTCTAGTTTTTTTATATAGATTAGACCTTTGGTTTTCCTGTTTGAATTGTTTTAAACTAGTCATGTTGGGGCCATTTATAGCTTGCTGTTCGGTGTGAGCCAAGGCTCCGTGTTGAATGCCGTACTTTGAACTATAATTGTTTACTTTTTACACATTGTGACTTGGATGAATAGTTGTCTCATTGGCACTCATACCACATCTTCTTTTTTATAATAAAAAAAAATGCATGTCGTATTATTTCAAATACTTCGTCTATTCGTCTTTTAAGAGACGTTTTTTGAAAGTCTGCTTTACTCTGGTAGTATTTCTTATATACCGCGCCTTGCATAAATCCTTTAAATACGTTTATTTGATATGAGCCTTTTCTGTGAAGTTTCAGAAGGTTTGATGTACGTGTTTATATCAAAATACATTCATTTTGGAAGCGTTTGTCTTTATATTAAAACGACTGTCAAGAAAGTTACCTTCATTTTGAGAAAATTGGTATATACAGTTAAGGTGGGTGTGTATTGTATTAGATATATAAGACGAAAAGATCGTGTATTACGCCAGTGAACCGGAATATATCATCCAGCCATCGTATTTAAATCTTGAACATATCAGTATTTTGTTTTGATGTGTCAATCTTTGTAAAACATTTTCCAGTATTTAGTTTAAATTCGTAGGTCGAGTAATTCCGCCGACTGGGATTTTAATTGTTTGACTGTAAAGTAAATATGTTATATTTTAGAATAATTTCTATAAGCTTCAATATATTGTCTTTTCGGGTGCAGGGGACTCGAATTTCGTAATTCAGTACTCGTTCAGTTTCGTCAAAACCAAAACGAGACAAACATTGAAAAGATAAAGATTTCTGTGTTTACAGGGGAGGTAATATTTTGTCACTACATTTCCTAATTGTTTTACAAGATTTGAACATCGGTTAACTACTGTCGCCTTAAGTTTATTAGTATGAAATATATTTAATAGTTTAAAATCAGTCGACGACTGAACATCTATTACATTCATAGAATGGACTGAAAACAAGGGTATCCTAGTAAAAATGTTTTCTTGTCGATATATCTCCCAGGGATGTCTTCAGACGATCTAAATATCGATATAATATCTTACATTGATACATTTTAAGGTAGCTGGGGTGTCTAAATATTCGACGATAGATTTTTCTTAAACTTCTGCAAAAGACCTCTGGTCATATACTTTCAAATTTGGACCTTGTTTTTCGTTAAAATACATTATAATTAACGAAATACAGGTTAATTTATCTGGGTAATATAGAGGAAACTTAATTTTTCCTTATTGAGGAAACATTAAACGATAGAATTTGGTCAAATTCAATGAGAGAATTGCTTTCCATAAATACTTTCGAAATCTAAATAAAAATAGGGAGTCACGGGCATTATTTTCTTGAAAAATTAAAAAAAAACACAAATTGTCCTAACATATTCAATATAATTATCTGCTCTTAATTTCAAAAATAAAATAACGAAAATACTGAACTCCAAGGGAAATTCAAAACGAAAAGTCCTTTATCAAATGGCAAAATCAAAAGCTCAAACACATCAAACGAATGGATAACAACTGTCATATTTAAATACACTTAACGAAACTTTTTTTTTATAGTTTAATCTTTAAATTTCAGTTTTAGGTGTTACTGTTTATATTGAATGATACTTTTTAGAATATTTCAAATCAAAAAAGTATTTTTGCAACATGCACAGAAGGGATGCTCAGAATAAGACACCCGAGCTACCTAAATATATAATGCAATCTTTTACTGTTTCTTGTATTGGTCATGAAACATGCCTTTTTTTCGGTTTATTGCCCCCAATATTCAAAACATGTGTAGAGTGAAATGTTGAGTTTATAACTTTATATAAATACTTATTCAGTTCATATGATTATCTGAGCTCTCACCTTATTGCTGCTTTTCCATTTACGGGGACAGTGGAATCATCTAAGTTATATATAAATTCAGTCCTGGTATGTCGTGGTATCCCATCTTGAAGATCTGGCCAATGGTTTATCCCATCTATTCCTGGAACTAAATTAAAGAGAAAAGACCATTACCAAAGAAATATCATTAAAATATCAGTGTTATTTATTTTGTTTAAATGACTATGGCTTTTCTGATACTTTAAATCGAAACTGCATTTCACCAACATATTTTATACTTCAAGGTAACTTATGAAACCTGCATCGAGTTATGGTTAATTGTGAGAAATCAGCATGCATATATGGATTATTTATGGAAAGGTAGATAACGAGATCTGCACTGAAGCTAAGTCAGGGAGCATACATTTATATTCTACAACATTGTATTCCTTGTAACTTTCCTGATTTATTTGTCAATTGAGTTATTGTAACCATACCTGAACCACCTCCTGCTGCTGCCAGTATTGTAGGCATCCAATCAACTGCGTGCATCATTCTAAAACATAAGTTTATCTGTTACTAATGATGCTTTATCTATGGACATTAGAAACTCTGTACTCATTTGTTTCATATTAAAGAAGAAGAAAAAAACAAATACCCAAGGTTAAAATCGTATATCTTATATTTTGTGGAAATAACCGTACATTTTATTATAATTTTTAAAAATTGAAAAAATTGAAAAGTAGGAACACATTAATTAAATCGAATTGTGAGATCAAAAGTACTGGAATCTTGATTTTTATATCATATACTCTTTAATTGACACCAAATATGGTGAATTAACTACGACCGCTTCTCATGTAAAGAAGTCTAAGAAAGAATAATAATTTATTACGTAATTTACAAAGTTTCTAAAGATAGTTCGAAAGTTCAATAATTGTTTTTCACTGTGACATTGGTCGATATCTGACGAATTCTGGTGTTAGCGAATTCTCACATGAACACGTGATCGTATAGCGATATAACTGTTCGGTCCTGATTAATTCCAGCCTACCCACGAGGGGGGAGACCTTGGTGGAATCTCCTGTCGGAAATCTCCGTTCTAGTCCAAAGCTGGATTTTATATAGTTCAGAGGGGTCATCAATCAGCTTTCAACAATAGCCAATAACTGTCGGTATAGTTTATAAAGTAGTCTAGCTGTTGAATAATACTTGTACTAGGTCAAGCATCGGACAATGCAATTAACATCTGCAGGATACATGTTAATTAAGCCGTGGACATTGTCATTAATTGTCTGCAGGGTATGTGTACTATAATATTCGTGCACATTGTTAATAAGTGTCTGCAGGATACATATACTTGTATCAATTAAGTTACATTTGAATACACCTTGGTAAATATTGTTCTTTCACACATTGTGTTACATAATAATTCCTCCCATCGCAATAAGAACGAAAGTTCGGTAAAATACGATAGTCCTTCTTTATTGATGCTAATATAAATTCTGTAGTTCCTTGTTAAGTTTTTGGTCAAGAGTTCATAAAATTCATAACGTTCAATATCTGGATATATATATATATAGTTCATATGATTTATAAAGTTTAATATTTGGGTATATATTGTTCATATTTTTCCCGTCACCATAATAGCATATTGTTCCTCAACTACTTGAAAGTGCGCAATTCTTTGTACAAGTGTCGGTCATCAACGTTGTAAGGTTTACACTCTAGTCCAATTACTAAGTTGTTGACGTATCTAGCTCTAGGTACATCTTTCTCTTTCCCGTTTAACAATTTTTTCTCAAGAGACTTTTAACATTGGTCTTCGGTTAAGTTTCGTCCCTGATCAATGGCGCAGAGGAAGACATCTCTCTGGAAGCAGTAACATCTGTTCCAACCAATTGCGTTGACACCATTTTATACCCATCGTTCATGGCATTATAACCAGAACTCACACTTTTCTTTTTAGCTAACCAAGATATATTCTTAATAATTTAACAGTACAAAATATGGCTATTCCAATGATGATCGCACTTAAGCCCACGGATAAACCCCAATTTGGAAATTCAATATCGTTTTCAATTCCCCTTGAATTGCTTTAATTTATCAATTAAAGTATTACGATGGTTTGTTTAATCGCCTTTAGTTCACTGGGTTATTCAAGACTAGCAAAATTTAATAAAACAATTTCTAGGTATAATCAATACGTTCTCTTAAATATCGAATTATCTGGTTAAAACAAAAAACAAAAGGGGGGAAAACTTCTACAATTTTGAGAATCCTACATAATAAAAGCAAAGAGATGTTTATTTACACAAGACATAAGAAATATATTAATAAATTTACAATCAAATAAGTTCAATTCGATCCTTTTATATAACCCCTACACCTACACGATACCTATAAAAAAAATTACTAAAAATTATATGTGTTACTTTGTTACCAATTGTAATACTTTTACTTCTTTAACTTCAGTTTCTCATTAATTAATCGTAACGCTAAATATAGACCACAGATTAATTCTCATCACTCTTAAAAAACATTTAAGATTCCATTGATAAATTTTTAACTACATCTTGCGCAATTTGTTTAACCATGGAAGTATTATTACTATATATATATAAAAATATTAATTTTCGCGAACCATTTAGGTCACGGAAATTCCATTTTTTGCCATCAGTAAGGAGAGTTGTACAAATAATGTGAATACACAGAACCCCGATCCAATTCATCTTTTGCTAAAAATATTTATCATTTTCTGTTTTATATCTCCTAACATCATTCCATTTTTCTCTAATTTCGATTAAAATATGCCAAAACCTGCAGTAAAAATAGATGTATGCCCCAAATAAACATTCCCCGATTGGTTGAACTACTATGGCGTCAATGTAAGCCTCGATGTAAAGCAACGCAAGCCTCGATGTAAAGCACACGCTTCCCAAGAGTAAGGAGAGTTGTACAAATAATGTGAATTCACAGACCCCCGATCCAATTTATCTTTTGCTAAAAGTGTTCATCTTTTTCTGTTTTGTATTTACCAACAACATTCCATTTATCTATAAACCCGGTTTAAACATGTCAAAACCTTCAGTAATAATAGATGTATGCCCTAGGTAAACATTCCCCGATTGGTTGAAAAGCTGTAGCCTCGATGTAAAGCAAATCAAGCACACGCAAAAATTCCCGTTGATATGTTGAACTTCGACCCCGGGCCTATTCACAAGGAGACTTTCTTGCGCTCAAATGTAATTCTAAGTGAAGTATACTGGGAAAGTAAAATTATATTCTTTTACAGAAATATTTACACATTTTATCATTAATGTATTGTCATGCTTCTGCATATTTACGCTGAGCTTTAGTAAAATATAATTATATACAAATTTTGTTACGTCAAGCATTAAGAGTAAGAATATATTTCGCGCTTAAACAAGAAAATAATCTGTGTCACCAAATAAGTTTATCAGCATCTTTCTGAAATTTTCCAACAGAAAATAGCGTTAATTATAGAGAAATTTTGGTGAGTATTACTTATTAATGTTAAGGTTCTCCAGAGGTGGTTCTCTTCACCTTCTTGGCGGTCAATTTAATCCCATTTATCAATTATCCCCGATGGCGATGACACCCAGTCAATTTGTGTCATGAGTGAAAATCTTATCTAAATATCTATTTGATGAAATAACTTCTTCATTAACTGTACATGCAATATTTTTGTAGTTTTTGATAACCGTGCACATTCCCATTGCATGTCCGCAAGATTAATGGGTTATGCATTTGTGAATTGTGCAAGTACAGTAATATTGTGTAATACGAATAATGGCGGAGGATAAAAATTTGTGACGGTCAGTGCGTGATCACGTGACATTATTATTTGTAAACAAACGGGCTCCCCATGTAACACGTGTCGGAACTATCCATACACGGTGCAATCAATCTTATATTTCACTATTTGATGATATTTCTGTGTCTGTTTGTAGGTTTTGAAGATCAGATGTCATAGTGTAGTTTCATAGACAAAAAAGTACCATGATTGTTCCTGTTCAGTAGTTGTGATTTTTTTTATAGAATTAGAAGGTAAGTCTACATTAGTCATTATTTAAATTGTCTGAAAAAAATGACTCAACGCTCTGTGTAATTTTTCCCCAATTTTTGAAACATGCATAATTTAAAGAGTATTTGCTTCCCTTGAACACTCCCCCCTACAAATTGCCTAAAACTCATACTCATAGGCCGAGATTACTCTGATGTCCAACATCTGTTTTTGCGATTCCTGCATTTTAACTCTTTTATTTTCAAATTGAACACACTCGGCCATTCAGCTTATGGATCTCCTGTAGTTGGTGATCGCAATACTGGTATACCAGTATTGTCTACAATACTGGTATAAAAATTTTGTACCAGTATTGTAACTTTTTTTAAAAAAACAACAATACTGGTACATTACTGATATACCAGTATTGTAGTTGTATTGTTCACTATACTTTAAGGTGTATAATGAGAAAAGAATTTTAAGCAAAATTAGATATTGAAGATCAAAGGGAGATTAAATGAACTCAAAAAGATTATAGAGGATAATTGTGAAATCAATTAATATATATATAATATAATACTTCCATGGTTTAACTCACTCTATATTTCATATTTGACAACAACACCTTGTTGCAAAAAAAAATGTCTTTCTCCGTAATCTTTCACACATTGTGTTACATAATTGGACCACAATTACCCATTGAATGTGTAGTTTGACTTGGATATTCCTGCTCCATGAACAAACTGGACTGCTCTGGTACCACCTTCGTAAACAGTTAATTTGCCACCACGAAGGGGGTAGTTATTTCCAGAAAATGCTGTCCATCCACCATTATAATGTAAAGAATGAAAGCTATATACGACAAGGAAAATAATGATACATGAAAGAAAATAATCAGAAAAGGGGAAACCTACATGGTTACGTCGATAATTCCAATGTGAAGTAATTATATATGATTTTAAAAGGTATTTTGGCTATTTTGCAGGATTATTAAATCTGATATTCAAAGGTATGTCATGCTTTTTTAAAGCTAATTATATCATTCAACTTGGGGGGAAAATGCAAAAAGTAAAAAAATACATCAGCTGTGAATATTATAAGCGTTTCATTGTACAATCCATATTTCATAAGTGATTGTGTTACATTTCCTATCGCATCATCTAGTGCTGTTACCATGCCTACAATTTACAATTTACAATTTAAGCTGTGTTAATTTTTATGTTTCGTTACTATAAGAATCTAAATAGCAAACGTTTGGACGTTCAAACAATAACAGATTAATTTTGTGCAATTAAATGCACCTGGTGCTGCATTTTAAGTGTAACAAAGTATCTTTTGTGATGTACTTTCTTGTGATTAGAAGTCAAAAGTTCTGTTTTTCAAACTAATTACTCTATATAAACACAAAGTATTTCCTATTGTTTTTACTTTCTGATAAATCTAGAAAAGCGCTTCGGATGCTTACTAATATCGTGGATTTGACTATATGTAAAATCGAATCTAGAACTTCACAATTAGATATTGAATTTCTCATCTGGAGTTACAACCTTCAGATACCGAAACTCAATTTAATATTGAATTTGAAATTCAAGCCTCAAAATGCCATCCTCAAAAACACAAATCACATGAAAGCTTTTAGTTTCCTGTATATCTGTATTCAATGTATTTTTGAATTATATATGGTGGTTGATCTAGAAAAGCGCTTTTATAAATTGATAACTTTTAAAAGATATTATAAGATGTTTAAAGGCACATCACTAGTCTTGGTCCTTTCAAAAAAATATTCGTATAGGTATCTGCATTGGTAATCAGTTGTACATTCCTTTGAAGTTTAACATTACGGGGGGGGGGGGGGGGGGGTGGACGGGGCATTCATAATTTCGAGAAAATAGTTGATCCATAGGGCGGAAGTTTTTCCCCTTTTTCGCCTCTTAAAATTCACAAAAATCGCCTAGAATGAGACTAGCCGATATATTTTTCATTGAATTCGTGTCTTTAAAAGGTTGCTGGATCCACCTTTTCATTAAAAAAAATGCTAAATGCAAAAGAGAGATTTTTTATTTCCTTCGAATCATATTAATTTGTAAATCATTTACATTATTTTTTTGAAATTCTATCAGTTTCAAATTCAAAATCTACGCTGCTTAAGAGAGGAAAGGTACCAAAGAAACATTTAAACTCATAAAGTCGAAAATAAACTGACAAAAAAAAGAAAATGACCAACAGATAAACAACAGTACACAAAACACAACATAGAAAATTAAAGACTGAGCAACACGAATCCCACCAAAAACTGGGAGTGGTCTCATGTACTCCGGAAGGGTAATAAGATCCGGCACCACATGTGGCACCCGTCGTGTTGCTCATGTTGGAACAAACCCGGTGATAAGCTTAATTCGATATGTCACATTCGGGGAAAAGGGGACGGGATTGTAGTAACGACGATTGGAACATATATCCAGTTGTCATCTGTCAACCAACTCGTGATGGATTTTAACTTAACCACTTTTAACTCTTGGTTTAATAGCTTCCTTGTGAGCATTAGCCCTCAATCAAGGAAATCATAATAGGAAATACAAGACCTGGAATATCGTATCAACTGGGAGATATATACTCTGTATGCAGTCGCTGTTGGAATGTTGTTACATACAATGGAAAGTTCACAATTGGGAAGCTGAAATTATCTCTTTTTTCGTAAAGTTTTGTTTTCAACCGACCTTCATTGTCATTTTCTAGATGTAAGTCAAGATATGAGACAGACTTGACTGTATATGTTGTATCCTTTATCTCAAGTTCGATGGGATAGATGCGTTCAACATAGTCACCAAATTTTGAATTATTTAGTGAGAGAACATCATCAATATAGCGGAGAGTGAAGTTAAAGGATACTGCTAACTTCATTTCTTTCTTCCTCAGATGTTTCTTTTGAATTCAGCCTCATATGAATAAAGGAACAAGTCGGCAAAAAGAGAAGCACAGTTGGTTCCCATGGGAATGCCGATTGTTGTTGAAAAACTCGTCCTCCAAACGTAACAAATATGTTGTCATTCAAGAAATCAAGCATCTTGATAATGTCACTTTCAGAGAATTTTTTGTCTGAATCAAAGTGTTTTTTTTACATGGTATGATTTATCCCTCCCTAAGACAAGATACTTGTATCTACGTTGGCCATTCTTTTTTATGAAACAAAGTGTAAACTTATACTTAATATAGTTTCACATTATGCAGCTTTCATCTGATTGATGATAAATTTTGATGTAAAATTTAAGTATCGTTTTGCGAATGAATTTCTTCAATCTTGAATTTCCAACTGAGAGTTTAAATTTTGAATCTTTAATTTACAACTTAAGACATTGAATAGCGAGTAATTGCGAAAAGTTTGTATTTGTTTTTGTCATTGTTTAATCAGCTGATTTGATTTATATTTCAAATGATTTTTGTGTCTTTTTCAAATCAAACTTCAAAAAACTAGCTAATCCAGATATTAGCTATGTAAGAAACAAGTGATGTATATAGCAAAATCTTTGTTTTAATTACATTATTTTGAAATATAATCTTAATCTTCATTTTAAACATCGTTACTAGGTCATGATTTCAAATAATGCATATAACATAAAAATTGGCACAAGTAACTTAAATAGTAAAACTCTGTTAAATATTTGTTTTGGCCTCACAATAAATAAAACTGACGTACTAGAATACTAGACCAATTTTTCCAGTGTATGGTACTGTTCTAAATATATCTCCCTGATGCAAAGCTCTGATTCCTAGCCTGAATTGGGCAATATTTAAAGTCATTCTTGCTTCGATCTGCTCTTAAATGTTAGTATAAGTTTTAGATTTTTTAATATTAAGTTCTCGAGGGTCACTGAAAAGACATTGATTGTCGAAATGTGTATCTGGTACAGTAAAATTAGTGCCGTTAATACTATTTTACCAGAAAACTGTCGTCGACCTTTGTTTTTGATATTGCTGTACATGTTCTCGTAAATTTGTGGTACCTTCAATAAAAAGTAACATGTTTATATATTTATAATTCGTGTTGCTATCATTATAATGGGCTTCGTTGTTTGGTGCATTGAAAACATCATTTCATATAGTTTAGCATTTACCATGTCATATAAAGAAAGTGAGATAATGTTTTCTTGGTTTGATGGTCGGTTTGGTGTTAACCCATTGCTGCAGTTTTAAGGGGTTAACTCAGTAGTCAATAGCTCAAAATAGTTACAATTTTTTACAGTGTAAAATTATAAGGGAAAACAGCAACTACGTTTATCTTTATATTATATCAAACTTCGATTTCTACGTAAACAACTTAAAAGACAATAGATGTGAAGAATAATTTTTATCAGTGATGTTTTAAAACATTGTGCTAGATTAAACAATGCTTTGATAACAAATTTTTATTGTCAAAAAAAAAGATACTTTAAAAAATGCTACTTGTTACTGACCTCTATAGGTTCATGGACAGACTGGAAGGGTAAGTATAGGAATAAGGGCTGATTTTTGTTATGACCTCCGATAACTTCGTCAGCACGTTGGGAGTAGGCATACTGAAAAAAAACACCCACAAGAAATCGATCATTTCAAAAATATACTTGATACTATGATAAGATATAAAAAATGCTGTCAATCTTTTCGCTCGATGAGGACGACCGGAGAAAATATTGTCTTTAAACTGATTTAAGACTAAGTTAAAACCTTTAAATAAATGCAATTACATATCGATTGGACGATTCATCAAATGTTCATAAAATGTTGTCTATTAAGGACTTTATTATCCCCCCAAAAAATATAACGAAGGAACTGAACTTCGTAGAGACATCATTCATTTAGAATAAGTTGTTTGAATTTTTCGAAATACTAAGGATTTTCTACTCCAGGAATAGATTACCTAACCTGTATTTGGCAAAACTTTTCGGAATTTTGGGTTCTCAACAGGGATGGGCACGATTACTGACAAATGTAATCGTTACTTGAAGTATTTTTGTGCAATCGATTAATAATTGATTACTCTGAATTTTGTATGTAATCGATTACTTCATCAAAAGTAATTACATTAATTTGATTACTGTCAATTACATGCTTCACAATAATATAAAAAAATAACAAAGAAAGTTAAACACAATTATATTGCTCAACGTATTTATAGTGAAAATTAAGAACTTTTCAAAAACAGCTTTTAAAGCATTGTTTCAAAATATCATGTTGACAGTTGTTTTCTAGATTGAAGCTTAAACTCTTACAGAGGGCCTGACCTATTTTAAAATTCTTGAGTGAGTTATTATAAACATGAGAACATTCTTGAAATTAAATCGACTATTGCATCAATTGCTTCTGTATATTGTATGTTATTTTCTACATATTTTGGAAATTTTTCTGTCATACTGACTTACCTTTATTTTTTTGTTTTTACTCATTATTAAACAGGTATATTTGAATATAATTCATTTCAATTTTGGAGGTTTCCTCTGAAAAATATGTATAAAAAAGTAGAATGATTAGTTCAGCTAATTCTAAAGATTGAATTATTAATTCATAATTACACTAATGAGTTTATCCTTTTGTTTGGATAACCTCCCTAATTACAGCTTATAAAACGGCCAATGGAGAACAATTTATAACCTTGGGCAATATAATGTAAATCTCTCACTTAATAAGACATAATTGAAATCAAAACAAAGTCTGCATCTCATTAATTACAAGTCTATGATCATCTGATTAGTAAAGACAAGGAGGTTGTTTAGAATTCTTTATTTTCTATTCAAAATCACAATCAATATATATTTTAGTGTCAAAATGGGAAACATGTATCAATTACCGAACAAGAATTTCAATGCATTGGTTCATCGTAAAAAAAACTTGTATACTTTCTTAATTTTTATATCATAACATTATGAAGAATCAACAATTTATCTATTCTAAGCTAAAATTCTAACTCTTATTGAAAATTAAGCTTTAAGGAATTTCATTACAAATAAGCTTACTACATCAATGTAGTACAGAACTTAACTTAGGACTATTTTCTTATTCTTAATGTATTTTCTTATTTTTAATATAAAGGTCTTAAATTATTGACAAGCATTGAAAGTCATTTGTTTCAAAAGCTTGAAATACATTAAAATTTATTAGGAGGTCTGGTTAATCATAATGCAACTTGAGACAACAGATCTAAATAAGGTATTTGATAAACTTTTATGTATTATTAATACATTCTATTTTATCTGTACTATAAAATAATGAATACATTTTCATTCAAACTAGGTCATATTTCGTCAACCTATTTTACTGAAGTAATCGAAATGTAATCAAAAAGTAATCGATGATTACATCATAATGGTTGCTGTAATCGATTAAATTACGATTACATGTAATCGAAAATGTTATCGATTACAGATTACTGGTGATTACTTGAAAAAATGTAATCAATTACAATCGATTACGATTACAGATTACGATTACAGATTACGATTACCCCATCCCTGGTTCTCAAAGCTCTTCAACTTCGTACTTTATTTAGCCTTTTTAACTTTTTTGATTCAAGCGTCACTGATGAGTCTTTTGTAGAAGAAACCTGCGTCTGGCGTAAAAAAATTTAATCCTTGTATCTATGCTGATTATACTGTTAAGAAGATCAATTTTCATAAAGGCCTTTAAAGATGTAAAACCCGTTTGTATTTTCCATTGAAGAAATAAGCATATTTTATGCGTGTTTCTAAACAAGGCTTTGCTATACTCTCTATGCGAACAAAGCCAAACATCTACTCTTGCTGAGAGGTGCCATTTAAGTCTTTGTGATGTATAAATACACGGCCTCACATAATAAGACAGCGATTCTCTAATTTTTGTGCTATTTTCACATTTCTTGAGTGGTGTGAGAAAAATATTTATTATCACAAGTGAAATATCTGTTCTCAGCAAATGATTGGTCGAAATTCAATTACGACGTTAATTTTTTTTTCTTCTGAATTTCCTATTGTGACGTCATGAAAAAATGCGACCATGTCTGATGACGTCACGTATAAAGAACACAACTTTGAAAAATCTTTGAAAAGGAAGGATAAAAATCATTAGAGAATCAGATTCCACACTATAACTCGTGTATTACGATATTTCTCCACTCTTAACAGTTAAATTTTAACTATTTAAAAAGCTCGGCAAGCCTCGCCCTTTAAATATTAAAATTTAACTGTCTCGAGTGGAGAAATATCGTAACACACTTGTTGCAGTGATGGAATCTATTTTTCCAAGAAACGCAACTAATTGGAACAGAATTAACAGCCAAGAATTGAAAGGAAGAGCGTTTGCCAATCTATCAATCGCTGTAAATCTGGTTCAATCTTGATCCTATTTAGATCGTTTAAACAAAACGCGGTATCCAATAGGACATTTACAACTCGTGTAAGTCGAAGAAAAACTGATAATCTCATCGAAATAAATGAAAAAAATACAAACAAAGCCAGAAAACACCACAAAGAACGCTGACGATTGAGCAACACAAACCCCAACAAAAACCAGGAGTTTACTCAGGTGCCTCGGAAGGGATATTTAAGGGATGTTCCCAAAAACTAGACAGAATATACAGACATTGAACTTTTTATAATATAGCATGAATTATTGTTCATAGAGTATGGGATTTATTGAATATTTACGAATTGTATAACAAGATGAGAGTTACTATCACATGAAAGGCTGGTCAATTATCTAGGATGAATCTAAGAGAAAACATTGATTCCTATAAAAAAAAAAAAAGAATGACTTTTTATCAAAAACATGAGAGAAAAAAAAGAATGACTTTTATCAAAAACATTACTTAAACTTACTGTCGAGTATACATTGGGTTTTTCAGCTTTTTTATCAACTCGGAAGTCTGAACCCTTATCTATAAAACAAAATTGAACAAAATCAAAATATGGTGATGTGGTATGATTCCCATACAGACAAAGGACAAATATGTGAACAATTTACAAGTTTGTAATTAAGGTATTTTATGAATATTGCAATTACACAAATAAACAAACGTTATTTAAAGCTGTTATGATTTTTAGAATGATAAAACAAATTAAGTTAGCTTTAAAAGGTATTATCTTTCTTTTACTAATTGCAATGTCCGGGACTAATAATGTTTACTGAATTTTGTACTGAACGAACTCTGAGTCTATTCTAAAGTAACAAGTGCCAACTAAATATAATGTAAGCTTGCAAAAATTTATCATATGGCTGTCATGTTATTCCCAATCAATTAGGAAATTGATGCGTTCAATCTACAATGTTTGACCGACCTAGATTTACGCGAATGTGAATTTTGACAGATATTACAGCACGAACCTAACAATAAAACCGTGATTTAGTTTTTATAAAATAGAATATTGCACAAGTATTATGTACATAATAATGAACACAAAAGTAGTAATGCATTATAATAGGTAAAATCTATTTCATATTGAATGGCATTAATGATATTTGCAGAAAATTCACAAAAAAAACTTTTATTTTTACGTATTGTTGCTGGTTGAAAGTTATTACTTCTTAACTTAAAATTATATGATCATTCAAAGCGAAAAGAAAAATATTGGTTTTTTTTAAAGAGAGAATGCAAATTGAGTCATTTTTAAGCAATCTTTAAAACTGCACACAATTGTTTTATTTGCACAGCACATTTGTGTAGTTACGATTAAACTTTGGGCTTTATATTATTAAGAAATTATAGCTTAAATTCCTATAAAAGAGTTATATACAAAAAAAAATAGTATTGTGAAAATTCCCTTTTTGTTGTTGAAGATATCAGAACAAGACAGAAATACTAAAACAGATTATATCTAGAATGGATTTATTATTTCTAGTATTTCTATTTTACCTTTGTTTGTTTAAATGTTTAAGTTTTTTTTATCTCCTTATCAAATATTAACAAGTAATGATTATAACAGAATGCTGTTATACAAAGTCTCCCAAAAAAGTCCCCATAAGTATAATCCCCTAAGGACTCTCCCGATTGAATAAATTGTAAAAATAGTTCAAGGTCAAAGGTCAGGTCATAATTGACCATTGACCTTTTGACCTCTTGGTAGGCCATATGTTCCCATGGTCATATTATAGACCCCACGTGTCTATCACTAACTTTTCTCAAGTTATAAGCATTTGAAAATAAAAAATCTTAAAATCCTATAGGGTTCTATAGTAAACCCTTCCCTTCTTTTGGCCCCTCAAAGTACCTCTTTATAGACCCCAATGCACAAACAAAATCCTGATTGCAGCACTAAACATGTTAGTCTAACATATCGTGGAACCTTAAGTAAATCTGACTAGCGGTTTTGGAGAACGGATGCTGACATTCAAGACAAGTTCATTTGAAAAAGCGGAGGAGGAAGAAGTAGAAAAAGAATAATAAGTAAGAACTGAGCAAAACAATAAGTCTCCAAACATTGTTTGGGAGACTTAAAAATCGAAACGTTCGCCAAAGTACCTTTCATTATTTTTAAATATTACATAATTTAGTTTCGCCGGAGGACATTGTCTATTGAATTATTCCGCTTTTTTACGATATATCGGGGTCTTTAAAACCTACTCATAGTGCAGCCAAGACAGAACTTATCACTAGAAAATGATTTATTTCACTGAAACATCTCATCATAAGGTAAGTGATGTTTTGAATTCTTTTTTCTTTATTAAACTTACCAACTTCATAATTGTAATAATCTTCATTCGCATTGTAATAACCATAAAACGAATCAAATCCACGATATGTCGGTGTACATTCCCATTTACAGAATCCTAAATGCCATCTATAAAAGTATAGTCAATGAATGTGTTAAATCAGAGAATTATAATACAATTATTGAATTGTATGTCTCTGGTTGGATATATATCAATAAGATTGCAGCAAAACCCGGCAAAACCAAAAGTCATCATAGTAAACAAATGGTCTTCAACAATAGACATATTGTTCGTAAGTCAAGCTCATATTCGGCCCAAATATAGAACCATTTGTGAAACATTTAATGGAGACTTAAAAAAAGATTTTTCAAAATACCATTAAATTTCCTGTTTACTGCTTCAAATCTATGCAGCAAACAAACTTTTATTCTAACCAGGTTAATAAGATTTACATCTCTACATTGGCTAGAGGTACAGTGGAGATCACTTCTAACCTCTCATCAAATCTGTCAGAATCTGTCAGGAGAACTGTTCTAGGACAGTATGTAGAACTGTCATCCTGACACATTTTAGACAGTTCTAGCTAGAACAGTTCTAACCTAGAACTGATTTGGTCAGTTCTACCCTAGAACTGATTTAGACAGGTCTGCCTAGAACTGATCATGACAGTTCTATCCTAGAACAGTTTTGGACAGTTCTACCTAGAACTGACCAAATCTTTGACGAAATCTGTAGAACAGTTCTACGATTAGAACAGATTTGGTCAGTTCTACGGCTAGAATTGATTTAGTCAGTTCTAACTATAGAACAGTTTTAAGAACTCTTTGTCTTAAATATAAATAAGTCAAAAGAATATAATATATATTAAAAAATTCTCATCACAGCACTGTTTTAACATTTCTCGTTACGGAAAATGTCAATAAACATTTCCTCGGTCGCTTTTATAGCGGAAATTTTGTTACGATGGATGTCGATGGAGGAGAGTGGCAAAACAAATAATTTTATGAAATATTTGTATTTACAGGTAAAGAAAATACCAAACTTCATTATCTAGAATTTATAATGAACGACTGGCGATATGCTGACGGGAAAGGGGTGACACGTTTTTTTTTTTTTTGTGGATGGAACATGCTTTTTGACAATAAGTTTGCTACCGTTTTGATCGAGGTCACAGTTTGTTTACATTCTTCATAATTATTTTATTTTTTAACCGTTTCTTGTGTAGAGTTTGTTATTTTATCAGGTCTGAGATTACTATAACAATAATATACTATGTGTTATAGTAATCTCAGCCCCATCCCACCCAAACTATCTGTGAGGGGGGTAATGTAGGAAAGAGGGATGTTTCATCAGAGTTTACGAAATGTTAAATTAGCTGATCCCAGTTCACAGGAAATACAACAAAACTGTTCACGAAAAACAATAGTTGAACACCACCTTTATCACTGTTTATGAAAAACGACGATTTAAAAACTTCATCACGGAAAACGTTGATAAAATTTAAAGACTTATATCACAACTCCCTCTGTGTCGGATAAAATACTGGAAATCTTCACATACGATTTTCCACTTTGGCGAAGATTAACTTTTCGCTGTCTCAGGAGGCATTTTGCGTGTGGCTTTATCAACGATAATAATAACACTGAATGGTGACCAGTGAGATGCCCAAACTGCAGTGACGTCATTTAGAACTGTTCTTCAATCCTGACAGGTTTGGTCAGTTCTACGGCTAGAACAGTTTTAGACAGTTCTGTTGACAGTTCTACGGTTAGAAATGATAGTCAGTTCTGCTGTCAATTCTACGGTTAGAACTGATTTGGACAGTTCTACGGCTAGAACAGTTTTAGACATTTCTACCCTAGAACTGATCCTGACAGTTCTACCTAGAACTGATTCTGACAGTTCTACTTAGAACAATTCTAGGGTAGAACTGTTCTAGGTAGAACTGTTCTAGGACAGTTTATTCTGACAGTTCTAATGAGAGGTTAGAAGTGATCTCCACTGTATAGGGGAAGGGTTGAGATCTCACAAAACATGTTGAATCCCGCCGCATTTTTGCACCTGTCCCAAGTCAGGAGCCTCTGGCCTTTGTTAGTCTTGTATGTTTTTTTTTAATTTTAGTTCTATTATATGTTTCGGAGTTTAGTGTGACGTCCATTTTCACTGAACTAGTACACATTTTTGTTTCGGGCCCAGCTGAAGTTCTCGCTGTGTTGAAGACCCATTGGTGGCCTTGGGCTGTTTTCTGCTATTTGGTCGGGTTGTTGTCTCTTTGACACATTCCCTACTTCCATTCTCAATTTTATTCCTAACCTTTGTTTTGTTTTAAAAAAAATTGAAGTGCATTCCATTATTACCGTACCTAATCTGGACCAATAAGTCTAAGGAATTTATCAGTATTTTTCATCGCAGAATAATATTAATATTAATTGGTTAATGACTATTAATATTTATCAGATAAATTCAAAGGACATCTTACACTTACTTTCCAATTATATGTGTTGCATAACCCATTTTCTTCAATTCCATAGGAAGAAATGTCTGATTCAATGGAGCACAGGCTGGCTGTTGTGGCATTATTACAAAATGCTTAAATTGTAAATAGAAAATCATTTTGTATATTATCACATTTTCTACACAACTTTTTAGTGAATATGGCGGCTTTCAAAATTTAATTTAGTGTTGCAAGTACAATAACAGATACCTTTATGCTGTACATACTGTTGATAATCAAAAGTTTATCAAACATGCTAATTTTAATAATCCAAAAGAAATTCAGCTTAATAAAGCTTATAACAGTTAACATTTTCCATTTTTAGACATTACCGTATTGGTACAAACTGAAAAAATAGATACTAAAATATACATCAAAAGAGACAATTTTAGCTTTGCCATCAGAAACTTACCTTTTTTTCTCTTGTTCTTTTCCTTGATTTGTATATTCTTGTTGCTTTATACGATTTTGACATCGGTAAACTAATATTGCCTCTAACCTATCATAAGGGATGTAAATTTCACGATTTATACCGTTTGCCATGTTCTGATGATGCTGACTTAAATAGACGTAAACATGCATTAGCACAAAAGTTACTTTTACAGGGTTACAGAGATCACAGTTTTGAATACTTAAACATTTACTGTCGAAAATATAACAAAGAAACAAAAAATTATACAATCAAACTCGGGAAATTTCTTTAATCTTTCAACAATACAGTAAAAATAGTTATATTTTCCGACTTGAGTGGCATTAATTATCCAAACAACAACTGTAGCTGGATTCCTGTAGTGGTGAGCACAGTATTACCCTTCTTTCTTGTTCAAGTTAGTGGTCATCATGTTGGTAGCTGCTCTGGAGTGCATATATAACACTTATATATATGAATATATATTATATATCAAAAATGGGAAACATTACCTGCAAACCTGATTTAAAAGGATAAACGCCTGTCATAAAGGAGTTCCTTGATCTGAAATACAACATTTGTATGATTAACACAATGTGCAAAAATCCTTTAGAAATCTAAAAATTTGAATTGCTAAATGTGACATTATTGATTGCCATAATTGTTCATTGTATAAACTTTATTTTCACTTAAGCCTTATTTATGCACATTTCTCTATCGAGTAATTCGATGGACTCTTCGTTCTTACCTTCGTTTTTTTCTGGAATTATATACCGGCTAACTATCGAAGAGTTTCAGTGTTGATCAGGTTTTTTCGAGTGATTTTACTGCTATTTTGCAAGTATAATAGTTTATTCGTGACTGTTCATCTTATTCTAAATGCTATACATGTTTTGAACACAAACGAGGCAGAATTTCCTTGCAGTTCACTTATAATATAGGGTTTTATATTGTCTGTGTTTTTTCGAGAGCAACATTTTTAGACGTCCGGGTTTTTCAACAAATGGTTCGGTTTTTATTTTAAGAAAATGTGAATAAGAAAGAAGACATTATTTGGCTTGAAAACTGACTTTTTCTAGTTTAGCGAAGAACCATATTATATATTCTTAATAAGTCACAAAACAGATTACTATGTTTATCAAATTTAACCATTTTCAATTTAATGACAATTTTCTGTTCTGAAAACATTTTACCATAACCTTGCAGTATTAGGATATATAAGAAATCAATGGTTCCTTTTTAAAACGGTCTTAAGAACCGATTACATGGACTCGTAATCTTTTTAATTTCATTGCATGCTACTACCTTTGTTTTACAGTCAATAATATTGCATGATTGATATATATTACAGTGTTGAAAATACATAGGAGCAAGAAAACTAGGGAAAAGGAGTAAACAATCAGAAAAATTTAATATTAACCAAAATATTCTACTAAAAGAGCCCCCCCCCCCCCCCCCCCAAAAAAATGAATTACAGTAACATTTGAATTGAATGGAATATCTAATGAAAAAATGAAAACAACACTTTATAATTTTATGCTATATGACCAAAAGGACCTAAAAAATAGCCAATTCCATCTAAGGTCAACTTTTCCTGATGGAGTTGAAACCTTAGCCTCTTTATAACTTTTAAATTTATAAACGGACAATTCTAAATGATTGATTGTTGGTTGCTTAACGTCCAGTGGCAAATGTGTCATGCATGTTCAGGACGAGAACAAATTAACAATAAATCAAATAAGTAGGTCCTGTAACAGAGGACGTATGGGATAAAGGTCGGGAAACTATGACTGCCACTGAAAATGAGAGTGTATGTGATATGGACAGAAAGTTTGCCTTGCAACAGGCCACCTACTGACCCTTCAAAGAGCTGTCGCAAGGGTTCTTAACGTGCAATGAGCGTAGCACTCTCTCTACATGCCCCATTCTGACCGGATGTGGATGCGTACTTGAACACCCCGCACAGTAGGAGCTATTGAATATTGTTTCTAGAACGATAACACTCTGTTTCTTATGAAGCAAGAATCTTGCAATCTGATTGGTAAATTACCTGGGTGTAAATACACCCCACCCTAGTTCAACAGGGGATATGAAAATATGCCAACATTTCCAAAAAATAAATTTTTTGCCTAAATTGTGACAATTTAACTTTTGGAACAAATAATAATGAAAAAAAAAATTAATTAAAAAAAATTCCAAGTGAAGAATAAAAATATTCTCGAGTATTCCCCAAATAATAAAATTTTCAAATTTTCCACAAATAAAAAAAAAAAGATAATATTTGACAATGCACAGCGCAGCAACGTCGGTGTTGAAAAAATGTGTAGTGGAAGTTCGTCATAAGATTTTTTTTTTTTTTTTATTTTATTCCCGGGAATAAAAATAGTAAACAAACGATAAATAAGAAATAAATTCGTTATCTTGGTGCAATCAGAGGTGTACGGAATTTTACACCGGAGTTGAAAATGCATACGACCTTCGGCTGTGCCTCAGGGTGTATAGATTTTCAACACCGGTGTAAAACTCTGTACACTCCTGAATACACCAAGATAGCTAAACTTACCATAAAGACAAACAGTAAATGAAACATTAAGAATATATTTTCTGTAAAAAAACACATTTACCCGCTTTACACACTATGTGTACGTAAGTCTCAGTCCAACATGTCTGAGTTCACATAAAGATTGTTTACATCACGAAATGTTTACTGTTAGTATGAAATCCATATCGGTACACTAACATGAAGATTTAATGAATCCAAATGAACGATGACTTTTTATAAAAATGTACGTGTTAATACAGCATTATCAAACTGGTGTAATGATTGTTTCGTGCTTTGAAAAGTACTTTATTTTAACTTTTTCATTGTTTTTTAAACGTAAATGCACTGACATATTACATTTTAAGCCATAGGAATTTTGTTTTTTCACTCGATAAATCAAGGACACACTCGAAAAAACACGGACTGCTCTCGAAAAAACACGGACATATGAAAATGAATTTACTCTCCAAAATGTCCTTTTTCAGTGCAAAAACAAGCATTTTTGTAATGTGCCTGTAAGCTAAGTTTTATATATAGATTCCATGCGTACATTTCTGTTGACATTTGCATTGGTATGACTTTTTGTGTATAGACATGGCTTTAATCTATAGTTTGGAATAAAGCATTGTAAGGCTAAATTAAACGTTTGTAAAACAAAATAATGTAGGGTTGATAATATCTATTTATCAAAAATACCAATTTACCTTCTATGATCTTGTATATAAGGTTCTATCATCTTCTTTCGCGTTTTACCAGAAAGGAAGACTGTTTGTTTACATTTTTTATCATATTCACTCAAAAAAAAACGGGTCACACTCGAAAAAAAACCTATCAAATGACTCGAAAAACCACGATCCCAGTCGGACACTATACCTACCGTGATTAAGGGAAATGCTTGCTACCTTAACTCAGACCTTTTTGACAAATAGTGATTTACTAGAGATGGATTACAATTTGACTGTTCGCCCCCAGTTGCTTGTGCGGAAATCTATAGTATGATTTGAACTGGTCCTTTTTTGTTTCTTTTCTACTTTTTATTTGGTCTTGGTGTTGTCTGTTTCTACTCGACTTTTGTTTTTTATTGCTTCCTGTATATATTTTATAATATTTCTGTAACACTCGACGATAACGATATTTAATGTCACGATGGGAAACGTGTAAAAAACTTTCCTGTGTTGTCTTTCAAAAATAATTTCGTAATATACCTTTAAAATACTGAATGATTTGCATACATATGCCATAAACAAGTATTTTTTTATATAGACATCATTTTTTCATAAATAGTGCGCAAACAATCTGATGGTTTGTCGTAATTCAACAGTATAAAATCTGCGGAATTAAATTTTCAAATTGTTTTTCAACCAGCTTGCAAGGTCAATTGTCTATAAACTGGAGAGCGTAAACTTTGCTTATCTATATGACATGCATGGCAGCTAAGCGAAGTTATCGGACCAAGAATATTAAACAATATCTAAGTTAGTAAAAACACAAATGAAGAAGCAGTTCAGTTGGTATGAATCTCAGATATTGGTTTAAATACCTACGGAGAACAAACAGGTTGTACATATGACTGGTTCAGAATCATTCCACCATATGCTAGCTTGTCTATATTTGGGGATATGATATCTGGGTTGTGAAAACCGATATCATTCCAACCTGTTGACATATAAATATAGCTTTTAGTCATTAACGGAGTTTCTAAAGAAACTGGAAGATACTATTATTTTCTAAGGGTGTATCATTTTCAATTTCATACTTACATTAAAATCTAATTGTTCCTTGAGTTGGCTAAAACCTTTATAGATCAACATCAATACAACCACTAATACAGAACAAGGAAATAAAAAGAGGATTTTACAAAATTCTCAACATTCATCATACTTTGAAGAAATGGTAACTTTTATAAGTTATTTGAACAAAACTTAACCTATTTTTTGTAGCCCTTGTTTTTGTCTAAAAAGCTTACATCTAAATTTTCTGCAGGGGTCATTCATTTAAATGTCTTTAGTTTGATTAACTCCATTACATGAATACAAAGTATCCATTTAACTTTAAACATTAAATATAGATAAACTATATTTGTAGTTCAAAATATGGGCAATTCTTTATCTTAGAATTGTTATCACTTGATGATTTCATCCATTTTTTAATCCACTTATATTTAGGCTACAAAGAAAATTATGAATAAATATAACGACCACAATATGTGTGGTAATATTGTAAAAATAGAATACTTGCATTCATGAAAAAAACGTATGTAAAGTTCAATTTAAAATGAATGTTTTTTTAGGGGTACTTGATGAAAAACTTGAAAATTACTGAAAAGAGTATGTCAACAATGGCATACCATTTGTCCAATGTGAATGACAGTGCAATTTTAGTTATGTAATTATATGATAAAATTTGAATGTGTTAATTATTTTCATTAATAAAGAACAATTCGTTTCAATTTGTATCTTCGTATCTAAGACCTATAAAACAAGACCATCAGATGAAGTCTTACCTAAATCATCTGCAACTATAAAGACAATGTGAGGTGGCTTGGCCTGAACGTGAATCATCCATAACAGCAAAACAGATGTCACCCATTTAGAATACATTCTTCACCCTGTGATATGGAAATCGATGGGTATTTATCTTATTGATTAAAATTATAAAATGTTATGACATATAAATGATAACAAATGGACATTATTATCTAGTATTAAAACTATTACAGTATAACAGAACATATTCCTTTCCCTAACAATACTGTTCAATTGAAAGAAGCGAAGCTCCTTAACGGATAACAAATGTTGATATATATATTATTTATTGCTTTTATCTTTATGATAATGCGACTCATTTCTAAAAACATCACACGAGAAAAAAATACTCGTAAGCCATGAACATTTCAGTTAAACTTACGATCATTTTTTGTCGTAAGATTTTTTTGTAAAAAGAGCCCCTGCATTGTAAAAATGTGATGTTGTTCTTTAATCATTCTTCACGTAGTATTCATTCTAGTGCCGTTGCAACAAAACCGTACGATACGATTTTGCTCCGTTTGATCGTATTCAAAAAAGCTGTATGGAGAGCAAACAAATATTGTCTTTATCTGGTCAAACTATTTTGAGGACCTCACATGCAAAAGTATGAATCTAACCAGGTTTGAAGCATGGTAAATAATTGTCATGATCACTTATTTGTTGAGTTCACTCATTGCTGTTGTGTCAATCGTACGTCTGGATAATGACATGTATATGCTTTGAATACAACATTGGTGTACGAACATTATACTTTTTATTTTAAGATCTCGAAAGAAATATTTCCATTTGCATTAATGAGAATCAACGAATAGTGCTTACTACTGATTTGTAATATTAAGTAGTGTACCTATACAGCTACTGGCACCGAGGGATTGGATATCGACTTGAATGTGTGTACTGTGTTACAACTCTAGCGGAGCGACTGAGCAGGTTGACATAAGGGAAGGACGATAAACCAATCAATCGCCAATTGTTCCCTTGATGATCGTTTGGAGAGATTTCCTACAAAACTACCAAATTTATTGAAATTTTAATTGTTTAATAATACATTGGACCTTATCGTGCATTTGTAATCCTTATTCTTGAAACTAATAATCATGTCCTTACTGTATTCAATGTGCCCTTTTCTGTTTAACAATATTATCATATATATAATATTTGGAAATTATGGAAATAATTAATAGATAATAGTAAGCAATTCATTGGGTGAAATTAAACGCTTCCTTTGCTAATTAAAAGAAATGTTCATTTTTTTCGTATAAGAATAACTCAACCAAGACTTCAGCATCCTATTTTTGTGCTGTGTTGTAAGTAAAAAAAACATGACATAGACATTAAGAATGCATCATTTAGTGACGGTCATTTTATGCTAGGTCATGGATTAATGTTTAATCTTCTTTTTCTGACTGTAGAAGGATGTAAACAATATGTAACAAATTAATCCATAACATATCAAAATGGAGTACACTCTATTGCAATGTTTTATATTTTACTTCATATTCTTTGGATTTATTTGTTTTGTAAACGGTAAAAGTAAGTTTTGGTCTTATTCTGAATAATTATAACATTTTAACGAATTAAGCAGTCAAGTAAATGCCATCATTCTGTATAAAACATCACATTGAATTAACGATTATCAACAAAAAATGCGTGTTTGGTTTTCATTTGATGTTCAATTGCTAGTTTATAGTTTTTTCTTGTTCATAATTAGTGTTCTTGTCACTATAACACGTTCTCGAAACCAATGGTGAATTACTTAAATGATTATGCTAGTAAAACTCTCCATTATCTATCAATTTTTAGTAATCCAAGCTTCTTAGTAATCAAATTATTACATCCTGATAGCATACACGTTTTATCTGATTTTATATTAATACAAATAATCGGTCAATATTACTATACTTCTTACGAATAAAAAGCATGAAAATTGGATCATATAGAGTCGCGTTAACAATATGTTTGGTAAAAATTAGTTAAGTTGAAGTTCAAATGAAAATCGCCATTTGTCTACTCTACGCTGTCAATATGCACGTGGTCATCTATAAAAGGTTCCGATATGACAAAATGTGAATCAATTCAAACGAAAAAAATCATCGGCCTGATTTATGACAAAATAATAAACGAAAAACAAATATGACAGACAGTAACCAACGACAACTACTGAAAGTCCATGTTTTTTGCTAACTAAACCACAAAAATCCTTCTAACCAAAATTAAGATCGGTATGAGAAAATGCGTTAAACTGTCCTTGAATCTAGTCTATTGATAAGGAAGAGGGCATTACAAGATGCTTATAAAAGTAGGGAGATATGGTATGATTGCCAAGGTGACAACTATCCAACAGAGTTCAAATGACAAAGATGTAAGTACAAAAAAATGTAATTTTAGGTCACCGTACGATCTTCATCTTCGCTAGCCAAGGGTTACGATCCACTTCCCTCCTCTCCACCCTTTGTGGATTGAGATAGAATTTCGTAGACACAAGGTAATGATTTTCATTGGTTGCAGTCGAAACTCGCTGCATCCAATCAAAAAGCGCCTATAACATGATCACGTGTAAATGTAGAAAGTGTATGTAAACAATTGCCACGTGCTTATTGTGCAACAAGTCTTTACATCCCTAAACATACGACTATATTTAGTGACAATTTGAATGTGTTTAATCAACTAATATAAGTTCCTGTGTATGTTTCTTGCACAAATGCATGAATGTCAACGTATATTTTCGTTTCCTGCTTTACCAAGTGTGTAGAATCTAGACGCTACCGTGTTTTACCTCCAAATTGAAGAGTTCAAGTGCTACCATTGGTCAAGAATAATGTATTCGGAATAGGCGTGACTTTAATCTACCGATAGACGGCGCAACATTGTTATCACAAATGTTGGCTTAATCTGCCAAGGGTGGAGAGGAGGGAAGTGGATCGTAACCCTTGTCTAGCGAAGATGTACGATCTTTAATAATGAGAAAAACCCATACCGTATAGTCAGAAATAAAAATAAATGTGAAACATCACTGTATTAACGATAAATTCTAGTATTGTTATGGAACCCTCTCCAAACTCATTCAAATGTCAAAGTAAAGAAAAAGTACACAGTGCTATCAGTGACTTGAAGTTGAGATTCCTTGAGAAGTTTCTTTAAAATTAAGTATGTGGAACTCGAGGTGCGGATAAATAGATCATAACCCCTTATAATGTTAAAAAGTCGACATTTTGCTTCTGGAAAGTGAAAAAAAATCATCAGGTTAATGAGTAAAATAATAGGCGAACAATGTCATTCAATACTTAAGATATTCTAAAAGTTTAATCGAACTCTTACAAGGAGTTAAGGAGTATTTACGTTTAAAACTTAATTTTGAATCCAGCTTTTGGAAAAGAAAAAATAAGAATTAGATTCAGATGTAGGATGCCATTTGGTGGTTTTTAGTGTTGATATTTTAGGTTACAGCAATCTTACTTGATTACTTTAGATCTGTCTTTCTCATTCATCATCTTCTTGTTCTAAATATATGTGTGTTCATGTAATTGCAGGATACGATGCCAATTTATCTAGTACTCTCTACAGCTGGGATGGAGCAAGGTCAAGTCACCGTCTTATTGGAGACGGAATCAATGAAGATATATCTAATATTCAATTAACATTGGAAACAAACGGTAGTGTTGTTCAAGGATCCACATATGGATGGATAGACGCAAAAGCTGCATACCAGCCGTGGATGGAATTTTTAGGTAAGGAAGACATTAACATTGTAATTTTAAGGATTTAATTTCTTTTATTGAAAGTCAACAATTTTGATAAATATAGGATTCTGCGATTGGATAGATAGTATTTTGCATATTAAACTTTTGTTGTCTTCTCAGAATTCACAAAACTTGATTATTATGAAATTAGAAGTGTGTGAGTTGAGAAGAATATACTTGTTTATTTGTGTGTTTTTAATATTTATTTTTAATTGAAAACATTTTTTAGGTTGTTTCGTTATTAATCCGTCAAAAATCCAAAAAGAGGTGGCTGTAAACGCTAGTACACAACTGTTACAGTGTGTTAATTCATGTCCTACATCGTCAGATATTGGTCTGCAGGTAAGTGTTCTACGGTTGTAAGGAATTCGTTATCTTTCAAATTCGCTATGGATCAATATACAGTAGTTTCGGTTGAGGTCAGTGTAAAATTAGAAATGCTACTGATGATAATAAATAAATTTGACTTTCCGTGAATGTTCATAACAGTTTCGTAACATGGGGTTCAATTCAAAGTCCCAATCCGATCGGACATGTCATTGTATTTATACATTCCACACAAAGGAACACTTTCCTCATAAGAAGGAGTTTTATTGCATGGACAAAATTAATACAGATGACCATATTTCTATACCCCGATCATCCTCGGATTATAAAAATGTAACAATGTATTTCAATAGTTAGGACCCGTGTGAAGTAAGACTTGATTTCGCTGTAATTACTTATTTTGAAATTTATAATGCTCGTTTATTCAGTGGTCGCTTTCTGCCTAACTGTCTTCATTACACATTCCTTTTTTTCAATTTTGCAAATAACGTATTTAATGTTGACCTTGTTTCAACAGCTTTCACACATATTTTTAAATTAGTTATAAAAATCCAATCTGCAACAGAATATATTTATCCTGGTTACGATTTTCCTGTAACATGAACCAGATATGCACAACATCAGTCATAATGAAAAACCAACGATTTCTGATGACTTTTCTATTGGGAATTTTGTTATTCCTTTCCATCATTAAGTTGAAATTCGGACTGTTTTTGGTGGAACTTATAATTTCAAATTTGAACATTTGTTTTAATGAATTCATTCTTTGCAGTGGATAATTTGATAGAATCGTTATAATGTATGACATTCATTACAGCGGAACTAAATGCAATTATGGAAATATAAATAACATGGAATATGACATTGTAAGCGCTCTTTCGCCTTCATTTCTCGTCATACATGTATATAAATAAAATGTATGTCAAAGATTTACTTCAGCAGTCATTCGGACCAGTTTGAAAATAAGAGTTCATCGAATATTTTGATGTCAGTTATGGCCATTTGAAATGTCATTGATATGGGAAAACTAAAATTGTAACCACTCGCAAACCTACAATAGGCGGGTGGGGAGCAAGAAGGTGAACTGTGGTTTATTTTTATCAATAGTACCGCTTATGTCGACGCTAGGGGTCGTCTTGACCTTGTTGTAGGGTATGAATGATTCGTTCTTTGTTGAAGACCCTACATCAACTGTCGAGATGAAGAACAGGAATAAAAGCCCTGTTCATTGATATTTTTTTATTTTTTCTATGTATTGTGTGCGATTTTGTCCTATGTACATTTACTCCATATCCTTTTATTTTCTAATGATCATCGGAGTAAAATAGATTTATGTCAACGGTATATATAAACAATAAGTAGGACCAGTTTGAAAATCAGATTTCATCGAATATGTTTTTATTTTTAATTTTAAATTTTAGGGGGGGGTTATGCCTTCTGAACTGCAATTAATATGCAAAATGAGCATTGAAAGCACTTTTAGAAATACGTTCTCATCGTAGTAAAGTTAAAGTTAACATCAACAATATCTTGAACGATTTTGAAAATAAAGACAGGAGAAATGAATGCTAAAGCTGTCTGCATTTTCATTTCAAAGCGTTCCTTTTGGGTACACTCGAGAATATACATATATATATGTAGGACTCTAAAGTGCGATGGGGACGCTAAAACGCGATGGTCACGCTAAAGTGCGATGGCCTACGCTAAAGTGCGATGGTTTGATACGCTAAAGTGCGATGGTCTGTGCTAATCATTTGAACACGCTAAAGTGCGTTTTTCCGCAAAAGTATCGACGTTAGCAACGTTCGACAGCATTATGACGAGATTGTTTGTCCAGATTAAGGATTTTTATTACACAAGAAAAGAAAGAAGAGAGAAACAAATGATCACAATCTGGAACTATTTTGGTCGTTGCTGGAAGAGGTTAACTTAATTTGTAAAATTGTAAAAAGAGCTTTAACCAAAACAGTTACTTTCTAATTGAATAATTCTATAAAAAAAAATTACAATATGGTTTGTTATTTCTGTTAAATAATGAATATACTTCAACTAGACAGCAACCTGACGAACAGATGTGTAGTATCATTATAAAATATGACTGCCAATACGACAACTCTCTATTCACGACCTAATGTCATTGATGTATGCAACTTTAGGTATGAACTTTAACGCGGAGCATTGTCTTACACAACATATTATTTTTATTAAAAAACGACTTCTACTAAATTCCGGATATACTAACTATACTGCAGTTTAACCATTACACTTTTTGGACAACTATCGTACTTTAAATAAAAATAAGAAGATGTAGTATAAACTATCAATCCAACCCCAAATGTCGTTCATGTACGCAACTAATAATCATACGGCCGTCAACGTAAAGCCTTGGCCCATGCCGCATAACAAGCTATATAGGGTTATAAAATGACCAGTGTAAAACAATTCAAAAGAGAAAGACTACAGCTTGATATATAAATAAAACAATAAACGAAAATGTAATAGGAACTCAGCAACAAACGAAAACCATTGCCTGAACCACATTCCCGTTTCACCATCGGACTTTAGCGTGTCATACCATCGCACTTTAGCGTGATATCTGATCGCACTTAAAAAAAAAACAACCATCGCACTTTAGCGTCTGACACCATCGCACTTTAGCGTAGACCATCGTACTTTAGCGTGACCATCGCACTTTAGAGTACCATCGCACTTTAGAGTCCTACATATATATACGTACCGATGTTCATCAGGCTTCTGTGTACTTGTTTTTGTCTTGCCGTGTTTTTCTTTTCTTTTATTCATTGTGTTGTGTTGTATTTCACGGACTTTTGTGTTTAATTACCCCGTTTACACGGCTGTCATTCGGTATATCGAGAAAAATTATCGTGAAAGAATACCTAACGGTGGTCAAGCATTGCGATCGGATCGTGAAAGATCTGGTATCGGATCGTGAATGCAATTATTTGTATTTCTACTTCAAAATCTGTGAAAAATCTGCTGTATTTTCAAAACGCGGAACAAATTCGAAAAAAAAATTGTGTCTGTCAAAATGAGACAACTTTCTCATTAACTGTGCAATAAGATAAAGAAAATATGCAGTACTTTATGAGAAAATACAAAAGGCGCAACACAAGTATATGAGATTCATTATAAAAACACACGTTTTGTACCTATAATGGTCACATGCCAATATATAATGATATATTTGAAACTGAATCTTTGGTGTGTCAGATAGTACAGTAAAATAAAAGGTTTTTTTTCCTTGAAATCGTTTATTTTGTATTTGAAAACATTGAAGTTTGTTGATTTTTCATCAAAATTGATCGTGAAAGATCGGGCAAGGCATTTTCTTGATCGTGAAAGACAAGGCGTGACCAGACGGGCGCAGGACATTTACGCTTTTTTACCTGTACCACTGAATGACATTTGCGCTTTAACCTTTGATACACCTGTACAAAAACTGACAAGACATTTGCGCTTTTTACCTATAACAGTTTACCTGTAATCTTAGAAAATTTACCAAAGTCATGGAAAGATGTACATGTTTTCTTTGAAAGTTCTTCCGAACAAACGACAAAATCAGAAAAAAATATTCGGGTAAACAAGACATATTATAAAAAAATATAGTAAACGTTTCTAGGTAAACGATAGAGAAAACGAACCTTTTACGGATGGAACATTTAAATTTTGAGTGAATTCAATTAGCTTTTTAATTAGTGGATTTAAAATTGGAAACTGTATTCCTCTGTGTCCATTCTGTTGCATAAATAGTCCGAAGAACTGTACCATCATAGATTATCTAAGCTTGTTTAAATTTGTGAAGACCAAAACTTTATTTTTAAACCACGCAAACGTCCCGCGCCGGACCAGGCTTAATATTCATAAAACAATATTTATTTTACCAATTGATATACTTGCAACTAGTTGAAGCGTGTAATTATTGTGTAAGTACGAACATTAATGCTTTCATTTTTCTTTCATTTTTCTTTTTTTAGTTTCAACACTTTTTCTTAAAAGTTAACAAAAAAAATTAACTAAAAACGAGTCTAGATAAGTAAATATACAAGATAAAAGGATCTTCAGGAGCGTAAATTGTCGTAAAGTAAAAGTATATATGTATCTATAATGCTTTATGCATCCGCCATGAAAATATATGCATTTGTACGCATTGGTTTTTGTGTGTGTGTGTTTGTAAGGGTTGTTACTTTCTCATATAGAATGTCTTTGATGCGTACATAGTATTTCGTGGCTGCGCTGACATAAACTAAAAAGGTACCAAGATAACGTTATTTTATTTGATTGTTTGATCAGTCTGTTCACGATAGCTATACCTTATTGTATTCAACTTAGTAGGGAAATTATCAATCAACGTACCTCGATTGTGCATGATGCCCAACTTAAACTGTTATTAAGCCGATTAATTTCTATTCTCAATCTTTAGTATAAGAAATCAAAACTTATGAAGAACGGACAAATAGAGTGTTATTGCTATAAGGTACCGCTCGGTGTGGTATTATACATATTAAGATAATCAGATCCAATGGCATTGAACGATTATAGCCCTATTATCCAACAAAAGAGAACCGGAATGAGTCATGCAAATCCAGTATTTACTATACCAATGAAAATATAAATAATTATTTGAACGTTTTCGTAGCATCAGATCTTTCACGATCCTTTTCACGATCTTCAAAAAGCGTTACGCGATCTTTCGAGATCCAAAAAATCAATTTTCTGTAAATATTTTATTTTTTGCAAAATTTCTGATTATGCTGACACAAATTAACTTTAAGAACCATTTGAATAATTAAAATGGAATGCCATTTTAAAACGAAAAGTTGTTTAGTCATTGGAATTATAAAAAAAATCTTGTTTGTTTACATATTCAATGTCATTGAAATGTCGAGGAGCAATCTGCCTTTTGTAGTTTTGTAAAAACGGTGTACTTTTAAACCTTGATATTTCTCAGATACTGATTATAATGTTGAATCATTTTGACAGACAGTTTTATTCTTTTGTAAATTTTCCGTATAATTCATTAAATTAGATTAGTAATTGACCTTGCAAATGTCTTCTCGATAAGATTTCATTAACGATCCTATACCAGAGCTTTCACGATCCAATCGCAATACTTGACCACCGTTAAGTATTCTTTCACGATAATTTTTCTCGTTATACCGAATGACACCTGTGGTTTATATCTTTTTTTAAATGTGGTATTTAGAATTAACAATTGAGGGTATCACCCCAAACTTGACCTATATAGACTTTTTTTATAGAAATTTGTGGAAAATTTTCCCAAAACAATGCAAATCATTAAAAGATATCCATTTAAAAATATCTTCTATCTATTTCGTCATACAGTAACTCAAAAATACCAGACAATGAAACTAGGAAAATTTAGTCACCTAGTACAATTATTATAATTATCTATTATACAGTATATGGCTATCCAGTTGGTTTATGTGAATTGAATTATCAATGTTGTAGCAAAGTAAATGTGTTTGTTTAAGTACAATGTCATTGGCAAACTCTGATGTCACTGGTGCAGCTACCAGAAGTTTCTGTAATGGTGACGAAAATGCATTCTGTGTTTCCGATCAAGCTGGAGTATATCAATACGCTTTGTATTCAAGAAGTAAGTACATTTATGTTAATGTATTGATATTAAATTATATTAAGGGAAAAAAGCGAAATTAAAACTCATTTTTGTTCGTCTTTTTTGTTCATACAACCATACAGAAAGTTAGCTTAGAATAAACTACTAAAATGTATTTCATTTAGATAAGATAAACTTAGCAATAAAATGATACCATATATGAATTCAGCAAACAGAACCAAATGTCTCAAATAAGTATGTACCATTAACTAAGTGTGATTTTGACTATACTGACTTAATCAGTAAACTGTTTCCATTTACTAGTACAGAAGATTCACAAGTTATGTCTGTGAGGCCGTAAAGTATTTGCAGGACACTGTTGTCTCATTATCTGATAAACCCTATTGCCACTGCATGTGATTTTGCCTTTTAAGAACATCCAATATTCCTTACTTTGGTGGTCGATGGTCATCCTGCACAGTTATGAAAATCTGTTCAACAAAATTTGTTTCATTAACCGCAATCAACGAAATAAACATCGTTCTGATTTTACACTTGATGATTTTTTTTATCTATATCTAAAAACAATAGTAGACATCAATTATTATGCAAACTGGGTCAAATGCCAATTAGTAAATTACATAATATTTATAACGAGTGAGATACAATATCGTTTTTCAGTCCAAAATATGAGTGTACACGGATTATTACAGCTTTATGTCACCATAGACTGTTCCCTCAAATTGAAAAACCTGAAGATCATAAAAAGTATTTTCGAAAAATAAAATACATTAATAGAGGTATTGATTTTATTAATTTGTCTTGTATTTTTCATGACTCTACCGTTCAAAACTTTATACCTCCATATTTTGATAACATTGCGCCCCCTATAATTTCTTATTCGTACAAAAAAACCAGTAGAAGTTTGATTTTTAATTATACTTCAGTTACATCAGACGTCAGTATAGAAAATAATGCTCCTTCAACCTGAGATTGTGAAACATCGAAGTTTAGATATGATCCCTATGGCCATGTAATTACAGGGGACCTCAACATCGTTTAAGACCGAGAGGTTATAAACTTTCCGAAAAAAGGACGAAAATATCGTCCACCGTCGAAAATAATTTGGGAAGAGTGTCGTCAGGTTATTAAAGATGATCTTTCATCCATTGTAAAAATGGTGTAAACGGGAGAAATCTGACAAAAAGTCACTTGGTTCCTATTGTTGATACTCGCATATCACATTTCGAAAATAATTTAGAAATAAATAAAAGAGTAAGTAATACGCCCATTTCCAGGACTAAAAACAAAATTCAAGTACTCGCAAAGCGTTGAGTTAAGAATGAAATTATACATTCAACTACATTCAAGGCCGTACGCTTCACAGAAAGTCATATAGTAAATAATCATGTCACTACCACATCTTAGCTTAAGGCCTCCTCTGAACATTTGAAGGTCCCCATCATGTATTGTTTACCTAAACTTCACAAAAAAAAGTAAAATATCACTTCATCTCGGCCTCTAGTAAGTGTTCTACTACTAATATTTCGGCGGTGTTTTTAACGAATTTCTTAACTACTATCAAAGAAATTATCATTAATTTTTGTAATAAAACATGAAAATAGTGGAATTGTCCATTTTTGAAGTGTAAAAAATTCTTTGGATGTTTTAGATAAATTACGTGCTGTTGATGGTCCTTTTGATTCGGTTGACAGTTTTGACTTTTCCACTCTTTATACTACACTTCCACACAATTCTTATCAAACAAAATATTTCCTATCTAATTAAATGGTTTGATAAATCTGAATTCAAATTTATTTGCTGCAACTCATATAAAGCCTTTTTCTCAAATGAGAAAAGTAAAAATATACTTACTGGAGGTGTGATGATTAAAGCCCTAAATTTTCTTCTTGACAACATTTATGTACGTTTCGGCAATAAAGTTTATTGACAGGTTTTAGGTATTCCTATGGGTACCAATTGTGCCCCTTTAATAGCAGACTTGTTCCTATACTGCTATGAATCACAGTTTATGGCCAAACTTAGTAAAGAACCGTCTAAATTCCATTTAATTGATCAATTCAACAACACATACCGTCATCTTGATGATATTTTTTTATTAAATGATCAAGAATTCTCTAAATATACTGCTGAAAAATTTACGACAGAAGGGATGATTTTTCTTTCCCTATTGTTAATTTTCCTTTTTTGGACGGTTATGTTTCTTTATCACCGTCTTAAGGTGTTTATATATCCCAACGCGTTCGCTATGCTCGTGTCTGTAGTTACGTTTTGGATTTCAATGAGCGTAATCTATGTATTACTAGTAAATTATTAAGTCAGGGATTTCGTTACCACAAATTACTTAAAACCTATACTAAATTCTTCCATAGATACAAAGATTTGGTTTGTAAGTTTAGCTGTACCTGTAGAAAACTAATTTCAAACGGAATAGCACATCCTAAATTTTGATATTGTTAACCGAGCCCGGAAATTTAGATACGATCCGGGTAAACTTAGCAATCCTTTAATTAAACTTATTCTAAAAGGTTACCTATTCAACACTGTAAATCTTTGAATATTGTTTTTTATTGGTATAATTAAAACATTGATTTTGTTATCAGTAAATTATAACTATACCAAATATTACACATATGTACATATAGGAATGAGGGATGGATATATATACCCTGCCACGTCTGGTCTGTGATTTTGTCTGATGTTTTTCTTTGTATCGATCTGATGAGTTCAGCCTTTTTCAACTGATTTTTATAGTTAATTCTTGTTTTGTGCTGTTACACCACTGTCCCAGGTTCGGGGAGGGTTGAGCGCTCACAAACATGTTTAAACCCGCCACATTCTGTATGTGCCTGTCCCAAGTCAGGAGCCTGTAGTTCAGTGGTTGTCGTTGGTTCATGTCTGTCATATTTGTTTTTCGTAAATTGTTTTGTTATAAATTAGGCTGTTAGTTTTCTCAATTGAATTGTTTCATATTTTTCATGTCGGGGCCTTTTATAGCCGACAATACGGTATAGGTTTTTCTTATTGTTGAAGGCCATACGGTTGCCTATAATTGTTTACATCCACTTCAATTGAACTTTGGTGGATAGTTGTCTCATTGGCAATAACACCACATCTCTTATTTTTATATTGTCTATCCTTTGTCATGAAAAAATGCATTTCAATTCAATTTCAAATTCAAGATTCGGTTTCAGGTTCAGAAATTTACATGACCGATGGTTTACGAATTTGGTGATGTCTTAGGGTTAGATAAGAGTCACTTAACATTACCCTATTGGGTAATGTCTAATCACAACGTATTTTGTAGTAGTAACCCGACGGGTGTCGCATGTGGAGCAGAATACGATGTGCTAACCTTTCCCGACCACATGAGAACACTGCCAGGTTTTGGTTGGGTCCGTATTGCCCAAGGGTTTTGATGGGATCCGTGTTGCCCAGGTTTTGGTTGGGTCCGTGTTGCCCAGGTTTTGATGGGGTCCGTGTTGCCAAGGTTTTGGTGGGGTCCGTGTTGCCCAGGTTTTGGGTGGGGTCCGCATTGCCTAGGTTTTGGTGGGGTCCGTGTTGCCCAGGTTTTGGTGGGGTCCGTGTTGCCCAGGTTTTGATGGGGTCCGTGTTGCCCAGGTTTTGGTGGGTCCGTGTTGCCCAGGTTTTGGTTGGGTCCGTGTTGCCCAGGTTTTGGGTGGGGTCCGCATTGCCTAGGTTTTGGTGGGGTCCGTGTTGCCCAGGTTTTGGTTGGGTCCGTGTTGCCCAGGTTTTGATGGGGTCCGTGTTGCCCAGGTTTTGGTGGGGTCCGTGTTGCCCAGGTTTTGGTTGGGTCCGTGTTGCCCAGGTTTTGGTGGGGTCCGTGTTGCCCAGGTGTACTTTTCGAGTAGTGTTTTGTGGATTTTTTTTTTTTGATTTTTTTCGTTTTTCGTTTTTATTTTTCCCATGACGTTGTAATTTAATCTTCGACTTTCAAATGTCCACTTGGTATCTGCGATGTCTTTTTTTCTAGGGGTGGTGGGGTGGGGGGACGCAAGATAAAGCTACTTAATATGTCCTTCACTTTTTAAACCAAAAAACAACAGTAACATTATTTCTGGTTCGTTGATATAATGCAAAGGATGACCTCGTGTTTCTTCCAAACATAAATAATTGCCCTCTTAATTTGCCTTTAATTTTGAATTACTTTCTTCTTTATTAAAAGGTTGATATGCAATTTTTAGATATTTTGTCATACAAGAATCAGAAAATGTCATTTTGTTTAGTTCTTACAAATTTTCGAAATTTTCATTCTTGACCTTTGACGGTGATTCATCGGCAATTGCACCATTCGACTTTTTGACGGCCGTTCAAAACAGAATGTACAGTTAATAAGCTTGTAAATGGTATATGATAAAGCCGTATTTTGTATGGGCGAATAAAGTCGTTAACTAAAAGTCTTTTTGAAATATATCACTTGCCTAATATGTAATTTTCGAAATATTTATATATCGTTAGTGATGCTTGAAATCAATTATCTTCAATCAAAATTAATCAAAAGAAATAAACGAAAAAGGCGGGATTAGTACTCATTAACCAACACATGTTCACCAGTGCTAGTTGCATCAGTAGGATAACTTTAGAATATAACCAAATTTTAATCTTTTGGATAAATTAAAAAAAAATTGGTAAACATCAAAATAGTGCAGTTATTATGCCAGCATAAAAGCACTGACCACTAGACCGGTTATACTTTCGGTGATTTGAAGTAAACACGCATTACCATCACACAAGATATTGGAAATCAATATGTATCAAAATATAATTTCAAACATTTTTATCGTTTTAGGTCCTGCTGCACGTTCTATAAATAATGGGATCGGAGACTGTCTGGTTATGACAATTAACAAATTTTCAATTCCTTCCGTTTATTTCGAACCCGCTCCATGTGGTACATATCTTAATCCTCATTGTTTCAAAACGGTAATTCTTAATTTATATGAATGTTTAAGCAGTGAACATTTTAAAAATGTTATCTAAAAATTGTTAACAATATCAAAAACTTAAACTTTACCTTATCAAGAGTTTCTCCCAAAAAAATGATGTTATCATCTATCTAAAGGACTGTTATAGCTCTATGATGATATTTCATCTCACTGCAGATATAATGCTCTAAAGAAGCACCATAAGCATGGTACAATTAAAACAATCGGTTAAATAAATTACTTGCAAATAATATTTTATTTAGCTTGCAATTTCAAAACAACTTTAAAAAATATCTTTGAAATCATATTTAATGAAAATGCGGTACTATGGGTGCGGCAAGTTCCCAATTAAAATGTTATTGTATTATATATGTATATTTATGTGTGCGTGTGTTTATTGCAATTTCATTAGTGAAGCTATCATTTTTTTTTAAACCACAGGACACTTTTACAATATATCTTGTAAAAACCACATGGAATGGTGCCTCACAACTCTGCCAAACCATCAATGCTGAAATGTCATCGCCAAATCGCATAGCTAATTCATCGAGAGGTACACAACAACCAGGATCATACTGGTTAGCGCAAATTAGAAAAGTTCAGTACTATTTATCCAAAGGTCAGTAACTTCATGTGAAGGACAGTCACTCATATCTGGTTAGAACAAGAAGTTTTTAATTTAAAAGGCTTGTAATATTTTACATTTGTAGACTTGTCAGCACAACCATATCATACATTTGCAAGTCGATGCTGTTTATAAAGAGAATATGGCCATCCACTCATGTTTTATATTTATACTAGTATATACAGGAAAAAGCGTAAAATAATTCACGAATAGTAATTTTAATCCATGATAATCACACATATTAATCCTGTTGTTTTTAATCCAAAATTATTAATTTTCAATACATTTTGATTTATTTTTCAAATAGATGCAGCAATAATTTGATTATTCTTTATTATTCTATCTTAACATATAAGCCAAACAAAAGATTATAGAAAAATGCAGAATTCGTGTTCGTTAGTATAATAAGTCTCTGTTTGTTGTAATAATACATGTTAAACTATTATAGACTTTGTACCCGGAACTGAGAACTACTGCCTTGCTGCACGAGTAAAACCGAATGGACATCTTGACATTTTACTTAGGTCATGTGACCAACTGTTACCTGCATTATACTATCTTAATATTTCGCCTCAGCTACCAGGTACTACACAAAACGGAACAAATAGATTTGCCACTCCAACTGGAGGTAAAGATGGACCATCACGTCAACCTGTATCGGATGGTATGCATAAAGAAGATTAAGTATTTAACAGAATCAAACAATTTGGTGCACTATAATGGTGACGTACAGCAATGTACCTTCCCTTCTATGTTGGAAAACGTGAATTTACTATTCCTTACGACAACATCTTGATGTGATATAATAAACACTGCATAAAGAATTAGGCCGACTTCCCGAGTCGTGTTTAAACGTGCTAGCTCAAAGAATATAAAATGAAAAATGCCAAATAATTAGTATATATAATTAAACTATATGATATCAACTTGCAACGATCAACGATCAACAGTGACATGTAACCAAATTGGGCGTAGCTTACGTTGAGGCAACCGAGGCAATTAACCGAGGCAATTGCCTCGGTAAAAAAAAATCCTTTAAATAATCTTTTAAACGATTTTCCACCTATTGCAACAGACTCACTACTAAACGCTAATTTACCGACTGTATCGTCTTGTTGCCGTTATTGATTCATACCCTTTGCGAATTCAAGACTTATGGTAACATTTCCCTTCCCTAGTTGGAAATCCCTTTGCGGTAGTTTTCTGTAGTCTGAATATGTCGGAGTAAAAAAAATCGACACAATTGAAGTCGACAGATTTATCTAATCCTACCCCATTGCAAGGAAAATCAGTAGAATAGATGATAATCCAACTCACGAGTCTTCCCCGATCGAATCACTTGACCATTGAATCAGGTAAATTATTTAAGTTTGTGTGAGAATAATTTCTAGTATATGTGGTTTATAAAAAACAGAAAAATGCCCTGAAATTAATTTTAAAGAGTAGTCTAAGAGATTTAAAATGGTGCTAAAATATAAAAGAAAGGAAAATCAAATTATGGGCGAAATGAATTAAAAATAAATATTTGAAGACCCCCATTCAAACCCTCATATATAACCGGTAACGTCTAAAATTGAAACATCGTTGTGTGTTGACATTTTCTCCTACGTGTAGTACTTCAAATACACAGAGTTTCATTGACTTTGGTATCAATCAAAATAAAATATACATCAATCAACATGCACAGAAAGTAATTTATATGTTGCGGTTCTCAAGTTTTATTCTCGCTATTTTAAATCTATAGTTTTTCACTAGCAGGGAATTTAAAATATTCAAAGGAGTCACTAATTCCAGAGAAATATTTAATAATGTCAAAAATTTCAACCAAATATACTGTTTTCATTTTTCATGACGACTTCAGAATATTATTAACGTAAATGTTATAACTTCGCCGGTTGTCATTTTCACAATGAGAAAAAGTTAAAAATCATTTAAGAATTTGAAGACCTTCCAAGAAATATCAGGACGAAACACAACCAATAAAAGTGCCGTGGTGCACTTTACATGTAGCATATGTGCCACGGTTTATTTCCTAGTTTATCAAGAAATTCTGCTGTTCAATCCTTCCGTCGTTTTGTGATGATTATCTATTCGTTGATTCGTGACTCACGACCAAGCGAGTAAATGATCATCACAAACATTATTTTGAATCGACCTTAATCATTGCGTTTGTTTTTCTGCATTGAAAATTCTGTACAAGTTTCTTCTGACCATCGAACAAGGTCTTGTTTTCCTTCTGATATGACGTTAAATCTTATGTCACAGTGAGGTACAGCCACCTATATTAGAGTGTACGACGGCTTGGAAATATATCGGCAGATTAGGCATTTGAGCTGGCTTTCAGTTACTGCAATTCGGGAAACTTGTCAGTGGTTGTTTTATGTGATATCTTTACGTGTTTTGTTATTTTTATAACTTTGAGTTGACCGTCGAGTAGATAGTATCGGTTTAAATCATACACAACGTTATACTTTATATAGACTCAGTCAGGACAATTTTGAAATTGACATATCCATCACCTTTATTTCTAAAGAATTTTAAATCTGGGAAGTTCACTGAAAGGATTCGATTTGAAAAGGTGATAAATGCTTTTGAGGAGATTTATGTATTCATCTGAATATTTAAAATGATGCACGTACCAGAAATCAACTGGTAGTTTAACTTAGTTTAAAGCATATTAACATTATTATGATGGAATAAATTAAACAACAGCTATTATTTTGAATAGATTTTTCTTTTTCAAATTGTAAAAACCTCGATAGCTTCTGGGGGGCTGCGCCACCCAAACCCCCTGCCTCAGTAATAACAGAAGGCAAGCTACGCCACTGCCAATGCGATACAAGGCTCGGGTGATCGCTCATGTGTTAAATATTGTTCGTATTTGTTCGTCTTTGAATATCATAGTTTTTGACGTACCATGGATATGTTTATATTCAATTATATTGTAAATTCATATATTGTAGGGGTATTAGCTGTTGTTGTGTCAGTACCTTGTTTAGTTGTTGTTGTCGCTGCAGTCACTGGTGGGTTCACTTACAGGTAACCATGTCTAATATTTTGACATAGTAAACTCTAAGATTGGGTGTGTGACATTCATTTACAATGTCATTCATATGTAACTTTATATTAAAACATTCATATGTAACTTTATTTCATCGGATATTGAGTTTTTAACAATTCATCATTTATTACACTTGAATGATTTGAAATACGAATTAACTTTCATGAACAGTTGTATCTTGTATCATTTTAGATGGTTTCATAAGAAAGCACAGAATATGAACGGACTAAATAATTTGCCAAGGGAAATATCCTATTATGAGTCGTCGGGTGATTTTCCAACTACAACTACTACAACCGAACATGAAGTTTCTAGTGGCTATGAAATGACAGATATTGCGTACTCTGAACCAATCGATTGTATAGATAACGAGGATCGATATAATCATATAGATCATACACGACACCACGAAATAAAAGAATCTTTAACGTCGAGTAAATATCATGTCATGGTTTCCAATGAAGACAAGATGATCGTGGACGGTTATCATTCCATAAATCATTTTTCTAAAGATCGTGCACTAAATAAAGACTATGACAGAATGTCTACACTTATAGTGGAGCAACCTGGCGGCTGTTTGGAAGAACAAACCTCATCCAATGTCTATAATACAGTACCTTCTGATGAATACAACGAGGACACTTATTATGATATCGATTATATTGATAGCAATGAATCTGATCAATAATCAATAACTTTATCGTCATTATCGACTTTCCGGACTATATCAACAAATAGTCGATATTTTGTATGAATATTTACATATCGTCTTGTACTATTTAAATCAAATCATATATGAATGAATAGATTCAGATTCAGATCGATGTATGTTGGACATTATTTTTAGATTAACACAGTAAACACCCACTCTAAAGACTGATTACTGTTTGAAAATAATGTCCGAGATTAAGGTAGTGAAAGGTATGTCAAGTTTAACCTGATTGTGTTTCAATCACTGAATCAAGGTTAAGCAGCTGGTCAAACTTGGTGGGATCTAAATATTTTAGAATCTAGATCATCAAAGAAGAACATTTACTTTTAATGCTCTCCAGCTTCTTACTGATTAGAATCGAAGGCAATTAGTGAGTCTTGTGTATAGGAAACGAGCGCCTGGCGCACAAAGATATAAGTCTGGTAGTATTGATGAGTGTTTACATATTCTCTCAGATATATATCAGAACTAAAACTTCACACCATAAGGCTTCAGACTAAACCTTCACACTATAAGGCATCAGACTAAACCTTCACACCATAAGTATCAAGACTAAACCTTAATACCATAATGCATCAGACTAAACCTTCACACCATAAGGCACCAAGACTAAACCTTCACACCATAAGGCATCAGACTAAACCTTCACTTCATAAGGCATCAGACTGAACCTTCACACCATAAGGCATCAGACTAAACCTTCACACATTAAAGTATCAAGACTAAACATTCACTCCATAAGGTGTCAGACTTAACCTTCACACCATAAGACATCAAAACTAAACCTTCACACCGTAAGGTATCATACTCATACTAAACTTCCACACCATAAGGCATCAGACTAAACCTTCACACCGTAAGGTATCATACTCATACTAAACTTCCACACCATAAGGCATCTCCATACATAGTCATGTTAGTGTGCAAATAGATATACCACCAAACATAGATGCCTAGCCGTATTAGGCAAAACAATTTGGAAATTTTTAATCAATGCTTTTCAATTTCACATTTGAATTTATCGCCCAACTGTTTTAATTAGAGTGCAACTGATAAATTTTATTTAGACTTAACTCGCGTCTTGCATGTGGTATATATTATCAGTTTTATGTGTGATGGGACTTTTTTAACAGTTGTTGAGTTACAAATAACAGTGTTCGAAACAAGTATATGGATCATGTGAAATAGGTACAGTGTAATGAACTGTACGAATATGAATTGATTACTGCATACGTCTTTATATAGTAGATGTAACAAAAAATATCAAAAATCAACGTTTATTCTATTGTGTCAATTAATACAAATACAGTTTAAGTGAGTAATTTAACTAGTATATTCTTGAATACGTTGAATTATATTTGTCTTGTTTACAGATACCCTACACCTCCTTTTATTTATTTAACAAGTCCTCTTTTTCTTCGAATGTGACATCCCCGAAATAGACTTATCAACGAGTTTGTACTTACATTAGCAATACAACGGGTGCCACATGTGGAGCAGGATCTGTATACCCTTCCGGAGCACCTGATATCACCCTGTCTTTGGTGACGTTCGTGTTGCTCAGTCTTTAGTTTTCTATGTGGTGCTTTGTATGCTGTTGTTTTCGACTTGTGAGTGTGAAGACCCTTTTGATATCGTCCGCCTCTCTTTTAAAATGATTCCTTACAGGAGGGTCTTATTATATATAATAGATTGGCTGATTCGGATTGTTTTTATGAGTCTTTCACATCAGTTGAAACAAAATTAGCAGTATAAGATAAATTGGATCCGTAGATAGTTAGAGAAATAGTTAAGAGCAATTTTACTGGCGTTTGATTATTTGTGTAAATATAGCTGTGTTCGACGAATTTTACGTTTTTATCATCTCATTTTAATGGTATTTAAAACTACATGTACTATCAAGGTGAAGAAAAAAAATACACGTACTATATTTGATTTTTCCATCTCTATAATTTTATTTTAATGTTAAACTTTCAATACAAAAACATGATTCGTGCTCCATCATTTGTCTCTATTTTGAACATGTTTCTTGAAAGGAATATAATTAAGGTGATATTGAACAGCAATGTTGGTCTGACAACTTTTATACATTTCTCAGATATTCAGCTATTTTTTCGATACTTTATTAATACAATGAATTGAACAAAAGATTTAATCTCATATGCGCTATCAATTTTTGTATGAGTAAATGGATGGGTGAGTAGTAAATGACAACGAGACAGCAACATAACGACACAAATAGCTAAAATATCCCCTAGGTGTCAACATACAGTCTTCAACCTTTCTCGCATCGTATCAAGCTCTAAATCGCCATGATTTTTAAAAGCTGTTAATAAATGTTGCAGTCAAAGACTATCGTAGAACTCTCAGCAACACAAAATTATCCAAATAAAAAACACTCAAGATATTTCAAATGACAACAACTGACGAGGTTACTGACTTATGCCGGCTGTATTAACTTGTCAAAGGGGTTAGACTAGTTGTTTTTGGATCCAAATCCTCCAATTCAAATCACAGTCAGTATATAAACATTGGGAGATGTTGCATGATTGCATGTGATACAGCTATCCATCACAAGAATGTGAGCCAACGAGATCAATAGCAGAGACAAACCCAACAAATTTAATTGACACTTAAAATTTTAACATCGTAATTATTTTATGGCCGACAATCACTGGACTACAAGCTCTTGTCTTGGTAAAGGCAAATAAAGAATGATTAAACATGTTTGTGATCGCCCAACCTTTCTCCTTAAATGAGACACTGGTGTATAAGTACAAGATAAGAACAAACTATAAAATGTGTGTAAGACCAGATGAGTAATTTTGCCATGACTTGTGTGAATCTTGAACGTAATGAACTATTGTTCAATTGAGCCATATTACAATAAGACGGTTTCGACACTTATAAAGCTAGCCAGTTCAAATCTGTATCGACACTTCTTAGAAAATAAAGACGCGTAAGTTAAAGCGTAAGTAAGCATAAGTTTATTTCATTCTGTTAATCAAGTAAAACATCTGAAGCTCGAATTCCAATTTAATACAACGAGATGAATTACAAGCTTAATTAAGTGGTACACTTTTCAGACAGTCTAGGAAAAAGTATCGAAAACAGAGTGAGTAGGTGAAAAAACATTTACTTATAGTACTAAGGTCATATTTTTTCAACATTTACTTCACGAACTATTTACAGAACACTTAGTTTATATTTTCTAAACTTGAATACCGATAAATACCAATTTCATATGATTGATTATTTGAAAAACATTAGGAAAAGATAAAAAAAAAATTAGGTTAAGTTGATATGGTATTAGTTATTCAAAGTTGAAAATTACTAACATTAATTTAATTAAATATACAAACAGTCTTGATCTGTGTTATCTCGGTATTGTACAAGGAAATAACTGACAGAAATCACGTAAGTACATGTTGTTTTCAGTTGTGCATACAGCGTCACTGATGAATCTTACGTGAGCCTTATGTAGACGAAACGCGCGTCTGGCGTACCAAATTATAAGCCTGGTATCTTTGATGAGTTTTTACGACCACTAAATCGATACCACTTCTGGTGGACGTTTCGTCCGTTAGGGTATCACCAGCTCAGTAGTCAGCATTTTTGTGTTGACGAGAAATATTATTGATATGTTCCTTTTCTGTTTTACAGTTACAAAATATTGAATTATTCGAAACACTGAAGTTTTTTCTTCTACCAGACATAGATTGCCTTAGCTGTAATAGGCACAACTTTTCGAATTTAACGGCTTTCATTGCTCTTCGACTTCATAATTGATTCTGCCTTTAATTGGTTTAATAACAGTGGTTATAACCTTGGAAATGGTGAAAATTATGTACCCCCTAGATGCATGTAGTCTGAAAATAACTGAAAAGTCTATCATACCATCTACCACAAGGGTATTGAATAATCTAAAATCATCTGTAAGAAATTTACGAACGATTTCTTTACGTAAACGAAAAATACAGGGCGAATGAATTCCTAATATCATGACGAAGGGTTCACAAAACTTAACGTATTGCATGCAAGCCTAAGGCAGCAGTGCAGTTCTCTTGGTGCTGGCCAACATCTTCTTCTTCTTCTTTCTGGTACGGGAAAGACTCCGGTGCCGGAGTGTGGAATATCCCGGAACTGTGGCGCTATGTACATGCAAATGGATGTCGAAAATTTTGTTATAATAAAATAAAAATATTTGCCACAGTTCAATTACAATTAAAATAACATTAGTTGTAGCTTAATGTTAAACATATTCACATTATGTACAGTGGCTTAAATACACTAATTAATTAGCCAGACTAGAACCTCCAAATGTTAAGGTGGAGATACCACCTTTGAAGGATTCTAGGGAGGGTGGCATGCAAATTGTTTCTAAGAGATCGTTCCAGACAGCTATAGTACTTGGGGAAAAAGATGATTTTAAAAAGTCTTTATTTGTATATATTTGTCGAAATTTATGTAGGCCTCTAGTTCGCCTGACAGATTGTATCAGGACGTCATTAGTGACTTCGACCACATTAATCTTATAAATCAAGACCAGCTTAGCTTTTGTTCTACGGGATTGCAAGTTTTCCCATTTTAGTTTGTTTAACATACCAGTGACAGCGCCTGGTGATCTATCGTTATAGTCATTAAAAACATATCTTGCTGCCTTACGCTGTATCTGCTCAATTTGGTTTATTTGGCTTTGTTTGTACGGATCCCAAACTGGTGAGGAGTACTCGACGGTCGGACGCACAAGTGATGTGTACGTAAGGTCTTTAACCTTACGTGTACAGTTTTTCATGTTTCTACGTAAAAAACCTAGTGTTTTATTTGCCTTTGAAGTTATATTATTAATATTGGGCCCCCAATCAAGATCATTGCTTATTGTAACTCCTAGATACTTGCTGTCTTTGACAGATTCAAGTACATGGTTATGTAATTTATATTGAAATAAGTTGGTTTTCGACTTTTTAGAAATATTTATGACAAAGCATTTTTCAGGATTAAATTTCATTTGCCATTCAGATTCCCAATTTTCAAGGCTTGATAGATTTTTTTGGAGTGCTTGAGACTCATTTATATTATTTGATGTTTCATAAAGTAAACAGTCGTCAGCAAAAAGACGAACCTTACAGGAGATATGCTCAGGTAGGTC